TATCTAGTGGCTATTACTGAAAACTATTAATGTGTATATATGTAGCTAAATACAAGTTAGCTTCTATCTACCGATTTAGGTCCTTCTTACAGGGCTAGTCTGATTTCAAAGCATGCACATGTAGCTGTGCATTAGAGCCAAATAGTCTCTCCCACAAAGCTTCAGCACCTGAAGCTCCCAGGCTAAGTGCACAAGCTGAAACCAGCAGCTGACTGCACAAACACCATGTTTATTGGTTTTGTAATACAAGAGAAACACTCAAAGAGCCATCTCCATGCCCATTTGTGCTTAAATAAGCAAGCAATTCTCCTCTCCTGCTACCCCTTAATTTAACTTATCCCTCTTCTGTTAACTCAAGTCACTTTTGAATTGGATGTTCATACCACGGCAGTTGCAGCCATCTTTTAAGATAGAGAAAAGCACACAGGCTGCCAGATGTCAGTAAATACCTTTGTCTCCTTGCTGCTGGCTGCCCAGCATTTCTGTTTGGTTCACCTCCTCCTTGACATTTAGAAGGAAACCAACCCAATTCAGGTTGCCACTTTTGGCTCGATCAGAGATTTGTTAGCTTGGTCAACAAATTCAAGGTTTATACTCAAGTGAGAGTCCATAATATATGTACATGAGTTCAAACTGTCTGTAAAGTAAAACTGAGTATAATTCCTGTATATAAAAGGAACAATCCTATGAATGTGAGGTCTTTCACACGGGCCTAAACAAAGGACTTCTATCAGTGAGGAACTGTGAAGTGTATTCATACTTCATAAGGTGATTTTAGTCCCAGAAACACAGCATCAATATCCCAGATCCAAACATTTCTCAGCTTCAAATAGGACATCATTGTCCTGAAAGCAGAACCTGGAATGTGTTCCACTGTTAAACTTTCCAGACTAATAGAAAATATGTACATTCACAGTAGAAAAAGGTTCACTGGGAATCACAAAATAACAAAGAAACAGATAATGCCTCTGCTGCAGTTTTTTCCTGACAAAATAGATCAAATATTTATTCTCTTTCTAAAAATCCTTCGAGACCTATATGTATTGAATAGGATTAGAGTACCTAGTTCAATTTCTTCCATAAGAATAAAACCCCATACCTGGCAGGAAATAACTGCAGGCCAATAGTCAGCACTTACACAGTACTATTCCCAGATCTTCACATGCACACACGTGCATGAGCACACACAGAGCCTTTGACGTCCTCCCTTCACACATAATTTCCCCCCTGCCCCAACCCAATGCACATACTCCGATCAAAAGAAATGAGAGCAGGAGAAGTGCAGACAAGAATGGTTTGGCTGCTGGCAAAATAGCATGCTTTGAAGAGACTCTGACTTACAGTGGAAAGAAAAGAACATCTTACAGCAAACAAACTGTTAATGAGCTATTTCTACTAAATGTAAATATTCCATAAATCTGCACTTAAAGCAAAGGTCCAGTTTTATTCTTTTTATTCCTGCTCAAGCAACTACAATAGCAAAAAAGCTTTTTTTCAGAGGGAGACAATATACACAGAATTCTGATGGTCAGCTTCAATTTGAAACAAACAAAAGCCCAATTGTTCCTAGGAAGATAAGGCATAGATTGAAGACAGCATGCTCAGTCACAATAGTAAAACCAGCTCAGACCAGGAGGTTCCTACCTTGTCTTAAGCAATTCTCCTTCCTGCCCAGATTTATCCTTATTGCAAAGGTTTTGTTAATTTAGCAAAAAGGCAATCACTGCTGACATTCAGTGTTGTGAAAGAATGTGAAATCTCCTTCAAATTCTTTGCTGTAAAAGTCTTATCACGAGAGTGTGCCCATAAATATTTTTGTGAAATAATCAACATACATATTTAGTTAGAACAACCTCTAGGTCTACACTAACAATCATTTCAAGTGCAGTACTTTTCCTTACATATATACTTAAAAAGGGTACGAAGTAAATATATTATGAGGTAAGTATGAATATTAGCACTTTTACCCTTCTTCTGGTCTTGGTGACAGTAACAAAGGATAATGCTTTCCCCATATAACGATCTTTTATTATCACCTATCCTCAGTGGTCTCTGTCACAAACAGGAATTTCAGTGAATCTGGTGCCTTAGCAAGTAGGACTGTATTGAGGTCTGTCTATCTCTCTCTCTCTCTCTCTCTCTCTCTCTCTCTCTCTCTCTCTCTCTCCCTCTCTCTCTCATTTGCAATACTGGTCTTTATACTTCCCACAGACATATTCACATTTAACAACATGTAATGAATATATTTTTTTCAGTCAAAACAAACTGTATATGGTTTGACAGTTTTTGATAAATATTCCCCTAAAATGAGAGTACAGCTTATTAGCTATTAACTACACAAGGTGCTGCTCCCAATGCTTTTGTAAAATTCACAATAGTGTGAAACCTTGAAGCGATGGACACAGTGGCTTTGGCATCGCTGTGATCATGAGGTATTTCAAAGTTACAGCCTGAAAAGACCTTTCATGTGCCTCAGCCTAAGTGCTTGTGTGAGGTGCCCAAACAAGAAACTTCTTTAACTGCTGTGCAGTAGTGGAAATCCAAAAATGCATCATTTAAATGTACCCCATGCCCTCAGTTTTCTGAGTCCCGGTATCATGACCTCTTCTGTGGCTGTGGACAGTGAGGAGCATGAACAAAGCACTATGAAAACACACCAAACTGACACTCTGTTGTTGAACAATGTTGCACAGAACTCAAAGAGTCAACTGCCATCTCACAGAAATACTCAAGAAGAACATTCATTCTCTTTTAGGTATAATGTCTACCTTGGTCAGTCAAAGCATACTTTTAATCAAACTTAATTCACTTAACAAAGTGCAATCTTAACTAATAAAATGCCAGAGGCTGAAATACCAGAAAATACTAACAACTGTTAACAAATTCAAAGCCTCCCCTCTTAGACAAAAAGTTTTCTCTTGTCTGCCTATGGACAAACTGGCATCTAATTGCAAGCACTTAAAAAACCCAGTGTAGTACTGGCAGTCATAAAAACAGGTAAGTTGTTTTTGTATGTGATTCAAACACTCCTCTGATGTAATTAAAAAAAAAGTAATTTATCTGTTTAAGCTACCTATATGAAAGTCAAGAACAATGGACCGAATACAAACTAGTCTGAAGTGAAATAGTAAGTGAACACCTGCTTGGCTCACTTTCACAAACTTGCTGCTGTAACTAAACAAAAAAATCTCCAGTTGAAAACTAATAATTTAGTTTGGAAAATTCTGTTGTTTTCAGCTCAGGTATATGCAGCTTTTAGAATTAATATCTTACCAGAATTTAATCTCCTTTCTACTGAAATATGAGAAGCAGTATCTACATTTTTTCTATCCTTTTCAAATAATCAGTTTCACAGGGAGTAGGAAGCTTAGGAAGATTTTACATCAGGAGAGTAAGAACATAGGAACTTCAATCTACTTGGGCATCATTTTCCACTAGGTGCATTCTTCTCAATTGTTTGAATTGGATCTTCTTACCTGTCATGGTTGCCACTTCCATGAACATAGGTGGCCAAACTTCACAAATAAATTCATTGCCCTGCAACACTGGCTATGGACTAAAACACATTATATTAAAGACCTACGTGTCTGTTGAGGAACATGCATGATGACCAGTTATAAAAGAAAAATCCCCACTGCAGGCATTGAATAGGCTAAGGAAATACTGTTTACTATTAAAAATATTTACAGTTTCAATAAAATTTGTAGAGAATGTGAAAACTTTATTCTTAGTAGCTTCAGTTGGAGTTTATAAGAGAAGTGCCCTCTACACAGGAATATTTTAGATGCTTCAAACTATTTGTTTTTAAAAAGCAAGAAAAAGTGTGTGTAGAAATCTAACAAATGCCCCTTTCCAATGTCAGTCCTATTTTGAGGTAAGGCTTTCTTTGCAAAACACTATTAAATGACCTAAGTACTTCCACATTACTTGCAAGTCTCTGTCAGCAAAACAAAATATCTTGATGCTTAACAGCAAGGATGACACTTTTTTTCTTCATCTATGTCTATAGAATATACAGTTTCTTTTTTTTTTTTTTTTTTCCTTATAAAAAGAGACTGAATAGAGTGAAGGAAAGGGGATCAGCAATAGCTATTAAATTCCAACCTTTCTCTCAGCTGAGAATTAACAATACTACTGCTACCATAAAGCTAACACAGAAATAAAATCTAACAGAAGAATGAACAGAAAAGCAGCCATGCCAACGATACCTGCTCGCTGTCAAGAAATGAAATATGTGCATTCCTATGAATCAGCTGTGCTTTGTTCAGACCCATGCTTTCAAAAAGTGACAATCCCTTTCATTAATACCACTCTAAAATTAAAGAGCTTTTCATCAATACTACTCTAATTACCCCTCAGCAATAAATAGCTGAGAGTTAAAAAAAGGGCTCAATATCTGACCAGACAATGGGATGGAGCCTTTAAGATGCCAGACCCTTCCACACCTGTAACACAGTAACATTGAAAAAATGTAACCAAAACCATAAAACTTGGTAGAACTGGGCCACAGCACCTAGCACCTTGCAAGACTAACTCTTGTGACTGGAAAGTTGTGTTGAATACAAAATGATAAAGAAAATCAAACATCCTAAGCCTGGAAAGTCTAGTAATAAATGGTCCAGCTCATGGCAGCCATTTAGCAGTAGTCATGCAACAGTTTCCTGGCATGGGGCCTGGGGGAAAGCCTGTTCTCTGAGCCCTAAGCTCCATGGCCCACTGTTTTTGTCCCTCATGTCACATCCCGTGCCTGAAGGAATGATTTTTTAACAATCATTAACGCTCTGTTACAAAAAAGCAAGACAGCTTCACAGTTTCATTAATTTACTAAGAATTTGCAAGTGAAGATAACATCTTTCAAAAAAATCAATTTTTAGCAGATGCTTTAAAGTTTACATCAAGAGTAATGTCTTTTTTAACTATTAAATTGTTTTGAATTAATCTTTTGCAACAGAATGAATAATGCAAGCAACTAGTAACACACCCAGTACTTCACTACATCATGACAGTTTGAAATTTATTAATTTAAATCTCCCATTGTGACACAACAGCAGTAATAAAATAGCTGTACACTACTTCTGTTACAAATATAGATAGTATTTAAAGTGACTTTACATACTCTAATGTAGGCGTTTCTCACTCTATGCAAGGAATAAGTACAAAAGCAGCATAACAGCAGCATCCAGCAATGGTACCATCTAGTTTATTGCAGTTTAGCCTACCACAATGTAACTTCTAGAACAGTTAAAAAGACAAACAGTGGGGTTTTTTTTTGTTACACTTACACATAGCTAACAATTTGTTAATACTATTTGACAGATACTCCTAATACTGCTTTTGTGACCCTCTAAAATGAATGCTAGACTTTTGTATTATCCCCTAATAATGGCCTGACCATTGCCTGCATTTTCAGTTCATATTTCTCGTAAGTGATAGTTGAGATAGTGGCCTTCTTGCTAAAATTCCATTTTTGCCAATTAACAGAAAGCATCCTGCTGCTAAATTAGCATACTAGTCTGACTGGTATCTTCCTCTCTCAAAAGACTCAGCTAAATTTTTCTGCAGGAAAAAAAAATCATGGGAAAAGCATGCTTTATCTGCCAGATTCCTAAGAGCATGGCGGGCAAAGGCAGGCAGGTTACAATCAGCTAAGTGTTTCATTGAGTGCAGTTTTTAGATAAAGTTTAAATAATGATAAAGTGATGCATTTATTGACCACACTGCTGATCAAAGAAAGCTCCACATTTGCATTGTACTTTCTAGATGCTTTTATTTGTGCCTCTAAAATTAATATCCCCAAAATAATAGTTGTAGCTGTCAAAGCTCCTCTTTTCCTTATTACTGATACAAACCCTCGCTGCTGCCTTACTACTCACCTCCACTGTGAGGCATTTGCAGGTCTTCACCCATCCTCAACCCGTAACTCCTGGTTGTATCCCTCCTCAATTCAAGGAGGACTCTACCTTTGCTGCTAGTGATAATGGCAGCAACACCATTAATGTCAACTCCTTCCACACTGGCAATATCCAGGTATCTGCTGTCAGCTAAGCAGAGCTGCTCTGAGAGGTTTGTTCACGTCTCTGAAGCAAGCAGCTTGCAGAAATGTCTACACTGATCCTGTACGTGGTGTTGCATGTTGGAAGAGGACAACCTTTGCTTACAGACACTTCATATTAGAAAAGTTGTTTTCACCCATAAGGACTATAAAATATTCCTATTTTAAAAGTCTAGTTCTTCTAATACTGCAGTTGCTAGGCATTCTCAATCACCAGGAATAGTTTCCACTAGTAATGGATTTTTCAGCCCTGAGCACAAGTTCCACAAAACCCAAACAAAACAAACAAACAAAAACCAAAACCACCATCACCACCACCAAGACACCCCGCTGCTGCCAAAATAATGAAATCCTCAAACCTAAGCCAAGTGAAACACAGTGCTCTTTTTTTTTTTTTTTTTTTTTTTTTTTTCAGATACACCATGACTTAGAAAAATTTAAACACACAAAAAGACAGGAAAAAAAAATCCACCCAAGTCGCCAAACTAGTTTCTTCTATAGAGCATTGTGAAATAATATGGTCATTGAACAGTCTGGGTTGAAAGGAACCTTAGAAATCATCTAGTTCCAACGAACCATCTAGTCTATTAACCATCTGCCTCCAGATTACATACATTTCCCCTTATCTCCCAAATCTCTGTTTTAGTAATATTTTATTTCTTCAATAACCTTACTCCTGTTTTCCCCAGCAACCTCCATGCTGACTTGGTGAATTTATCCTTTTTCCAACATTATTCAAATATGCAAAGTCTCTTCCAAAAACATTTTCAGTTTTCTTATGTTATTAATGACAACATTTTTTTTCATGGTGACTTACTAATAGCAAAAATATCCATGTGTTTCCATTGTCAACATAACTTCATCCCAGGGGTTTGACAGGAAGAGAAGTACTTCTAATATATACAAAAATATGGTTAAATGTTACTTTTCTTCAGTGTTGTAACACAGTTCTGTGAAGCTGAAAGAGCAAGACTACAAAAACATTTCCATTCTCTTTACTACATAGAAAGTAAACAATATTGTCTTACTGACCCTAGCCTGTCAGGCAGCCAGTTCATGATAATACAGTCAAAGTGACTGTTCCTTTTGTCCTTTTCAGAATAGCAACTGCTTCCTCGTGGGTCACCCCTTCTAAACTCTGCCCATTCACAGCAATGATTTGATCCCCCCTCTTGAGGCGTCCATCTTCTGCTGCTGCACCCTGAAATGATAAAACAAGTAACTGCAGACTCACACATTTCTTTTTCTCCCTGACACACAGTCCTGAAAAGAAAACCTCTTGCAACATTTTTGGTGTTCAGGGATACAGATAGAGCCAATTGTTGAGAAGACTGCTAATTTCGCAGTGAGCCCTGCCTTGTCTAAGTTCCACATCTAGAAATTGGAACTACATGATTGCTTGGTTCCTTTAACCCTGTTTTTCCAGCTAGTGTAAGATTTAAACCTAGTATTATAAAAGTAACATTTTCAAGACCTGCAGAACTTTTCACCAAGTGGTGTAAAAGACAGCTTTATACTTTGATATACCTTAAAAATTTAGCATTCATGATTCCAGTTTTCTCTGAGTCTCTGTTGTTTCCTAGAGCTATCCAAATTATCAAATCCAGGTCAGCATCTGAATTTCTCTGAAGGTCCAGTCTGAGCTCAATAAAACATTTCCCTTTACTACCTGAAGTAAACACACTGTAAATATAAGGCAAGGGAGCTTTTTTCCTACGTATTACACAATTCCAGTCTCAAGAGGTGGACAAGACTCTGCCAATAGGCTGAATCATGTATATTTGGAAATTCTCAATCTTTTGAAAATTACAGCCTTCAAGTGCTGCAAGCACATTTTGATCAGCCTTTGCACTAAAAAGGAAAAGCCGTGAGCAGCTGCAACATTCTTTTGACTGCAAATCCAGGCCAAGATTTAGAACAATAACTACAGTGAACTAATAAATGGATTGATTGGACATATTTCCACCTACCTTTGCAAACACTGTCTTCACATAAATAGGTAAGTCTCCATGGGGACTGCCATAACCACCTACAATACTAAAGCCAAGGCCGTCTGGTCCTCTGTCCAGAGTAATGGTCTTGTACTGAGGAGGTCTAAGAAAAGTGAAAAGAGTATTTTGTCTGAACTTCAGATTTAACACATAGAATATTCTACAAAAAAACATTATTCCTCTTAAGCTAACCAATACATTTATCTTTCCACTATGACTACAAATACTTTTGTTATAAAGAACAAAAGTATTTGTAGTTATAGTAGCTATTTCCGTTAATGCAAAACTCTGTAAACTACCTAATGCCCATATTATTATACAAAAATAGCTATTTCAAATACACAGCTCAGGGCGTAGTTATAGCTGCTATGTCCCACCAACAGTGCTTACTAGTGAACTAGAGAGGCATTGTCAGTATCTCCAGATTCCCTAATATCTACGTTAAAAATCCTGTAATAGCTAAAATTAGCTCAAATAGTTTATGCTATTAAGGTTTAATTGCTTCTCTCCTAATAGATGACTCTGTATTTGTATATATGTGTTTCTTATACAGATCATTTATAAGCGTATTTCCCCACATGTACTTTGATAGTAAGAAATTTTGGAATTCTACTTTTCAAAGTAAGTATGTGTGGTTAAAGAATATGTCTTTCCCCTTTCCTAAAAGAAAAAATGCCTCAGATTTATGACAGAGTTTGACACAAAACTTGTTTACATAATGCACCTCGCAGAATACCAGAAGCAGTATACCCTGTATACCAGAAACATCTGGCACGCCTGATTGCCCAGCACTAGAGAGCACGCTACAGAAACACAGATACAACAGTGGAAAGAGAATTTCTGTGTGTATCAATTAATCCTAGCTACTCAATCTCAGTGAAACAGTAGAGGCTGTAGAAGAAATCAGATCACAAAACAAGCCTACAGAGAGTAAAAAAAAAAATGCAGCACAGAAAATTGCATTACGAAAAACACAGAAGAGGGCCTGTGGCCCACAGGTACAGCAAATATGTTAATCATGATTAAGCCAAAAATGTCATCCATTATTTGCTAGAATTTTTAAGGTTTATATGTTGATTATCATCTAAAGTAACTGGCTACAGACGCTGTACATTCTATAGTTACCCTAAATCATCCTGAAAAATGCCAGTTGAAGTTAGTCCAGCAAATGAAAGACTGGGAGTAGGTGGATCCTGCTGCTGACCAGTTATGACACTCACTTCTCCCCCAGCTACAACCTAGGAACAGAGGTTGGAAATTAGTGATATAAGAATGCTGACACTAAAATAGTTCAATGTAGCAGCTGGCAAACCAGTATTCAGAAAATATTCAAAATGTCACTGAGGATTTTTTACCTGCAACTCAATAGTGCCTGAAGCATTTTTTAAGATATTAACAGCTTGGGAATGAGTCATGCCCTCAGTAGATGTTCCACAGATGCTAACAATCCTGTCCCCAACCTACAGAAGAAAATGTAGAAAATCTAACTTAGTTACATAGATTTATTTGTCACTTTCAACAATAGCAGAACTTCGAAATGGTCCAGTATGAAGGCAGTATTTCAGCATCAGAATTAGCAAATGACACTGGTTTAGTGTAATCAGTGTAAAAAATACTGATGCTTTACAGAACTGATCCTAAAACTCTAGAAATACATATTAAAAACCAGAGATGCATTTGGCATGTCACCTGAAGACAGGCAGACTGATGTAGCAAATTATAATCAGAGATTCTGTTTGACTTCATCTTGAAATAACATTTTCCAAGAAATCTGAATCAAATTCAACCACCTTTGATGCAGACTGGATACAGCATACACTTAAGTACAGGTTCAGATAAAATCTCCCTCTCTAACTCAGAGCCTAAAATGTACTCTCTATCCTAAGTATAGGAAAGATGAGAGATAAAACAGACTGCACACCTACATTTGTAGGAATGACCACTACACTCCGCAGTGGCACTTGTTTATAGAATGCATCCTTCTGAACCACTTTCTATGCTTTTAATTTTCACAAGCTGACTAACTCTAAGATCCACGACTGCTTTAGGACCTCCTTTCTTAAGTTAGAACATGTCAGCAATTACACTTTCCCATGCTACCAATTTGAGTACCTTTTTCATCAATCCAAACAGCAAGAATTCTTTTCACAGCCAGAAGCACTTATGACCGTTTCACTGAACTGCTGGTTTACTGTCTGCCTAGAGTAATCACATTACCCACGCCGTCTTTACAGCCTTGTTAACAATTAACTTACTCTTAATTTCTGAGTCTGAGCTGCAACTCCATTCGGGTGCATCATGGCAATAAATATAGGAACATCTCCGAGAGGACTTCCTACACCTCCAGCAATGCTCACTCCTAGTGAATCTGTAGGATTCTGTTATAGTAATAAAAAAAAGATTAGATTTTTCTGGAAAGAAAAACACAGAGAACTGTAGCTTATCTCAAAAGATGGCTAAACCCCCTATTTTATGAAGATCAGAATTCCCGTGTCAAGCCAGTTTTTAAGCTTATATGCTCTGCATCACCTCAAGAAAGCAGAAAGACCAGCATGGATGTTTTTTCTTCTTAGTGGTAGGAGAAAATTTGCTGATTTAGTTGTGTGTTTTATCTTAACCAAACTAAATAATTACAGAATTCAGCACCTGACTCTTAATGTCAGCACAGAGGTCTGTGCAAGGAAAACCAATGAGATGGGATTGCTGTCCTCAGTACAGTCTATATGAATATGCTGTTATGAATCTCCTTTAAGACTAGAATTAATCTTTTTGCTCCCCCTAGTGCCCAAATGTGAAAAGCAAAACCAGCTGCTTACCACTGCACCACACCCAAATACCTCCCTGCAAAAACTGCTACTGCAAACTGCAGATTCTGCTGTTAAAATTTGCAGATTCTACTGTTAAAAGACTGGCTGTGTAATCAAGTGAACTAGATGCCAAGAAAAAAGAAACAAATATAAATATTTTGGAAAATAAGATGTAGTTTGTGGCTAAGCTCACATGCATAATGAAGGTGACTGAAGTTCACACTTGAAAACCTGGCAGCTATCATGCAAGAACCTACTCATTAAAAATACATGTGAAGAAAAATATCAAATACCAAAAAACAGCCTTCCAACTTTGGTACAATACCCCTGACTTTACCACAACAGAGTGTGCATTTAACTCAATCTGGTAACAATAAAACTAGGTCCCAGTATCTCTTTCTTCTTTTACTTTCAACACAATTCACAAAACATAATAGCATAAGTCACACTACTTTACATAAAAATATAGGCAGTGCAAATCATACACTCTCAAACTGAAAAGAGAAACAAATTAATTTCCTGTTCCTTTCCTAAAACAATGAATAGCCCTAGACTTCTTTCATTCTGTAAAGATACCTATTGGAAACATCTACAAAACCTATTCCTGATATATGCCATTGCATGCCACAACTTACCTTTTTTATTTCAACTGTTCTTAGTCCCTGTATTTCAGAAGCTGCTGTCAAATGAATTAAGATAAATGAAAAAAAAAAGTTAAACTGGCATTCTTAGAAAACTTTTTCAATAAAGTCATCCAAATTACTATGATGATTCTAACTTTCTGCTTGTTTGTTATATACATCTTAATCTGATTTTGATAGTGGCTATCACTAAAATAATTGGATTGAAATAATTCTAGAATAGGTGAAAGAATCAACCATTTTCTCAATTTAAATAACTTTTGGAATAAGACTGCTAAACTCAAAAGAGAAAAAACCCATTATTTTCTAGCAATACTTTGATCATAAATAACTTTGTTCTAAATTTAAGCATGAGACAGCTATTCCACATGTATCTGGATTTCTATGAGTTAGACAGCTTGTCATATGACTTATTTAAATTAAATAAAAAATTACGGCTCAACTTAGATTGTCAGTATCTAAACTGCTTACATAACAAGCTGCCAGTTTCTTTTATAAAAAGCTACTATAACATATATGTGATGTACTGAGCAGTAATCACTTATACAGCATTTTACTGACTAAGGAATTACTTTGAGGCCTACATCACATAGTTAGACTATTTAACAGAAAGATCTCAGCTACCAGTTCACATCTATAAAATACTGAAAGCACCAAAAAACTCTCCAACTTACTGGTATGCTTCTTTAGGCCACTTTCAAAGACCTCAGATGCACTGGACCCGGAAACTGGGAAACTGAACGATGAGAGACTGCCACTTCCTTCACTGACCTACACACAACATTAGAGTGGGATTAGAGAGGAGTTTTGCTGACCCAGTTACTAAAAGTAAAACTGTAACTCGCTGTATTAGTTTTCTTTTCTGCAGTATTTTATTTTTTCTGTGCCCAGTTAAAACTGAATCAGAGAACTCCACAAAATTTTTGGTCACTGTAGACAGCTGTTTTTTGAAGCATCATTAGACCAACAGAGATTGTACTTCTACAATCCCATGCAAAGCTTTCAAGTGCTTCTTCTGAGGGCCAACAAGGACCTGGTATTTGCACCTTCTATCACGCTCTAAAGATCTTCTAATGCAAGTTAGCTACAAGTACCACAATAAGGACAGAATACAAAAGACAGGTATCAGTACGTCCTCATGTGGGCTCTCAAATGTTCAGGCTACAACTAAGATTAGGGTCTCCATTCGACTTGACCTGCACAATTTCCAGGAATATTTTCACTATACTTGAAGGGCAAGCAAAGGAACAACATGGATCCTTGTGAGCATAGTCCACTGACTGTGACACACTCTTCAACAGTGTGAACTTCATCTTAGAGTAAGACCAGCCAGAGTATGCATGTTTTCACGCTGTTTAGCAACATTAATTCTGAAGAGAGCCTAAAATGTCAGTCTTATCTAGTCTTAAATTGCTCACTTGAATTTTAATAATGTCTTAAAACTATTTATATTTAATACTTGATAATTTTTATCCTCAGTTCACAACCAAAGTTATTAAGGTAATTTGTGAGTCTTCAGAACTGTAGCTCCTACTGGATAGAATCACAGTGCAAGCTGCTATGCCACGGAAGATGCTTTCAAATACAGAAATTTATCTGAGGTTGTAACAATTCACCCTCAGACCAACAATAAAATAAATAAGAGAAGTCTGATGGAAAGAGCACAGGTTTCCTGCTTCTGCCTAACAAGCTGACAGTAAGGACACGCAAGGAATAGAGAAATTCCCTAAGCTTACCAAAGCAATACTCCACTGCATGCCAACTATTCTGACAGTAACTAAGAGGTTTAAAGTTGACTCTAACTTCTGGTATTGATGAGAATTGGAATTCTCTATGCTTCCAAGCTGGAGCCTGGAGCAAAGTCATTTCTGGCTTATATTTTTGTTTGGATATTGTCTATAGCAGAATAATTTGCTAAACAGAGCATATAAAATGGCTACTGAAGATCTGCAAATTTTTTCCATCTTGGATCAGGCATGTGAAAAATATTGCCATTATAAAATAGATTTTTCTATTTGCTTTCAATATTTATTTCTCCTAAACTAACCAGTTTTATAGTTACATACCTGGCTGCTCTGGGATGTTCTCCTTTCAGAGTGAAATGGCCCAGCTTTTATTCTTCCAACCTCTAGCCTTACTGTACCTAAGGAACACTAAAGAAACAGTTAGTTGTAACATATCTCTTCTGCCTACAAGACTAAAAACTACAATATTTAAGTAACTTTCTAGAAAGTGGAAGAAGAAAAAAAACACATGGACAGATGGAAGAAGAAAAAAAAACCCATGGACTAAATGAGCACTTTGCAGATAGAGCTCATAGCACACAAAGCACACCAAGGTACTCAGTACTAAGCAGGATACTTTTTTAACACTGGATTAATTAGTATTACAATGCATACATGAAAATCACACAAGAGGAATAATTCTATTACATTGCAATTAATAAGGAATAGCTTCTGAACTGCAATGTCAACATACAATTTTTACAATAAAAGCTAAAACCAGTGTAACACATCAAAGTCTTAATCATTATTTATCTTAATATGACTAAGAACATGGTAATGAAACTGAAAATTACTAATCTCTCTCAGACTTTTGAAATTATCTGTTACTCTGGATAGACACCAATAAAACTAAGAATTTTTGTGCAGAAAATTTCCTAAACATCTACAGCTTAAGTGAATTTTCTGCACCTGACTCTCAGCAATAAGCTGGGTAATGTGGACTGACTGCACATTGGAAAGCCCTTTCAGTAGTCTTTAAGATTTTAACTAATGTATTGAGTATTCACATGTCTACATAAAATGCATGTCTCAGGAGAAAATTCATGCTGCAATTATGTATTTAAAAATCAAGACATTAATTTGAAAAAGCAGAAAAGTTATTACCACAAGGCTAAGATAATTAGACTTTCAACATAATAAAAGTTGTGTCAAGAAAAGACATTGATCTGCAATGTATTAATACAGAAATTTCAGTTTTCTTGTTATTTTGATTTTTTTTCTTTCACTGGGAAGTTGTCAGCGGAAACTTCTGCATCCAAATAATTTAATAATACATGAGGTTGCCTTTATTTGTCATGTTTTGACTTGATTATCCTAAAAGAGATTCATGCATTTGTCAGAAAAATCCATAGTAATAGGTCAGTATTTCAAAACCAACCAGCCATATCCATTCAAACAAAGTTTCAATACCTCATATCCTGTTGCTATTGTCTTAGGAATGACACTAAAAAAGATTTATTACTAAATCACTTTTTATTTTATAAATAATGTTGACTTCTCAATGCCCTGGAAAAGACTTGATCAAAGCTCAGGCAAAACCATTCTTCTCTGCTTGTATGAATTTAGTCATATTAAACCATATGGACAACTCTTATTCAAAGTGGAAAACTGAGGAAATATGTATCTAAAATTACCACATCCTCACGAATACACAAACCCACAAATGAGATTTTAAAATTATGTGTGAAACTAGGAGGTAATACTTTCCAGTGGGTCTCGTGAATAAATCAATTCCCATTTAGTTTTACTACACTTTTCTCACTCTAAATTCTCCTATTTGATAGATCCAGTTAAGTTTAGTGAGGGGAAAAACTGATGGTCTTTTCGCATACTTTAGGGGATACTTCAAAAGAAACACTGTGAGAACAGACAGAATTCTCAGACCGATGACACATTCTACTTGCCTCATTCTACTTTAAATACACAGGAATTTTCCAAAGACTATAAAATAATTTTCCAGCAAAATACATTTTAGGCAGTTCAAGACAATTCACTCTAGATCCTACTCTCGTGAATGAAAACCAAATGGATACCTGAACAGGAAACAGTGACTGCCTACATGTGAGTGACCACGTTTTATTCCACTTATACTACATGAAAAAAACAATTATTAACAATAACATGTCTAAGGTATTTTAAAAGCCCATTTCTGAGGGCTATGACAATTAACCACAAGTACCACCGAGCAATGATGCAGTACTTAAAACTTGAATATATGAATGGTAAGTGCAATCAATTAGATACTCCAAAGTGCTTGTTAAAATGAAAGAAATTTCCCACATGAAAAGGCATTTTTATTCAGAGGAGAGGTAGAGCATATGAAGAAGAAATGCTGTGTTCTTAAATAAAACTTAAAAACTGTCACGTAAGATGGGAGAAGTACTATAACCAAAGAAGAGTATACTAATTAAGTTCAGTGTCACAACACAGATCCTGTTCTGGCATTCTCACTAATGGCACAGATTGAAAATACAGAAGTCCTCTTTCTGACCACTGATCTCCCCTAGGACCCTAGTGCTTCCCAATAAATCCAAAAACTCACGGACCTGTTCAAGATCTGGAAAAATATACCTTTGACTGTGAGTGTTAAGAAGCATGACCATGTGCCTATGTATACAAGAGACAGCTATAAGTAACATCTGTTAATTTTTTTCCAGCGAAACAGTTTTCCATTGAAAATGCTGACTCAGTGGAATTCTTACCATGCAGCATGTCTCAAAACTCTGGACTGAAAAACAGACAAGGTGGTTAAGCAGCAGGAATTCTTGGCAAACTACAGGAAATATTGTAAATCTGACTTTATTCTGATTTGCAAATAGGGGAAGGACATCAGAAAAAAAAATTATCAAGAATAGGTTGGCTCTAAGAGCTGCAGGTAGTTACTTCAGCAAACTCTGAGAAAGCAGTTTCTTATACCAAATGCTTGGTCACTGAAAAACACATTGTAGATTTCAATGGATGTAGGGTGGCACAAGACATGCACAATAAAAAAAAAATATTAATGTCTCATAGCAGACCAGGTTACTCAACCTGGGGCTCTGAGTAAAAACCCTCGATTGTACACTTCCAGGACAGGGCATCCACACCTTCTCCGGGCATTCTATTCCAGGGCCTCACCATCCTCACATTAAAGAACTTCTGCCTAACAACTAATTAAACTTACTCTTTTGGTTTTAAACCATATCCTCTTCTCCTGTCACTACAGGCCCTTCTGAACAAACTATGAAAGCAGTCAGTTTTAGCACAACCACTCTGCTGAATTCTCCATCATTGAAGTTCTGCTTATCTTTCTGAAAATGCAAAACAGTTTACCAGCTATCAGTGTGTTCGACAAAATACAGTGTTAAGTTTTCAGTTGCTCTAGCTAATGGTATTCTATAACAGTAATCTATAAGCCCTATGTTCATAAATATACAGCTTTCTGCACCACCACTACTCCCAGTTTTATCAGGCAAAGTATCAAAATCTGAATGCTCTAGATTTCAGGAAGTTTAAATTTGGATCCCCAAGTCATCTCACTGACATCTCAGTAACAGTCTGATCTCAGTTTGAATAAAGTTAAAGCTTTCAAAAAAATCTGGATCTCAATTTTTCATTCTTATCCATCTTTTTTCCCAATACCTTTAGCAAAGCTGCAACAGCCTCTTGGTTAGCATTTCGGACATCTTCTCCATTCACTGTCAATATCTGGTCTCCTTGCATCAATCTCCCATCTGTATCTGCTATTCCTCCTTTGACGATGTCTGACACAAATACACCTGTGTCATTTCTGCAAATACATACATGAATTTTACCTTAAAGTATTGTTTGACAGTCATGTTTATGGCTTGTTATTGGGAACACAAACAAACGTTGTCTCATTTTTCTGTTGAATAACACTGACTTAGTTCCTCCTGGGAAGACTGGTTAGCTTAAACACAAAAATCAGATGTGTGGCCTTCAAGCCCACAGGATCTGAGCACCAGACCACGAAGAAACATGGTAAGCAAGTTTCAGACACTGAATCTCCAGGTACATTACATACCTTTTCCCAACAATACTCAGCCCAAGGCCTTTACCAGGCTTCTTCTGGAGCTCTATATTCAGCACATCATACATGTCTTCCTCCTTGTACTGGGCTTCATCTCTGTACACAGTCAGACGAACTTTTTGGGGTGTCTGACGGAGGACATTAATGGCCTCATCATGTGTGGCATTCCTGAGGTCAATTCCGTTCACCTGAAATGAAAGTGTACAATGGTAAATTGCGCAGCACCTTCCAGCAGACAAATACAAAAGGCTTAGCCAGCAATGAAAACAAAAACAACTAGAAAGAAATCACCATGCCTCTAGTATCTGATCACCAGCCCATAGTCGTCCATCTTTAGATGCTGCTCCCTCTTCATAGACCTCATGGATAATGATTGCTCCCTGTAAACAAAAACAACATCGAAATTGCATGCTGAAAGAACAGGCACCATTTTGAACAAAGAGTAACTGCAAATTACTACTATAATTCATCAGTGAAAAGTCAGATGGAATGAAAGTCAGATGCACAACGAAAAAATTACCAAAATATTTACAAAGCTCATTTATACTTTTAATTTTAGGAAGAGCTTTCTTCTCATTTTTGTTTCTTTTGCATCTTTCTAGAAATGCTTTAGAAACAAATGACAAATCTCTTCTTTCAGACTTTATTTTCATTATTGTTATTTCACATGAGTGACACATAAATTTTTTCCAACCAACCAGCAAAGTGTCTGCTCCTCCAACAATGCTCAGACCAAGACCAGTCCGCCCTTTGGAGATATCAATGGTTGTTTCACATCCAGGAATGATGGGACAAGTAGCTGGGTCAGAGGTTAACATGGCTGGAGTTGAAGACCTGCTTGTGTCTAAAACAACAATGAAACATCCTGGTTACAGTAACAGAGTTCAGTATGAGGAAAGTGACTTTAAAATAGAATTTTTCAGAGTTCACTGACAGCTGTACAGCAGTAACTGAACAGCTGATCGACAGACAATGATGCTGCCGTTTCTCCCTCCTCCTCAGAGAAGTACTATCCTATAGTTTTATTTGCCATGCCTCCTGTAGTTTTTATGCCATCATGAACCAGGTTTATAGTCTGGACAGCAGAAGCAGATACTGTAGACAACATACTCTATGTAGGATAGAACTTATGATGTTGCATTACTTGAGTTATTATTAACTTAGAAGTGTCTTGCTTAACCAATGACTATTACCCATCAGAAACATCTTGACTCTCCTCTCTGATGGAGAAGAGCCAAATGTGGCTAGTCATAAACAGCAAGACATTGTAAACCGTCCTCTGTTTCCACAAAAATGATGTGACTTTTCTCCCTAACCTAAAGGAATGCCTCACTTAGTTCTAGACAACCATGACAGAGGCACCTGCTTCATGTCTGAGATGAAGGAGAAAATCCTTTTATCCTCCCTCCTCTACAACAGGAAGCCAAGAGGTAGGTCTTCAGCATGGGGGCACAATGCTTTATTTATACATACATGAATATGTAATCTGGAAATATTAGAAAATGCAGAAGACAGCTCAGTGCATACAAAAAGGGAAAACTTACAAGCTGGGTCTTTGTTTTCATGTTACAACCCCAGCGGTTACAACCCCAGTGAATACCGACACACACGGAAAACATTACTTTTGACTGCTTCTGGTTCTGGTGAGCTGGAAGTGGGGACAGCTGCTGGTGGTTGTATATGCCTCTTCTCTGCTGGGACAGTGCTGGGAAGGACTGGTGCTGTAGTCAGATTACCTGTCTCTGCTGGGTTGATTGTAAGCCTCACCACAGATTTGGATGTCTTCAGGAGACTAATAAACTGAATGATAAAGACAAAAACTTATGAAAATTGTAACTGGATTGTTGAGCTGCAAACTAAAAATAAAGCAGAATAACAGCTCTGCAAACGGGAGCTACGTGTCACAATCTTGCAGGTTATCTCATAAGGAACAAACACAAATATTGATGTTTTTCCTAAGAAAATTTTTTCCATGAAACTTTGTCAAACTATACTAGATGAGAATATGGCAGTCTTCCAATGGCTTCTCTAGACAAAATACCATATTGTACAGCAATTTTATTTTTTTTTTTATTGTATAGCCTTTTAATGCTGGGTGGAGCCCAGTTCTGTTCTCACAGAAGTCCATGTAAAAATATCTTGCGAACTAGAGAAATGTGCAACTTTCATTCTGGAAGAAAAACTTGAAAATACTACCTGAACTATGGAAAGGAGAGACAGACACCAAGGTGTAGTACAAAATCTAGTTCAAAGAGATACAGAAAACCCCTCAAAATCAATTGCCATCTTACAGAACAGACTCCAAATCCTTCTGACTTTACATTTCAGTAGAGATATTTTGAGAAATTACTTAATCTCTGTTCTTACAAAGCTTACCTACCCCTACCTCCTTACAGGGAACTTCACTATCTCTTACTTATTTACTGCCTCAGAGATAGCAGCACATCAAAGAGTAAAATTGATGATCTCCTAATTGCCCCTTAACAAACAGAAAGTAATCTACTCATGCCTAAAGAATCACTTTTCTTGGTAGCAATGTAGGTGCTTGATTTACTACAGAACCCAATTTGAGTTTGCAGAGCTAGAAGCTAGAAATAAATCTTGTAATTTAGGAATGGATATATTTTTCTCCAAAGGTTTGAAATACTATGCTTGGAATATAATGAGACTGTTAGTACAGACAGTTCCCATGGATAAGCACAGTTTATTACTTGATTTACCACTGATACAACTCACTCATGCAAATTTACACATATTAGTTTTACTGGTTCTAACACCTTTAAAGTGGACTAGCCATGAAGACTCATTATTGAGCAATAGTTCATGGCTTTTATCACATCACTAAGCATCTCTCAGTCATCAGGTCTGAGCCACAGGGAAAATAAAATCACATTTGAAGCAGAGATAGGAGGATTCATGTAGTGCATTAATGTAAAATAACAGTTGAGCTATAAATTTACTACACTTTAGCGTATTTTGCAGTAGTTTTCTTGCACCTGCAGATCTTTGGGTTTTTTAGCCGGGTTTGCAAATTAAATAGTTATGAGAAATCTCACTAGCTTAAGACACAACCACCTCGTACGTTAAGCAGTATGCTTTCTACAACATTCCTGACACTTCAGAAGCACCTTTTCTACAGGATATCCCACAACAATTTCATCATCCACTGCCAGAATCACATCTCCAACTTTGATACGTCCATCCTGAAAAAACATAAAATAAAAAATATGAACTATGGATGCTACTCCAAAAAACATTCTTCATTCTCTAATCAGATTTTAAACGTTCTCACACCTTTGCAGCTGCACCATGATCTGTTAAGCTTTTAATAACTACTCCATTAGTTGTGTCTTCTTCACTAATGGCAATTCCAAAGCCTCCTTGATCCTGGGCAAACAGAAAAATGCAAATGGTTAAGGACTGTGACATCAAAATGTTAGAATACAATCACTAAAGACTAGTGAAGCCTGCTGTCATATCAAGTCTGAGGTTTCACAATGCACCAATGTTTTTGTCTTAAACTATTTCTGGAATAGATTCTGCCAAACAGTATACTGACTACCAAGCCAAATCTGAAACACTTCTCAATTCAAACCCATTCCTTTGAAACTTACAAGGTGAAACTGTAATTCAGCTTTTACTTTGAACAATTAGGGCATTGATTTTACCTGAGGAACCATCAGTAGAGATGGTTGTAAGAAGTTGGGCAAATAGAATAAGAGAATACTTCTTCCAGAGACAAAAAGCAATTAGCAAATCAAAAACAGTCTTTCTGTGAGGAAAACTTTGGGGTCCATTCCCAAAGAGGAAGAGTAGATCTCTAGAAATCTCTTTTCCAACTTCTAGTAACTAAGAGACTATTTGCTCTAAGAGGGACAGCATTACAAAATTGAATGGCTATTGAATAAAAATGTGACTGATGTAAATTCAGTACATACCTTAGGAAGTTCCACATACTGAATATTTTTACATGAACTTAAGTCAGAAAATGCACTCGGGTTTGCAACACTGATGTCAATCTAAAAGAAAAATAAAATGCAACTGTAAGTGACTATATCCAACATTTTGCACCAAAACAAAGTAGTGAGCAAATATTTAAATCTGCTCATTTTCTAGTTTCACTTAAACTTCTAAAACTCTATTGATGGGAATATTAAACTTACTTCATAGTACAGAAGAACTTAAAATGGAACAAAATTGATGACAGCTGTACTAAATTTAGCAACTTTACTAAAATGTCACTCATTTTTCTATGAGTTTCCTTTTCTTTTACCGCATTTCCTAAGCAGACAGGATCCTCCTCTACCCAGAACAATGTTAGTATTTTGGTCAAATAAGAAAAAAAAATATTTACGTTACCTCTTGCTGTTGAAGTGTCCTTGAAGTACACTGTGAAGCCTCTACTGACTTTGCAGGGCAAACAGCCATCTGATTTACTGCATCCTTGTTTCTGCAATATAATCAGTTAAAGAAAGTAGTAAGAAGGCAATAGTACTGCCCCATATTTCTTAGGACAAGTTTAAGTCTGGTTCTTAATTTCTGGCAGTCACAATGCAAATATCAAAACAGAAAACTACAAGACATATTTAGCAAGTAGTAAGATTGTCTTCAAAAGCACATCTATGTTACCAAAATTGAAAATAATAAACACTATGTGAAACTTGAGCACATTAAAAATGAAACCTTTTCAGCCAAACCTTTAATCAGAACTTACCTGATAAAGATTACTTTAACTTTAGATGGTGCACATTTGATTATTGAAGAAGCATTCTGATGAGTCCTTCCATAAAGGATTTGGCCATTTATCTAGAAAAGGAAAGGTAGAAATTATTTATCAAAATATTTTACACTTAAACTCCTTACACTTAAACTAAATCTTAAGCCTTAAAAAATTCCATATCACTGACTGAACAGCAACTGCATAAAATTAGAATTATGTCCTACTTTCACTCCCTTTTTTCAGAAAAAATATTCACCATAGTTTGACTTCAGACTAACACTGTCACAGTGCTAAAAATGTCATTCTCTGAGTTATATTGGGTTAACTTGGCACATAATCTATTTTCACTTGCCATTGATCACTTCTTGACTGATGAGGTGATTAAGTAAGGCCATGGGAAATTCTAACCATAACAAATAAATGAATTGCTCATATCCTGCAATGAGATTGCTATTCTTTATTAAATCTCTTGAGTTTAAGTGCCAGGCACTTTTATACACAGAAGTCTGAACACTGGTACATTTAGCAGAGTTTTAAACTAGATTTGATGAGGAAGAATGAAGGGGATATACTAAGGAGGCTTCTTCTCAAAAGGTGAAAAGGTTGATAATCCAGCTTAAGTGTCTCAACACTAACACGCAACAATATGGGCAGCATGGGTAACAAGAAAGAGGAACTGAAACCAGGTCCTCGATTGCACCAGAATCATGCAAGTCAAAGTCTATAATCTAGCTAGCCTCAAGAAATCTGGTGGGATGATTCACACCACTGGAACATTTCAGTCAAGGGCTACAACTTTCTCAGAAGAAAGAGGCTAGGAAGAAGGGGCAGCTCAGAAGCCTGTGGGTAAAAACTAAGGACAGCATCAGGGAGGGACACATTGTGGCTGGGATCCACCACAGGCTGCCTGATATATACGAACGAGCCTGTTGACTTCTTGCTTCAGATACAGAAATCATCATGCTCACATGCTCTCATCCTGAACGGGGGATTTCAACCACCAATGCATGTCTGCTGGGAAAGTGGTACAGCTGACTGCAAGCAATCCAGAAGACTCCTGGAGAGCACTGAGGACAACCTCCTGGTCCCGGTATTGGACAAACCAACCAGAAAGGCAGGGTTACTGGACCTGGTGCTCACCAGTGCAGATAAGCTTGGTAGAAGGATTGAGACTGGAGGCAGCCTCAGCTGTCGTGACAATGCCGTGGTTACATCACTGATCTTGAGGAACATAGGCTAGACAAAAAATGCAGTCAGAACTGACCCTTATCATTAGAATAATGGACATCCAGCTGTTAAAAGAATTAGTGGATGAGACTCCCTCAGAAACTGTCCTTAGGAACAGAGGACCTCACCAGTGCTGGTAGTTTTTTGAGGATACTCCATCCCCATGTGTAAGAAATCAAGTTAGGCAAGCTGGAAACCAACATGGCTAAACAAGGATCTGCTCCTCAAACTGAGGAGTAAGAAAGAAATGCATAGCCAGTGGAACTAGGGACAGATGATCTGGGAAGAATGCATAGATATGGTTTGGATAGGTGTAGAGATGGGTTTAGGAATACTAAGGCACAGAAGAAAGAGGATTTGGCAAGGGATGCAAAGAGTTATCAGAAGGGGTTCTATAAGTATAAGGGGTCAGAAAAGAAAGACCAAGGAGAGTGTACCTCCCTGACAATCAAGAGTGGACAGTTGGTGACAATGGATGTGGAGAAGGGTGAGGAACTCCAAAAGTTCTTCACCTCAGTCTTCAATGACAGTCTGGCTTCTTACATCTCTCAAGTTACTGAACCTTAGGAGGGGTTGAGAGAAGCAAAGTCTCTCTCACTGCAAGCAAAAAACAAGTCTGAGACCACTTGGTGAAACTGAATAGGCACAATTCAACAGGGTCTGATGATCTGCAATCCAGGTTCCTGAGGGAAGTGGTTGATATAGTTGCCAAGGCACTCTCCATCCTACTTAAGAAGTCATACAGGTCAGATAAAGTCCCCAGTGACTAGAAAAAAGAAAACACCACTCATTTCTTGAAAGTGGACAAAGGAACCTCCAGGAAACCACAGACAAACTGAGCCCCATCGCTGTACCTGAGAACATCATACAGCAGATCCTCACAGAAGCAATGTTAAGGCATATAGAAGACAAGGAGATGATCTGAGACAGCCAGCACAGACAGTGACATCTACTTAAGCCTCTGTAAGGCCTTTGACAAAGTTCCACACAATGCCCCTATCTTCAAATCAGAGACAGAGAGAGGTTTGAAGGGTGGACTATGTGGTGGATAAGGAACTGGCTGGATTGAGGCAGCCACAGAGTTGTGATCATGCTGTGTGTCCAGGTGGAGGCTTGTGACAAGTCAGGGCTCTGTCCTGGGAGTGGGGCTCTTCAACTTCTTTATCAATGATATAGATGAAGAGATTCAGTACACCCTCAGCAGATTTGCAGATGACATGAAGATGAGTGGTGCTGCTGACATAACATAAAGATGGGGTGTCATCTGGAGAGACCTAGAAACACTTGTCAAGTGGGCCTGTGGGAATCTCATGAGGTGCAACAATTACAAGTTCTACACCTGGGTTGGGGCAATCCAAGATAAGAGTATGGACTGGGAACATGGAGAGCAACCCTGTAGAGAAAGACTTTGGGATTCTTGTGAAAGAAAATCTGGACATGAACCCATACTCCAGGCTTACAGCCCAGAAGGCCAATGACATCCTGGGCTGCATCCAAAGAGTTTTGACTAGAACGTCAAGGAAGCTCTACTCTGCCCACGTAAGACCCTACCTCAAGTATTGCATCTCGTTAGGGAGTTCTCAGCACAAGATTTGGATCTGTCAGAGCAGCTCCACAGGAGGGCCATGAATATGATCAGAGGGCTGGAGCACCTCTCCTGTGAAGACAGGCTGAGAGAGTTGTGACTGTTTAGCCTGGAGAAGGGAAAACTCTGGGGATACATTATTGAGCCTCTCAGAACTTAAAAGGGGCTTACAAAAAAGAGGAAGAGTAACTTTTTACAAGGGGTGATAGGTTTATGAAAAAGGTTTTAAACTGAAAGAAGGAAGTTTTAGAATAGATGTCAGGAAAAAACTCTTTACCCAGAGGATAGTAAGGTACTGGAATGGGTTGCCTGGAGAAGCTGTGGATGCTCCACCCTGGAAGTGTTCAAGGCCAGACTAAATGGGACCTGAGAAACTTGATCTCGTGGTTGGCAATCCAGGCCATTGAGGAAGACTTGCAAGTAGGACCCTTGGAAAGATCCCTTTCCAACCCAAGCCATTCTAGACTCCACACTTATTATCTAAAGATGTGACCTGGCAATCTTTTTTCCATTTGGCAGAGCAGACTAGTCACTACAACACCTTGAAGTACCTACAATTGAGACAGGAGAGGAGCTGTCAGTGTGAATTTATAGACAAAGGACATTATTTGTTTGCATTTTATTAGTTGCACTTTTTCTTGAAAATGGAAAACCACAGTGCTGAAGTTAATTCAAGAAAAGAGAAATGATTGAAAAAGGACAGTTTGGACCCACACAAAGGGAAAGCAATAAAATGCACATAGGTAGCACTAACAGAAGCAGACACACAGCAAAGCAACAGATGAAAGACATTGTACTGAGGGCTAACCACAACACCAATCATCTCCTATGCAGGGTGTGTGCACCAGGCATGGTCACAGGGATCCTGAGCTCCGTCATTTACACTGGAGCTCACAACCCAAATGCAGTGCTCCCTCCAGTGCTTCCCACAGCCTTAGGAAAAATACATGGTCAGGCTGCCAAGTGGGGGAATGGGAGATGGCCCTCAATAGCTGATGGACGGCTACTTGGGAATATAGAAAGCAAGCTCAGATGTCTCCTCTCAGAAGAGGCTGAGGCAATTTCTTAGTGTTAGTCTGAAAGTTTATAGTGTGGACAGTAACCAAGAAATCGCAAGATGATAGCTTCAGACAGACGTGTGTCAACATGTTTCCAGAATATTCCACGTCTTCTACATCAGGATTTTAAAAACAGATGCTTCAAGTCAACAGTCTCACAATATTGGAGTCTGCAACAAAGTTCCCTCCATGAGACTTGGTCCATAGTGCCAAAAATCCCTTAATTTCTTTCCTAATCTGCAAATTCCAGCCTATATAATTTACTCTCTGAATGTCTCCCTCAAGCTTTGTTCGGATTCATCATTCCCTCTCTGTAACTGTACTTCGCCAGTACATCCTCAAACACTTCCACATATAGCTTTGAAGTTACACAAAACTGTTCTGTGAGGGTAATGCTACCTACTGCTATCAGAAAGAATGGGCAAAGCTACAGTAGAGAATACATCTCCAAGTATCATCAAATGGTCTGTGGGAATATAGAAACATAAATTATGCTCACACATGTACTTGAAATGTAAGTTGCATGTTTAGTGGTTCAGTCACTCCACCCCAATAGAAAACAGCACCCAAACATATCATGAGTTAGAAGTCCATAATAAAAACAGATCTGTTTCTGTTTCCCCAATTTAATTTCCACATTCTGTGTTACACAATATAAAAATATTCTGCTATTATCACACTTCAAGTAAACAGGGAAGTAATTACAAAGTCTAGAGTACTCCACAGATGGATGGACTGGAGGACTTCAGTATTTTTCATGGTCTGCAATTCACTGCCATTCCATATGTCTCAGTAACTCAGAAACAGCTGTTGTCCCGCATTTCTATTCAACAGACCTTCATTCAGAATTGCAGAATCTTCTGAGTTGGAAGGGACCCACAAGGATCATTGAGTCCAACTCTTAAGTGAATGGTGCATACAGGCATCTAACCCACAATGTGGTATAATTATAACCAGGAAAAAATCTGTTACACCTATTTGACATAAATGAGAAGGAAAATCTTATAGCCTAGTGATATGAACTTGGATAAACTTGGGATTTCAAAGTCTACTGAAAAACATACTTATTTTGGCAAGAATCTTTTTTTGAAGTCAGTATATTTGGGCTTCAGTATAAATTGCAAAAACTCACCTCTAGCAACTCATCTGCAACATGTAACCTGCCATCTTTTCCAGCTGCTCCATTTGGATCAATTCCCACTATAAAGACACTCATCCTGGATCGGTCTTTGTTACCAGCAAGACTAAGTCCCAGACCTGTCTTTCCTTTTTCCAGCTCAATCATGTGTAGCTCCCCTGGTAGATTTCCATAGCGCTGCATGATCTTTTCTAAATGTAAAAGTGTGGGTAGCAGAGGTTGGATTTACATTAGAAAGTTTCACAAGTCACCTAGAGAGTCAAGATCACTGCTCAGTGTGCAGTATCTGACAGAAGAAGCCCCAAATGGATGATTAAATTTTCAGTGTAAACCACACCTTCTTTAAAACTAAGCCTTAGGTGATTTATAAAAATATTTCTAGCTTCTTGTTTTCCTTATACCTTCAGAAAATATTATAACTGTTCTTAAAAAAATTCACACACAAAAGAAGTAATCTTCTCATCAGTAACAATTTCAGGTAACAGATACTACCACATTAATCCCTGCCAACAGTTACCTGGAGTACACTGAAATTCTTCAAGTAGTCCTACATTGAACTGGGACCATGGAGAAAAAAAAAAAAGATTGCAGTGCAATGAAGAAAAAGAAATGAGTTTTATATTTTACTATGTGAATCTGACCAAGCACAACTAAAATAGCAACCTTAGCACCTAAACCATGATGCACATGAGAAAGAAGCAGTTCAAACTGGATGCCCCCACCCCTGTGTCTTTTACAGTGCAATTTTAATACTAAGCATTTCAAATATTATCACAGGAAAAACTTACTCCAGCTGTAACCAAACTCATCCTCCTTCTCCACATCTTCTGGGACTCTGATAGAAGATGACTGTGCAACATCAGAGCTCATTCCTGAAAATGCTGAAGGAGGGGGCAGAGGCAAGTTACAAAGCGAAGTCTTTTCTGGTTCTGTATCAGACTGACCAAATGCCTGTGAAGAGTAAGAAAAATGAAGTGACTAAGAAGATGCAGACTCTCTGTAGGGCAAACTAGTACACAAAAATGTCAAAATGGCAATGACTATAGCTTCAAAGTTTCAATACCAAGCAGCTGAAACTCTAAATTAATAACAGCGCACAGAAAGGCAGAGAGATCAAAGACAGAAACAAACACCAGGCAAGGTAAGAAAAAACATCACTCCAAAATGTATCTGGAAGCAAACATGTCACAGTAAAAGCCCAATTCAGTAAAGTTTTATGTGCCACTTTACGTTTCAGAAAAACCCTCTTAAGAAGACTCAAGTGCTTTTGTTTCAATGCCAGATTTGTAAAAGATTTGTAACCAATTTTACTTTTAAGAGTCATCACATGTAATTTCCTCCCATCATATGCTTAGGAAGCCAAATATGATTAAAGAGAAAGTAAAAAAAAAAAACAACAAACTGTGAACTTTCAAAAATACCTACAGGAAAAAAAAAAGCAACTGGCATATTAACTTAAAGGACAGTTAAAAATCAAAATTAAACAGATGATAACTGAAGAAATTCATAGTGACTGGACCTTTTCAGTCTCATTTACTAGTTTCCTACAAGCTGCACAGAGAAGATCAAATAAACAAGGATACAGGTTAAATCACAAGAGACAGATACTTGATGTGCTCTATTCATATTCACACAAAGTTAAGAAGTATAAATGCACAATTACTGCAATAAAATGGTTAAATGCCCAAATTCACAGCCTTGAAAGTTTCCATTCAAGACAGTTTCCTTAAGGAATATGGACTCTGATAAGGAATTTCACTATGTAAAATTTGTAAAAATTTGCCTTGCTTAAAGTAAACATGCAAGCAAGAAGCCTCTCTCTGAATATCATCATTCTTTAGCTTATGTATGCCCAAGAGACCTTGATATTTGACAGACTGGCTACTGAAGTAAACAAGAATTTTAAAAGAAAGCCAAGTTTTTACAACACTCAAGTTTTCAGGTGTGTTGCCCTCCCTTCATAATCCTATTGTCATCATTTCAGTTCTCACTACCTCCATCAGCAAGTTTGAACACAGTATCTCTGATGGTGCCTTTAGGTGCCAAAATCTCTTCATCAGAGGCAACAGTGAAATTAATAACAACATACACCTTGGAAAACTTTATCAGCTTTCAAATTGAAAGTGTTGAGAAACCTGGGAAGCTACCAGTTTAGTAATTTTAAAATTTAAGAAAGGTCCCATGTCTGAACAAAAATTACTTATCTTCATCCTGTAACTCCAAAGATATAAAGATACTGCAAATGTCCTACTTCAGTTCCCTCTTTCTGCTTCTGCTTGAAGAAGATTTTTATTTCATTTGGGAACTTCTTTGAGAAACTTAACTAAGAAGTCACTAAATCTCAAAAGTGTGGGAAGTGACACCGAAGCAAATAATTTATCCAAGACAATGTCATCCTCCTAAGATCATACCTAACATTCCTAAACTGAAGCAACAAAATTCTAGCAAAAACATTGTGCTAGCATTCTCAGAATCATTCTCAGAATCAGAGAAGAGTAGAAACACTACCTAGTAACACTAGAAGTTATTTTTCACAATCAAAAATTCATGTGTGCACAAAAAGAAAAGTGGGTAATACACTCCCACATCAAGGAAGGGTAAAAGGGAGAGAAGCTCTAGAAAAACTCTTTTTTCAGAGGTCTTCCTAGAGTTTTACTAAAGCTAAATAATATCTTGGAAAAATGAGGAAATAGGGTGTTGTGATGCGTTTACCCTATCTGGAGGCCAGGTGCCCACCAAAGCTGCTCCATCACTTACTTCTTCAGCTGAACAAAGGAGAAAAATATGACAAAAGCCACCCACCATAGCCTCCCCAACTACCATTATCTTGCAACGCAAATCCAGTACAAGTGTGAGATCAAACCAGATTAGCAAACCTTAGTTTTCACGTTTTAAAACCAAAATTAACATATTACTTTAGAGGTACTGTTTGTAAGCGACAATGTCCAAGAACAGCAAAACTTAAAGAAAACATGACCAAAAAAAGGATCAAAATATTGGTGTAAAGGATCTCTGGAAGATTTGCAAGGTGTCGGTGTAGGGCTACATCCCGACAGATTAGCACTTACTAACTGCTGCCACCATAATATGACTGACAAAAAAATGCATCTTTTTGTATCATTGTGAATGTGTAACAACATTACATAATGTGACCATTTTTGAGGTATAAGGAAATGCTGAAATGAAAGTAAAAGCAAGAGTCCTTGGTAGGAGGGTAAAAACTGTGCTACAATGACATTTGGAGGGAGGGGAACGTGTCCTGCCTGCAGAACTCCGCTTGACACATTTGAACAGCCAGAAGCAGAAGCTAGTCCCCACAGTTTACACACACATAAGACTTTTTCTCCCTGAATCGGGCAATACACAGAAACCTAAAAGGCTTTAACTCATGAAATACTTTCAGTGTGTCACACCACAGTATTTCATTTAAAATGCAAAGCATCCAACAGTTGCTGAACCCATTTAGCTACCAGGGTCACTCTGATCACAGCCAAGCAAATAAAGTCTGGAACTTGAAAAAATGAAGGCACAGGAGGAAAGAGAAGCAGTACTCCAGAAGTTATCACAGGCTGTGTACAAAAATGGACAGCACACATACAGTAGGACCAACTGACAGGAATTAAGACAAACCTTGAATGGTGTGGGAGCAAAAGGGTTAGTTGGGGAACAACGGAAGGTAACCCTAATTGGATTCGATACCTCCTACAGTAACAGAAAACAGCAATCCACATGTTATAGCATCTTTGGCAATACACAGTACTATTAACCAATAACTCATTTTGAATTACGGATTCATTTTACTAACTGCAACAACTTTATTGACTTGATTTATAAATGGACCAAAGCATTTAAGGAGTTACTAAGGACCCTGATTCATCAAAGTTTCTCACTACACATGAACCTGAGTTCAGAAAAGAAGAGAGATTACAAAAGCATTCTTATATCAGTGCTAAGAAAGGAATTATGCATAAACTACAGGATCATCAGGTTTTCTTTTAAAATGCATGCAATGTTTTTCAGAAATACTTTTAAAAATATAGAAAACATAAGTCATCATTTATGTTACATGTCTATTCCCTTTCCTCAGAACTGTAACAAACACAAAGAGATTTCAAAACACACATGCAATTATACACCACGTATCATATTTTAAGTGTTTGTTGCACATTCAATATTTTTGACAACATGGGAAAATAGACAAAGGGCACAATCACTTGCAAGATGTAAAACCAGCTAGAAATTATTTTATTAGATCAAAAATGCATGCATATTAGGATTAAAGTATTTTTATTAGAGGTTAACGTTGTTCCCATTGTGAATAACATGCAGTAAGTATGCACTAGCCACAAAAAAAAGTGTAACTTTGTTTTATTTCCAAAGGCATCAGCATCCTAATCATGGTGCATGTAAAGAATTTTCAAGAAGCAGAGAGAAAATATTTTCATGAAGCATCATAAAAAAAAAGTTGCAAGTTTGGGGTTGTTCTTTAAATGCAAAAATAAAAGAGAAATATCAAAGCTGGAAAGTCACAACCACAAAAAAACCAAAAAGACGTACATAGCAGCAAAAGACCTTACACTGATGAGAGAGTTACACTTTTAACTGATCTTATAACTGAAAACGTATTCCTTTGGTAGCTCTGAATAGATCAGCTTTAGTAGTTATGATTAATGGAGCCGGTATTTTTTAACTTCTCCATAACTTTTCTATATATATGCATGTCTGTGTCTTTAAATTCACTACATAGAGTCCTCAAGCTCATCAGCCCAGCAAATAACGCAAACTAGTATAAAAGAATTTAAATACAGAGAGACAGCAATGGGAAAGAAGCACACATAGGATGTTTGGTGAGTGAAAAGATAGTGTGTCATCATCCAACCTTAGCAGTGTTGAACTGAGAAGAATCAGCAAATGGGTTAGTGCTGCTGAAGACAGCTGGCCTACTGAAAACACTGTTCTGCAGAAAAGGCAGGGAAGGGTTCTAAAAGGAAAGCATAATAGAAACTAAGCAAAAAAATTTTTTAATGAATCCTTTTCAATCATGAACCAAAACACATTCATTCAGTTGTCTGGGCTAACCAAACAGGGTCCACATTCTACACTTGCAACAGATATGTGAAACTGGGCACAACTGTATTTGCCCTGTGTTTCTGATGCTCTGTCAGCAGAGAGGAAAAGCAACAATTCTCACACCTGCTCTAGATCACAAAGTACATCAAGTTCAAATTACACTGCATTTATGTGCTGTGATATTTGAAACGTTTTTTCCAAACATATGGGACACTCTCACACATTAATTAATTGTGGATTTCTGGGTTAGGATGCCCAAGATGCTAAGTTATCAGAAACTAGCAAGCATTTAATACAGCAGCATAATGCTGTAACATTACTAAGGGACCACAATCACAGTGATATATTGTTTCTTACACAGAAATGTACAGAGGAGGGTATAGGTATGAAACACACTATCACTATCTTTTCACAGGCTACTTGCATTATTCAGGCTGTTCTGAAGTACACACAGGCTCTCTCTTAACTACTAAACCTTGCATGAAACAAAATCGAAGAAATGGACTCATTAGCTACATGTCACTTAAACTGACTGCCTGGCTAAATACATAGTGGTACCATAATAATTATAGCTCATGTGTGTAGGCAGTTAACTACATGGGTGACTGCACATGAATGAAAGCAGGAAATTCTTATTATATAATAAGATCTTATTATTAGGTACAAATGCAAGTTTCAAAATATGAAAATAATAAACACAATGCTATTTATGAAGATCACAACAAAATGTATGGGTACAGGAAGAGCATTTGCAATGTTTCTGCTTACAGAGAAACAAGAGTTTGTTAGTACAGTCAAGAAATAACCAACGCGCTTAATTTGAAAATAGAGAATAAAAAACTACAACAAAAATAGCAAAGGAGCATTCTCTAAATAAAAGTAGTGATATAGTAATGGCATAATTTCCATCCCAAATGGGCCTAAACATTCAGTAGCAGCAATTCTGTTCACATCACAGCAAATACAAAAGCATTACTTTAGTAGTTTGAGTGTCAATAATCAACATTCAACAGAGCTTCTTCATGCAACTTTACCTTAGATGACTGACGATAAAATGGGTTAGTAGATTTCTGCCCACAGGGAGCAGAAGCTGAAGAAGGGCTATAAAGAGACTCTGGCTGGGGAACAAGAGTTATGAGACAACTAGTAAATAAACATGCAGCTTACACAAACTCTACAAAGAGGAAGTTTAGTTTCTAGTGATGCAAGCAAGTTATATTAAAGCACTGTATCTTTTGTCTGCAATGTCCATGCAGCTTAGTGACGGAAAACTTCCGTGTACTTCTAGGTCCTTTCATTAATGTCCACAGAATTTTTTAACAGGTGCTGTATTTCTGCATGCGCTCCTCAGACACGCTGTCAATCTCTAACAGATGGTTTTAGTTAGACTCCTACTCTGCCCCCCAACAAATTATCTTTCTTGAGGCTTTTCAAAATAGTTTGAGGACGGTGTGCTGGAGGGTATTTCCAAATCCAAATCGATTTCATTCTAAATGGAAATAATACTTAAATCAAATCTTTGTTCCCAAAAGAGTTGAGATGGCACTTTCAGGATTAAATATCCCATTCCCAAATACCACTATCTTGAGCATTTGCTTCATCTATTACTGTGTATTACATCTCTTTTCACATTCTTTATGCTTACCCTTGGTCTGCTTATAATGCTCTGTACCATAAAGACTACAGGATTGCCTGCCTTCCGTATCGCTTCCACAGCTTGTTCGTGGCTGGCATCTCTGAGGTCAATTCCATCCACCTGTAATTGGAAGGCCTCATCTTAACATTGCAAGAAGCTACAAGAGTCATGAGTCAGTTCTGAGTTTTGGTTAGGAAACTTTGACTAAAACCTAAGCCCAACCCTCTGTTTTTAGTGGACCTTTCTACAGACTTGGCCTGAGGTCCCTCAAACACAGGTTTGGTATTTTCAAGAGTGCTAATAGAACATCAAATAAATATTCTCTTATTCCTCTGTTTTAAAAATGTTTTCCAACATTTTTAGTTCAGACTCCGTAAGTTTTCCCACAAGCAATGTAACAGAAGAGATATGATAATCTGGAGAGTAGGAATGTTTACCAAATACTGCTTCCTGCAAATCCCACCTTAAGAAAAAACTATTATCTAGGACTTTATGAGATTTTAAAACTGACACTTGTTAGGTGCTGGAGAGTTTTTCATGATGCGGTATTAAGCCATTACAGTGTACTTTTTTCTTTTGTTTTATCTTCTATTGTTTTTTTTTCCTAGAGCAAGATAAGATTAATTTTAGCTACTAGACACTTTCTTCAGAAGTTAAATTTTTAGGTCAGAGCTAAAAAGCTTTCTATCTTCTGGAAGAATGCATGTACACAGGATGGCTAAGGACAAATTTGTGCCTGGTTGTGGTTTTTTTTTTTCATGTCTGTATATGTATGGGTGTGTAAAACAATTTGTCCTGTTATCCAGGTAAGAACAATGTTAAGGTGAGGTTAGCATCAATAAAGTATTGTCACAATGACCACAATAAAAGCTAGAAGCTAACACAGAAAGGTTATTTGTTAGTGGTAATTCTAGCACACAAACTTATATGATGAAGATTACCCCTACAACTTTTTAATTGTCTAAGTCTACCTTAAACTTAATCATCCATTGCAAATAAGAGAGCACAAAAACAATCTGAGAGAAATTCTAAACCTATGAGGAACTGAACAAGAACAACAGTACTGTCTAACTTCTCATGTCTGAAAAACTGTATTCACTACAGAGATGGAAGTTTACATATGCAACAACTTGAGAAACTGAAACCATTCATTCAGAAACAGTCACATTAACACTATATTTTGTTTTCACTCATGCATTCCAGTTTCTGCAATCATCACTGTCAGAGACAAATGCACTCACAAAAATCCAGTTATTCAGGTGAAATGAATGTTTTTAACTTTGTGGCCTTCAAGCAAAATTCCAACTCCCAACTTCTTATACACTGCAAACTGTTCCATCCTGTTATAGAAAGTGCTACCTACACTAAGGTATTATTTCAAGATCCTCAAGATCAATATTGTAGTAAACAGCAAACTGCAGTTTCAGTAACACCATGTAAGTCAAGCCCGGTCTGAGCAAGAATCACCAACTCCAACACTCTGCTTGTTGGGCTTCTTACTGAAGGATAGTCAGCTAAGGACATGCAGCAGGGTTAAATGGAGGCAGTTTCTATTAGCCTGACATTGGAGATAGGGCAATGTCTGACACTGATAGTCATGTTAGGAAAGATCTATTCCCTTCAGCATGTTTATTCTGCAATATCTTTAAGCGACAAAGCAGAACTGCCTGCATGAGCACAGGACTAACTAAGTACAAGAGAAATGAAGATAAATCCTACCCTGCAATACCACTGGCTACATTATACTGAGACATGGCAAAATGTTCCTCATGTCTCAAGTATTAAACACAGATTTCTTCATGTCAGGAGAAAAAAAAATGTGTCTCCCTTAACTCCTGCACAAGATGCGTAAGAACTATTTGAATCAATTAAGAAATTGATTCAAATTATCAAATTATGGAAATAATCTTGGCATCCATTTGCATGGTTTGCACTGGCTGTTGCTATTGTTACCCAGTGAAAAGGTGCAAAAGGTGAAAAATCTTTTCGATTCACCAAACTTAAGCTTTTTCCTACACATTCTGGTTTTCAAATAGGCAAGTCAAACTGCTGGCTTTGTAGAACCTTGCTCACACAGTCAGTCATATGTTTCAGGTTGAATATTCAACTAACAGGCAGCTGTCTGCACACAAACAGCAGCAGATGGTACTACAGTCTGTGTGGCTCAAGTGGTATCAGCTGTGGCAACTGCACAGCTGTCAGCCCACCACACATCCATTTCAGTGACTCCTGAGATGCTGGGGGAATTGCAGCAAAAGGGATTCAGATGGTACCTCTACAATCCGATCTCCAGTTTTCAGTGTTCCATTTTTGCCAGCTGGGCTGTCTTCCAGAATGTGTTTGATAAAAATCCCTCTCATCACTTCTCCATTGCTCAGGCGGCTTCCCATCCCTCGTCCTCCAACAATGCTGATGCCCAACGACTTGCTAGGCTCTCTCCAGAGTTCAACCCTTTGTGATGAAAAAAGGACCAAACCAAATTAAAGTCTGTTGTGATTACAACAAAGATGCACACTGAAGACACCTGGATTTGCACAATTATTTTGAAAAATTCTGAAATAACTCCTCATTGCAAAGTTTTGTCTTTCAGTGGAAGTTATGTACCAGATTGATCAGAAATTCTGCAATTGAGTCTAGTATTGGTCAGCTTGTTTTGAGTACTAATAGAAACTTTGAATCTTTCTCTTCATCTTTTTTGACTTGATCCCTGTGAGTCAGCTTGGAATAAGTAGAGATTAATTACTATAACAATTAAGACACTGCTAGACTGCAGGGATGTAGCCCAATGTAGTAAAAGTCAATCATTAATCATTCCAGCAACGCATAACATACATAAGAGCTGAAATTCTGTTGTTTTTTACTTTTCTCAAAATATGTTTCAGAATTTTTGAATTTCAGATGGTATTTTATAATGTGCAACTAGATCTGCACTTACTTTCTGGGCTGGTTCCAGTTACTGAAACCTGCATTTTGAAGTTCACTTTCTTCTCCCTCCCCCTCTTCACGTTCTGGAAGCTCTGGAAGTTCCCTGATGATAAACATGAACATGTAATTGATTTCTAAAGAATACACATAATCACTACATTTTTCTGAAAAATTTCATATGTTGAGTCACCCTGACAATTTCAGAATTTGTACACTGGATTCAGGTAAGGAACTTCTTTTTCTGATGTCTTTTAGAATACATATGCTGTTCAGGGATTCCCTGTCTACTTCTTATCTGCAATGAAGTTTCTATCCACAACACAGAACAACAAAATGCAATTTGGAACTACAACCAAATCAAAGCTAAAGGTAATTTATGGTTTTCAAAATGGAAGAAATTACAACAGCAGCACTCAACTAAACTTACTGCTTTTGGAGATTAATTGCAAAAATCCAATTATTAATCACTTTGAAATTTTGGACAGTAACTGCACTGAATTTTCAAAACTGAAGGAAAAGAACGACACAATTTATTCTTTCCAGTCATGTTCTGGAAGACCATCAATACCAAAATCTTATGTTGGAAACTTCAGTATTTGTGGCAATCCATAAATCCAATTCCATGGTATTTAAGAGAAATTTAGGATGAGAAAGAATTCAATCTCCTTTTTGGACAGATCAAATAGACTTGCAAAAATGTTTAGAAATTTGCTAGTCAGAGCAAAAACTGCTTTTTACTGTTGTGGCTGCCAGACTGAAGAAAATAATCCATCTTTCATGTCTTCTGAAATAAAACTTATCTTCCCAAAATGTGCAAGGTCTATGGAAAGAGTTACCTTTGAGAGCTATTTGGGAGAAAGTTGTAAGCCTTTTGACTCACCTGACAAGATGTGAAGGAAAAAGTTCAAGTGGCACTGCTCCCTCTGTCTGTTGTCCCAGACTGGCCCTGTACTCGTCTAAATTTTCTGCTGGCACATATGTAATACTGCAATAAAATGGGACATGATTAAACTAGCATAGGGAATGCCAGTCCTCCATTTAGTGGGTGTGAGGTATGGATATGAGGAAGCCACTCAAGACTACTTTGTTGCCTTCAAAGCAACAGTGCTGGTATGCTGGGAATAAGCACTTACACAAATCCTTTGCGACTTTGCAACAAGTACACATCTATAGTCAAATTAGGTAGCTGAAAAGCACATAGTTTTTTGTAATTAAAGTAAATGGTGCTTGAACAGTGACAGGAATGCAACAAGAGACAATCCAGCTTCATTTAAAACATAGATTCCTCATGCAAAGACAAACACTGAAGGATCCGTGAGGTTTGAGGCACCATTATCACGCTTAAGGACTGCTGAAAATGTTTCTGAAAGTCAGCCTGTAGGAGGTTTTGTGGTTTTATGGGTGGTTTTGTATTTATTTTAGATTTCTATGCTTTTGGTGAAGAACACTTCAGGGTTTGGACACAAAAATATGTTACAGCACACCACCTATGCCACAGGGACCAATCCCCTGCTCAACTGCTTCCTCCAGGCCTTCGTGCATTTCCAACCACTTTAGGACAGTCAGTCATGTTCCATTAGAAAAAATTATGTGCAGACTCCACCTGATGTTTGAAAGCCAGAAACAGCCCAATAGACTGGGGAGAATGAAACAAAGAGGCGAAAAAAGATTAAGCCCTAAAGAATATTTCTTGAAAAGCTTCCATCTGGGAGGCAAAAGGATACCACAGAGTCCTCCATGATATAAGCAGGGCTACTTAGATATCCCTCTAACGATGCTTTATGTTCTTAAAAACCTACAGCTTAGCTATCAGACTCAAGTACACCAAGAAGTAAGGCTGATAGAAAAAGGGCAGAAAAAAGTCTTGTCTTACCATACATCATATTGTTCAAATTAAAAAATAACATATTTCTCCATGGAAGAGACAGGGCTAAATAAAAAATAAAAGGCCCTGGCCACTTCACAAGGATATATAAGCTGCTGGAAAGGGAAGAGACCCTTTCAAGTCTGAGGCTTTCACATGGAGCCGTCTCCTGCCCATCACCCCTGACTGATGTCCTCTTTGTCACGCCCTGACTGCCACTGATTCCTCCTTCTCAGTAGTTTTCTGTGGAATACATCAAGCATCAGAACAAACGCAAATAAAGTTCTATATGACTAATGCTGTCAGTCTAAAACACTCTACCAAAAATTATTAGAAGGGCCACCTTAATTTGTTCATCTCTGTATGTGTCCAAGCATGTCCCCTACCTCCTCTCACACCTACCATATCTAGAAAAGTGAAAAAGGCTCTCTAGGGTGCTGAACAGAAGGAACTTCCTAGTTCTCTTAATGGATATTTCTAAAAGCATATTACCTAAATTCATATAAATCTCCCTGATCTACACTGGCTTATTTTTCAAACACATAAGTGTTACTCTACTTGACACAACATATTTTCCTTTTGGAGTGCTGAGAAGTTAACATACGCTTGGAAACAAACTCTCAGCAGTATGTCACTAACCTTTATCTGCCTTTCCTGACGGTATTCTACCACTGCAAAATGCTAAAGACATGCATCAGCTATTATGTGAACAGCCAGCAGTAAAAGAGGAAAAAGTAAGAGAGAAAAGAATTTTGGAGAATAAAGACTACTATTTCTCAGCCATCTCCAACTCCAAGTGTATTGAGCTACAGTGAAGTAATAGTATTATGCTCACAAAACTCTCATGGGACAAATGCTGATGCAGCATCTTCACCCAGCTGGCCCACAAGAATACCTTGCCTCTACAAAAACTTAAAGACCTGTAAATTTCATTTCAATGTAAGAAAATGTAACATTCATTCAGTTATATTCATCACTTATAAAAATAAGTAGGAAATAATGTAGTTTTCCCTTTACAGAATGATATAGTAAACAAACCAGAACTTCTGGCTAGAAGGCCTGGACAATCTCCTTTATATAAACTGAAGCTGGAAGCTGTAAGTATGGAAAGGAGAAAGGCACACAGAAAGTCCTATAAAGGAAACAGGTTATACCAGATTCAGTGTGAATATATACAGCAGAGTGTGACCTCAGATAGTACAGTGTCCAATACATATCAGCTCTTACCTAGTCCTTTTCTGCAAGGAGTACAAGGCAAATAATTATGCATAGTGCCAAGGTCCAATGACAGCAGTAGTCCTTATCTTATGCATGAGCACTTGAGATCAGCTGATCTCAAGGGGGAGGCAAACCATATGCGCTCCAACTTCTGGGATACCCTATTGTGTTTGTTATATGATTAAATAACTGACATTGTGCTGAATAATTAAAAAGGTATGACTCAAAGGATGCTCTCAAAGAGTTTTAAATGCTACTTAGAAATGTCTCTGAAAAACTGCCTTACCTTTCCTTTCTGTGTACAGCACTGGAATTATAAAGAAAAAGAGGTTTGTTTTACCGTTTTTTAAAAATGCATCTAAAATTGAACAACCAAATTACCTAATTGATTTCCACAGATGGAATAAAATTTAGATAATCTCACTGGCAGCTGTTACATTTTAGTTCTTTGGAAAAAATACATTAATTGTATTCTAGTACTTAACTACAGTTCTAATAGCCTAGTATAAAGCACTCAAATGAATACTCAGTATGTTTTTGACTGTTTATTCTTATCAATATGTTCATTCTTACCTAGTTTCTATCATGCTTCACTTGTTTTACAAACATAAACCAGAACACTTGCATTTTGCAAAAAAAGAAAACATACAAAAGAAAAACAAATTATATGGATCAAATATATGAAAAGTTATATTCTGCGTGGAGTTCATCTTTGTACCTTGCTCATGATTTCTAAAGTCCAGTTAACTGCAAAGGTTTCCCTAACTGCTCTTATTACCTGTACTACTGATGTGACTGTCCTTCTATTCTCTCTGTTCTGCATGTTATTATTGAAATGAAAGAGTATTTTCCCTGCTTAGTGCTCATGGGCTGACACCTCACAGTTATCAAATCCATCACTTTCTGGATTTCTGCTGTAGCTCAGTTGGAGGTCAAAGTGAGGTCTGAAGACATTCAGCATCATCCTAAACAGCTCAGCTTGTGGCTGGGATGATGAGGTGCACAGAACAAGAAGTGTTTCTGGCTCCTCTGGCCAACTCTGTCGAACTTTGTGCCGTAAAGCAGAAATAAAACCCCACCAAGGCACCAGTTAATCTGCAAAACAGACTGGTAATTGTCTTAATACAGCAACAGGGAAGACAGTAAGACAAACAAGGGACAGAAAACAGACATGAAGGCAGAGAAAACAAAATAAATAAATGTATGCTCCACTTCTGTGTCATATTTCTTCGCTGCAAGAGAAATTAAAGTTCAACAACTTCAAAGGAAAGTATATGCATGGTTTAACCATCTTCCTCTCTTTTGTAGCTGTACAGCTTGAAAGAAAAGTGTTCTGGTTTTCTTTCTTAAGAGCTATCACCACTTCTCCTACCCCCAGAAATATGCACTAGCAACTAAAGCAGTGACAATGGAAACATCAATGGTTTTACTTAAGAAAGTGTCTTGTAAACACAAAACTGCATGCAGTACAGAGGAACATTTATCACATGCTTGACTGAACAGCCACACAAAACCTTGAAACACCAACAAATAAATTACAAAGTATGGAAAATGCTTAGGACAAATTATTGTAATTAACATTTAAGGTTCAATTTGAACCTCTGCATACATGAGGAAAGTAAAATGTAAGTGCCACAGAAAACATGACACTGAGATTAATCCAGATATCAGTACATTGTACTCATGCCAATTCTAGAAGTGAACCTTGTACACATACACACAACATGCACACGTGCTCTGAGCACATCTTGAGTGGCTGTCATAGATGAAATTTAAATATATTACCAATATTTTTATTTTAGAATACAGGTATTTTCATTCTAGACTTAGAAATCATGCTCCAATCTTCAAGTTTAAAGCCACATATAAATATATAATACAATTGTACACACACAGTTGTATCTTTCTTAATTAAAAAATATATACACATCCACATGTGCAGCCACATGTGCATGCACACACAAATATACATGAGAAGAAAGAGAATATGTACCTATATCTGGATATATCCCTGACATTACTATTGATGTCATAAAAGCATGGAATGATTTTACAGACAAGTTGCAACACAGAGCCATAATGAGTTTCTGAATTGCCAATACTCACACATAACACAGGGCCTGATCATCAGCAGGTGCTGGAGAAGATCTAGAACGTGAAGCATATGATGCAGCATCTTTTTACAATGGTGTTAATTAATATAAATGTCTCATGCTGGATGTGAGAGGCATACTTATATATGTAGAAGTGTGAGCTGATTTTTTTTTTTTCTTCCTTTCCTTTTTTTTGTCCTGTTCCACCTCCACTTCATCTACATCTAACCCAGAAAACATCTGGTCTTTATTACTATCTACAGCAGCAATTATTAAGAGGCATGGAAAATGGAATTGCAACCTCTCTCATTTCTTGATCAGGAATTCATCCCCCCATTTAGTCAGGTGAATTCTAATTCAGCTTTATAATTATCTGACAGATGTTACAAGCAGCTCCTGCTGAGCACAAAATACTGCCTTTATTACAGAAATATAAGAGCTCCTGGCAAGGTAGAGTGAGAAGTGAAACAGAATGCGTTCAGTAGGGTCACACATCTGGTATTCTACCCACAGAGGGGAAAAAAATTAAATATGCAACTCTGAAACTCAGGCTGCTTTTTCTTGAACTATTCAAAATCAAATATCCTTTAACAGAATTAAAGAATGCCTTTACATGGCTGGTAAGAATGGGTTTGTGTTTTGTTTGCAAATACTATTTGCTACTATTTGAAATACAGCTTTGGAAGCAAAATACTTCTGCTTAATCACTTTCTGGGGCACCCTGCTACCCAGAAAAGACTCAATCTAAAAGTTAAGGGGCAAATTTTGCAGTAAGGACAAAGAGGAATGATATCTAGATAGATATGTCTGGGTGCTGGCATAGCCTTGTTTTCCAAGGAAGACACCAAAGAGATTCAACTTAAGTCTTTGAAATGATGGCCCTTAAATCAAAAATGCTGCAAGGTGATGCCCCACATTAGCTCTGAATTGACAAATATGGGAGGGGAACGGGGGAAGGGTGTATATCCTTCTCAGCAAACATAAAGAACTGTCTTAAAATGAAGCTCCTCATCTCCAAATTTCTGATTTGGGGTGTTGGCCACATGTTTGTATCATAGTATTTCTTCTGGGATCCTGTATTGCTCCTTCAAGTTAAAAATTAAACAAAAGTTTGATTATGCTGAATAGTGCTACAGCAAAACTATGTAGTCACAAAAATACTGTCATTTTTCTTGCAAGACTCCTTTAGAAGCTACCAACTGATTTAGTCTTTCTGTTTCTAAAGTGGAGAAGCTGGCTTCACTCTAAAACTTGCCATAGGAATGCAAAAAATAACATAAATACAAAACAAAAGACAAAAATCTTGAGTAAGAATATGAATAGAAATTGCCCCTCTTCTGCAATATCTTTCAGAAATGGGGTGCATTTTTCTCTGGAAAATCTGAATATCCACACCTAAGGCAAGATTTTAGTATTTCCAACAAAACTGCAGAAGAGTAAGACTACAAAACAAAACTTGTAGTCACACAGCATTAAATAAAGCAGGTATAAATGCATAAGCACAAACAGTGAACACACCTGTATTTGATTATGGACTATAGCACTAAAAGAAGACTCCTCATAGAAAAATAGTGCTGCAGCATTTGTGTCTCTAAGCAGATATACACACACACATGCATGTGCACATACAACTGACTTCAATCATAACAGTTGGGAGTCATAGTTTGGAACCCTACAGTAATAATTAATGTCAGATTTTATCAACACTGACTCACGTATATTCCTGAGAGCATTAACAGTAATGTAATCATTACATGAGCATATCCCTGTATTTAAATAGGCTTACATTAAATCATAATCTTAAATGCATGACATGGGGCAGGCAAGTAAACCTAGTAGCCATAGTGAAGGTACTTTGCCCACCTGTTCCCAAAACACTAGGTCTCTTCCAAGCTAGAATACTTCTGGGCAAGTATGGAATGCCCTGCTGTCCATTCTGAACCCAGCTGTAACCTCAGTTACACCTATAACCACACTGGGACTGGACTGATTCTTTCAAGGCTACCCTCACCAAAAAGTAAAGGACTCTATCAACAAGAACTCCATTAATCCCTTTTCATATCTGACTCAATCAATGTTACCACAGGCTAAGCAGAGAAAATAGTCACTAGGTTTTGAAGCTGTAAATCAGCGCAACTGTGTCTACAGCACTACCCACATCTTCATGAACAGCCTCATTTCCAGATGGTTCTTGTGGGCAAAGTTACTTCCACAACCACAGCAACTAGAAAGAATTGTACTTTAAGGCAGTTAAAATTTTGTAAATTTTGTGAACTTGAGAAAAAGAAACTTTCTTCTCAAGAGGGCTTCTCAAAATTTGTATTAATTATTGAAAATTTGAAACTACTACAACTACTACCAAGAGAAGACAGTTATGCACAAGAACAACAGCTTATTCATATGTACTAATAAAAAACTGGAAGTGACTACAAAAAACAGTGTTTCTACTGTTTGTCATAAACTGAAATGTTTTAAATATTAATTTTCTGCATTAACATCATATTTCATACTGTCTGGCACCCAAAACCCATGAAAAAAAAAATAAATTAAATTACTTGTGCAACGGCCAGGACAGTCCACCTTCAAGAACCACAAACATCTTGAGAAAATTGTAACTTTAGTTACAAGATTGTAACTTTAGTTACAAGATTCATATTATGAATGCAAAATTCTGTCTAGTCCTATTCTTTCAATAAAACTAGGCAGGACAGTAATAATGATGATACTCATGACAGTGATTTCTAAGAATATCTGAAACCTCTCACACAAGTGATCTCATCTTTGAAATCCATGGAAATGAAATCTGAAGGTGAATTATCCACTTGACGCTGCAACTTAAAGGTAAATTGATGTGTAATAACAAAATTTTCATTTAAAATTCTTGCATAAATAAAAAAAATATTATCAGCTTTTTCCTACCATAATTCATCATTTAGTTTTACCTACTTTATGTCTGGTCCAATGAGTGAATGTCGTCTCAGCATAGCCCGGGCTTGAGCATTAGTTAAGTTAGTGGTTGACTCTTCATTAATGGACAGGATGCAGTCCCCCACACCAATCCGTCCATCACGACTTATTGAGCCTCCATGGATGACACTGCGAACTATCATTCCCAAGCCATCTTTATTGGAACTTACTGTCATCCCTATAGTAAAAACACATGAAACAGTTAATATCTTTGAGCCACAGCTCTGGGTGCCAAAATAAAGAAATGGGGCACAGAGAAAGGAAAAGTCAGTCAGCCAAGCTGCCAATATCACCAAGCCTATAAATGTTGCTCTTATTCTCCTCCTTTGAGACAGTAATTACAAATCACCATCGCAGTAACTTTACCTTGCTGTCAGTACACATACTCAGTTCAATACAAGAAAAATTAAGACAGTGGAGTATTTAAGCAAAAAATAAGAAAGATAATGAAATTGCTTAAAAAACATTTAAAATCACCACTCTTCTAATGGTTCACTGAGTTTATACACATTCACTTTTGTTTATGACAACTCTCTTTGGAAAGAAGGTGAAATGATTAAACAGGTAATTAATAGGCCAAAAACAAATACACACTTATTTATGAATCAGATCTCACTGAGATGTCTTCCTGCTCTCCTGGGTGGGCCATAGCTCAGACCCAAAAGAGCATTCTGACTTCTGTGAAAGTCTCTGTATTGCTAATGGATAAAGCCCAATATTTTACTTAAAACAGTATCCTACCTGTGGCAAAGAAGGATACTGCTTCTCAATATTTATACCCTTTAACTCCACTTTCTTTCCAGTAATGGAAAATAAGATATCCTCCTGGCCTCTCCTCTTCCATGGGGAACCTATAGGGACTGACTTATGATGACCTTCATGTGTCATTGTGACTGTTCTTACACACATGAGTTTTCACTGTTATCTTCAGGGCAGTTGGTATTCATCAAACAAACCCTAGTAACAGTTTCAGGAAAAACTTAGTTCTTCACTAAGGCAGTGGAAAAGGCAGGGCTGAAACCCTTAAAGTCCACTCAGTGGACTTCCACTACTACCTTAATACTGCTTAATAAAAAACTTTTTATTTTTTCAAAATAAGATTTGAAATTCTGAACCTAACCTTGCTGTTTGGTTAACATAGTAACAGACATTACTGAGAGTAGTGTAACAGCGCTTTAGGAAAACATCGCACATACAACAGACTGCCTTTCCCTTTTTCTATGCTGACATCATCCTTACAGATATAAAAGCCTGATGTTACACTTTGGAAAAACCCACAGTTTCAGATTAAAAATGCAAATTCCAAAGTAAAGTTGCCAAACTTTTTGCAGAACAATGGCATTTCAGCCCTTCTGCATTGGAGTGCTTCTCGCCTTTTAAAAAATCAGTCAAAATGTTAAAGCTCCAGCAGGCATTTATTCATAGCTGGCATTAAAGAGCTGCTGCAAACTCTGGCTGACACCATTTGAAAGGAAAAAAGAAGTGCCAGTTCTTAATCCTCAATTATTTAATCAATGCAGCTTTCAACATCATTCATAGTTCTTGACTTAGCTGCTTTTATAAAAGTGAAGGGTAAAAGCAGGGCAGCCATGTGCATAAACTGATCACTATGCAGACGCTGCTTCCCAGGCCAGAGCACAGCCAGACTGAAAGAAAAATGCTACAGTCAAAAGCCAGAAGAAAGCAATACTCACATTTTGTACATATTAAGACCAGTCTTATTTTTTATTCATAAAATGTCTGCCAATATGGACCCTGCCAAAGTTTGTATTTTCATGCTGTATTAAGCTTGGGATGAAATTTTCTTTGATGTTCACTGCACTTAAAATATTCATCCATAAATGAAAACCTACTCCACTCAATGAAGAGTTTATTGCAAAGAAAACTATTTTTTACAAAGTCCAGGTGCCTTGAAATGCACTGTTACCTGCACTTTATACAGGCTGGCAATGAGGCCAGTAAAGGTAGTAGTTAATCAAGGTCCTCATACCAATGAAAGATAAACCTTATACACATACCAGCCTTTTCCACATCTTTTTATTTTTCAGATCCTGATTTTAAACTAGATCCATTTTGAAGGATGGCTGTTTCATGAAGGTGGTATGTGAGAGACTGAGCATCCAGCCATCAGAAAGCAGTTTATTCAAGGTCAAGATGTCCACCGAAATACAGCTGTAAAAACTGACACCCACCTTTGCACAGCAAAGAAGTCCTGACTTGGGACTGTTTACAAACATCCTATTCTGTGGACAGCCCATTTTAAAGCATTTGCAGAGTTACTGCTAATAGACAGCACCCACACAAAGTGCTCCCACTAAATATTTATATTTTACTAATTAAACAGGGAACATACAAGAAAAACCAACAGTCATATTCCTGAAGAGTTTACAAAAAATGTTTGCTAACTTACCTAGGCTTGAATTGCCTTTTGCAATAGTGATAGTCTTCTCATAAATGTTTTTGACTGAATTTTGGGGTATGGAATTTCCCTCCAATGATACTGGGCATCTCTTTTCCATTAAAAGCAATTGATCCTAACATAAGGGAAAATAACACCAGCTCAATTTACCAAGATAAAAATGTTTAGTCATACTGATCTCAACTACTTTTGCCTTACACAAAAGCCATGCACATAATTGAGTCAGATTCCTTACACAGACAGAAAAGTCAGTTCATCAAAGATCAAACTAACATCATGATTTCTCTTTTCATTCAGGCAATATATCACATCTATCACAAAGCACACTTTTAATTCAGGGATATCAAAATTAGTAGAATAAATTCAAGGGCTTCAGATTCATTCACACAGATGTCTGGCAATTTGCCAGTATTAAGGTAACAAATCTTGTAAGAAATTGCAGCTCTTTTAATCATTTCTTAATAAATCACTGAACAGAACAAATAAGAAACACACATCACAGTGACTGTCATATAAAGGAAAATTATGTTTGCACACTGCAGTATCACAGATCAGTTTGTGAGCCGAACTGCACAGGCTTAAAAGAACACCATGATGCAATACATTCACACCATCCCCCTTTGGCTTCCTAGGCCCAATTCCAGCTGTGCACCTCCTACTTGCACTCATGCCCCTGTGAAGGTTAATAAGGGCTGAGAAAATTCCCCTGTCTTGCCTAGAAGTTAGGCAAGTTAATTTTTTGGTCTAATTGCAGGCTTTCTGTATGTTTTTTAAATTATTGTAAAAAAAAGAAAAAGACAAAAAGGCAAACTTTACTTTTTCATTGGGATCAAGCTGTGTGGTAGTAGCAAGGCTTGTATTTAGTACAATTTCTGATGCTGTCTGAGAACCAGTCCATGTTGCTGTATTTTCACTTTCATTTTGGTTGATATCTGAAACCTCCTGAGTCAGAAGATCTATTTTAGTAAAGTCACTTGCAGTTTCCAGGCTACTGTCCACTACAGACTTTTCATCTCTCAGTCTGTGACTCAGATTCATGTTGTACAGATTCTTCTCAGATACATGGAAATCAGATGCAGCATTTGGACATTCCTCTCCAACAGACTGTTCAACACAGGAGACAATGAACAATCACCATTCAGTTGTAGTGTAATTCAAAACCACATTTCATGCTAAAACCTTAAACAAAAACTAATATCATAGAATTTAAACATAATGCTGTGAGATCAGCAAGATCAACCTCATCTGCAGTTCCCTACAGGCATTCATTCCACTACAGAGTGAACCTGATTTCTTAGACAATTTCTTCTGCTTTATAACACCAGAAATCAGTAAAATAAGTTACTAACTCCAACTTGAATAACTCCAGTAAGTTTTTAAAATTCAAGCATACAGTTGTTTTTCTCAGGTGAAAGAACTTTGCAAGACCAATGTCTTTACTTTCAGCACACTTAGTAAGCAAAGAGGAATTTCAAGCAGCTCAGATAATAAGAATACAATGTTATCTTCCATTTAACTAAGCAGAAACATATTAAGCCTTCTCTTCCTCAGAAAGAGCAACAAGTAAAAACTTGGTCAAACCTCGGCAAAAGGTGAATATGTGGGATTTGAAATGTGACAGTAATGAAATACAATAATGCAATTACAGAAGATTACTAGTTAATAATTATTGCAAATGTACCAATTGTGGCTGCAGTACTTGGACTTAAGTTCCCTACACATTTGTTTAGACTTCCAAAATTCTGAGGCCCTGCCTTTGAAATGTTTCAAGGGATTTCAGTAATCACAACATTCTGGGGAAAAAAAGACCCACATCAAATATTCTAGCTGACCTTTTAAAGTAAATTATTTTAAAAACAGGTAGGCCATTTGAGTTTAAAAAGATATATCAAAGACTCAGAAGTTAGACCTTGAGGCTCTGTATCAATATTAGAGATGTTTTTTCTGAAATGCAATAAGAGAGCTAAAAATCAACTACCTCTATATGTCTTAGTAGTTATCCACCAGTCCTATTAATTGTTCTATTGCTTCTCCAAAAAGCTGGGGAGACATGCTTCCCAGGATTTGGGAATATTTTGCAACATTTTGTCTCAAGAGCCCTAGAATTCATTTTGTCAACTTTCATGAAGTGCATACATGCTTGTTCTGTCCCCAGACAAGAATCAAAAAAGGCTTACTAGTAAATAAGTGGTTTAAGCAATAGCTGAGAAGATAATTGAGCAGAGCCTAAATACAACTAATCTGCATGATATAATCAATTACATAATTTCCTACCTTTTTGAGAATGAACACAATACTATAATCTATTTAAATTATTTTACAAGGTTTCAAATACAGCTGGGACATCTACTTTTAAGTTTGTTTAGTATCCGTTTCTAAATCAGTGAAAAAAAGCATCAAATCATACTCAATACTGATTTCGTACGCCATATATTAAGAGTTGCATCATTTTTATTTTTGTTTCACTTAAAGAAAAGCCAATGATGCAATTTTTTAGGACTAAGACAATTCCAGGAATTCATTACTATAGTAACATGTGGCATCACTAGAGCATCTGCTTTATTTTAAGTATGTTTTTCAACACCTATTTTAAATGTGACACCAGAGTGACACCCAGAACCTGCCAACTGCCCTGCAGCCAGAAATAATGGAAACATCTTCGCATTCCTCACAGCATCAAACAGTGCTGTTTTAATTTTTACTGAATTTCACTTGCTTCAAAAGTCTTCATTAATGAACAGATTTTCCCACTACGTTTGTTTTTTGAATCATGAATAGGCTGCTTGATGAGAACTTAGTACTCACTTCATACTAGTGTACAGAGATGAACACTGAAAAGTCAGGACCACGGTATTTTAAAAGAGTATATAAACCAAAGCTATCTTTAAGTCAATGGTGAAAATAACTTAAGACTTTCTAGAGCCTCAATGTGATACATAATGTAAATCCAGACTCTATCTCACAAAATGCTCCTACTCCTAAGCATGTAAAGTGCATAATCCATTTAAGTAACAATTACAGAGCTAAACAACGCAAGCTGTCCCACTGGCACAGCAAAGACGTGCTCTTCTGTGGATTAGGAGAAACCATTAGAAGATGAATCTTGCTTTCTAACCAGCACTTCAAAAGGGCTAAACACATTCCAGAAAAGTTGACGGGAGTTACTGCAGGTCAGGTGTGGCAGAAAAAGCAGCAGCTTTTATTCAAGACCACAGACTGCAAACCCAGTGGTTTTCAATGAAGACTGCTAGGACAATGGAATTGGAAAGTTCTAGGTTAGTGATACTAAAATCTAAAGATTTAAAAGAAAAAAAGAACATGAGAAACAATGTAAAGAAAGATAAGACAATCAGGTCATTATGGGTATGTGACCAAGAACAAAAAAGCTATTGATCCTTTTAATACTCTTAAATAAATATTCATTTATTGCTTAACATAAAAATCATTAGCAGAGTTTTGACATACATGGATTTACTTTTCATTACAGCATCATTATGAAAATTTCATTCAAAAGTATAGAAACATACTAATTATGAAACATAAAATAAAAATAAGGATGAAAATTTACTCTTGCTTTTCATATCAAAATACAGAGCAATAGAATAATTTCATGTTACCATTCTTTACTATGTTTTGGACAATTACGTTTTTCTAGCAGACTGCTCACCACACCTTTAATACTACAAACAGCTCACCATACTCTGGCTAAATTGTGCTTTTATCTAGCAAAAATCCAAGCTTTGTCCCTTCTATCTGCCTCTTTCTTCAACAAAGACATCTGCAAGACATCAGCACTACTCGAAACAAAATGTTATCCTGGTAGCAAATAGGGCATTTTCAACCAGCATGACACAAAACATTTCTGTCTGATAATACAGCCTGCTCACACTTAAAATCAATGTTTGCCATTAATAAAACCATCCTCGATTTTACCTTGGGAGTTGTTAATGGAAAAGAGAAGCTGTCGCTCACCCCACTGCTACAGGCACTGTCATGCAGAGCTGTCACTGAGTCCTGGAAGACGTCTCTCTCTAGAGAATACTGTGATTCAAAGGTGGACTCATCCGCTAGATCTGTCTCACCAGAGTCCACCTAACAACAAAAGCAATTCAATCAGCCAGGCTGTTGCCATCACACCACGTAAGTCCCAAACACATGCACACCAGCCACTATATACTGATACTTTTCTTCTTTTTCATTCCATGTTTTAGACTGAAATTACATTTGCACAGTGCAGCAGGAATATCTTCTGCTTCCAGCAAATCCATGTTACTACTTCTTCAAAGGTTGCAAAGAATATCTGAAGTAATGCAAGAGCCTGAACCAGAGTAAATTTCGGGGCTGAGGCATGCTCATGTCTATTAATAAAAGTACCAAGTGTTGGGAGAATTCTGCTGTACTTCTTGGTGTCTATATTTTGATTTCCTTCGGGCTTCTTTTCTTTTTTCTTTCTAATTTTTTTTACAAAAATTAGCACGGAAAAAATATTGAACTTCACTCGGTGCCACATGTCAGCAATATTGTTGACTCAACTTCTTAGGATCAGTTATTTTTAAACTCTTTTAAAAACAATCAGGAAACTACAGTGCTTTACAGTGCTTTTATAAGAAAAATTCATTAAATGATTTTTTTACATGGATTTTAAATTATTTTGCTTTTGACTATAGGGATTTGTGTATTTCTATTACTCTTACATGAGAAATAAAATTTTTAGAAGATTTTTAGACATTGACATGGGTAGTATTTTTGCCTTTTTTTTTTTAATGAAACATATTTTTTTCAAAGACTCAGATTTTTTAAAATACAAAAATAAAATTAAGCCCTAAAACCCCTAATTTATAGTGCTTCATACACTACACTTTGATTATTATTTCATCTCCCGGGCAGAGCTCAAGAACATATGTAGGCTAACAAAATGATCACTGGGTTAAGAGCCATGCCTGTATCGTAAACTTGTATGAAGCAGATGAGTGCACCCATCTACAGAGATGGGATCTAACTTGTTTTTCAGCCCCTGTGCTTAATCATATTATGAATCCATTACAGCAGTAGCAACAATCTGCAGTAATTCAACACATTGATTCCTTTTCAGGGTAAAAAGGATTATTTTTTTTATTATTTCAAACCTACAGACTTAACTGATAATCCAAACTGCTTCTTTGCTGTAACTTACTCTCAGCTCATCTTCTTGAAAATGCATATTCGTTTAACCAAAGCTATGCCCTAAAAAAGTATTGTGAAAATTCAGGACATATCTGTAAAATCTGAGTACCGATCTGTCTATGAAAAACAGTATCTCATACGTGCACTCTCAAAACATATCTTCAGCTGGGTGACTGCACATTTAGTTTCGCATTTTGCACATTTAATTAGACAACTGACAAACATGATTGACAATTTTATTATGTCATGTATTTTCATTGCTTTTTTTCACAAGTTTTTTTGACTAGAAGCACAGATGGAAGTCAAATTTTTTTAGACAGTTTTAATCTGATAATTTCAACACATCTTCAACATATCACAGTTAAAGGTTATTTAGAATATAAAACTGTGCTCTTCTAAATGAATGGAGCAAGAAAGATACTGTTACCTAACTGCTAAAGGTAACAAACTGAAGAATTAAAAACATGTAGTCTTGTTTGAAGGCAAGCTATTAAGTCAGCCTGTCATCTGCAAATGTTAAAAAACAGCAAACCTGCTGCAAACAGTAATGCAGAGATTTTCATCTTGATGGACTCCATTTCAGATTTTTGTTCAATTTCAACTTTTTTTCTAATCAGCTAAGTTCTCATGTTTAGAATCTGCTGCCCTGCTCAAGTCCCCAGAAAATGAGGGCCTAATAATTTCTACATCAGATCCAGAACAGAACAAACAACCATGAGAATACACACTTGGAATACATACATATACACATGTATTCTGGCTTGTTGATTCATTTCGTTTTTTTAATTTTGTGGGAGGAGAGGTTGGGGGATTTTTTTGCTGTTTTATAGTGCCCTAGTTCCTGTGTATTTTTAATCTGAGTCCTTATTGGTAACTTCTGGGCTATGTAAGGCACTGAATGCTCAGGTAAGCCGCATTGTTTGTACAAGTGAACACCTTTTGACCTTGTAAATCTCATAATCACTGATTGATGTTGAAGGCTGAAGAATATTATTAGGAGGAAGTATTTGCAGCTTTTGAAGACAGAGTATTCCTTGTAAGGCTGGATTACATGCAAAAAGGGAATATCAAAAACTTTTCACAGTATAAAAGTGATGTATTATGATACATAGAAAAATAAGCACATGAACATTTCTCTAAAAAGGTGAGATTTCCAAAGGGCTGCTCAGTGCATGCAAGGACAAGTGGATAGCCATGCACGTTTGAAAACATCAGCAAAATACTTTTTTTTTCCTCAGCAATGAACGTATCATAGGCCAGATTCACAGCTCATGCAAAAAGCCCAAGTCTCTATACAGCAGTTTCTACAAAGTCAGAATCCATTCCACCTACAGGGGATGAGTAAGGTGGACACAGTGAACACTAAAAAATAAGCATGGACAGTGACAAGGCAACTCCTTTCACTACAAAATGCAAAGACTGAAGAAATCTGTGGTAAGTTGGGCCACTAACCAGAGCCAGCTCAGCACGGAAGAGGGCTGCATCAACTGGCCCCTCCTCCTCAAGTGACTGGGCAGTGTAGAAAAAGCAATCTTCCTTAGCAGAGACATAGCCCTCCTCAGGTGAAAGCTGCAGAAAGAAGGAAGCTCTGAGTCGGATGAGTGGCCTGGACACAGCAGGTGCAGAGTGCATTCTGCGAGACGGGCAGGGGACTGTTTAGAAAGGCAAATGGATTCCAAATGCAGCAAAGAGATCATTTCAACCACAGTCACAGTATTCAGTGGGTAAAGAGACAAATTCTTTTTTTCAAATTTACCTGTATTTATTCAGCTTCACATCTCATTCTGAAACCACAAATAATGAAAAAGTATACCAGAGAGCCCACAACTTAGTCTAGGCTCATTTTTTTTAGTATATCTTTAATAAAGATATACTAAAACGGGCATCACAGCTGCCAACAGAGAAAGAGCCTAACTGCAGAGGTCTTTATAAGCTTGCTAGCCACACAGCAATCTCGCTTGCAGGCAGGAAGACCTAATCTACTCTGTGTTTTACAATTGTATCTGTCAGCGTCTAGAGGACAAAATGTAATTTTGCCTATAAACCAATAGCTTTTCCAACATAATTTGATAGTAGGTGCATTTGTCCAGTACTGCAAAAGAAGTAGGGATTATTTGCAACATTTAATTACTTGGCAAACATAATACATGAAATATTGAGGTGCAAATGCCATATGTTTACAACTTCAGGGAAACAAAACCCCCTGCATTTTCTCTTTTAGAGTGGCATCTTCTAGAGTATGAAATTTTGATTGCAATTAATATGGAGTCTCCAATAAAAAAAAATAATTTAGCAGAGCAAGTTAAAACATACTCTCTTAGTATGAAAAGCAAAGTTTCTGGGAACTTAAACAACAGATATTCCCTCCCACTCTCTCCACAAAGATACACTAAGAAAGAAAATTTGGTATCTACATCCACAAGGGTTACAAGATTATCAGCTCATGAAAAGCAAAAATTAACTCCTAAAACTGTGCTTGGGCTTATTAATATAGAGAAAGGGATCTTCCTTGTATGTATGTATGAACTAATGCCATTCTACTGATTTGAACTTAACCCATCAGGAATGCTCACTAGGATGTTCACCAGGATTCTTACTGCTACACTATCTCAGTGACCATAGGTCACCTTTAACTTCCTTTTTCAAATTGTTCCAGACTACCTTATAAAACCAAACCTGAAATAAGCAGCTGGATGTATACAAACTGAAGACTACAAAATATAACATAAGCAAAGTGTGCTGTTTAAATACAAAGATTGCATAGATACTTGTGAGGGACTGGAATGTTTATGGTCAATGCATCAAGCACTTGCTGAAACAGCAGGTGCTTTGCTGACCAGGCACAAAGTAACCACCCAGCTGCAGAGGGGATGCACACCCACCACCCAAGGCTACAAGCTGGGTTTTGAGCCAGATAAGGGAAGAGGCTGGTAAAAAGCAAATCCTGCAAGGTGCAATAGTGCTTTTTATCATGACTGTGTCCTTACACAAGTGGCTCAGGTGTGAAAACTCCCCTCTAGAGACCTACCAGGACACTCACATGAAGCCTGAAGGTATTCATGCCTTCTCATGGACTATAATTGGCTCAACTATGCTAACCTGAGAAGACGTTCTAACATCTTAGGTGTCATAAACCATCAAAGAGAGAAATGCCACGTGATCTATGGGGTTACATGAGACAGTGTAAAACTCTCCACCACAGGGGAGGTACTTGGGCATTCTCATCTAGCCTGAGCATGTATTAACTCATTAAAGTTGGTGTTTCATAGGTTTTCCCCATCCCCAGTGAATCAAGACTGTGACCAGCACTTCGAAGGGGCACTGAAATTGCAACAATCTAGTCTTGTCACTGTATCCATGGGTGGTGACTACATACCTTTTTACCCTTATCATCTCTGTCTTTTCCCATATACATTTTCTGAAGTGTTATTTTTTTTGCTTTTTGATGGTTGCATATCTAATCAAAATGCTTACATTTTAAAATGTGCCAAGTATTATTCTACCTTAATTCTTTAAGCTTACAAGTAAAAATTCGTTATTGAACCTCTTGAAAGTTTTCTTGTTTCTCCCACACGCCACCCAGAATAAATCAAACAACCTCCCCGAGCAGAATAACAGCCATAACGATACTATACCTTGCAAACCAAAGGAATTGGTAAATTCCACACAAATCAAAAACAACTTTATGTCACCATCTCACACATTCAGAGAACCATGTAAAGTGTACAGTGTACAATACTATGCCTGGCAACTTTCAGCCCTGAAAGGCTCTGCTGGTTGCAAGGTGCTTTGCTGTTTTATCTGCAAGACAGGTGTGCTAGGTCCTGCAATCACTACACCAGCAATATACTACCTCGGCCACTCCTACATGTAAGGCAACAGTTGGGCCACCCAGCTGTACCCCAAAACACACAAAATTATGGAGAACTCAGGATCAGCATATACTAGCTTCAATTATATTCTTACAGGCAATGGTTTGGCAACTCCTATTGTAACTGCTCCTGTTGGGGCTCCTTTCAGTGCTTGCACCGCTTCCTCCAGGCTGCCATTTTCCAGGTTGATATCATTGACAAACATAAGCCGATCTCCTGGAAGAAGTCTGCCATCTTGCTCAGCCACACCCCCAGGAACCAACGAGCGAATCACAATTACAGTGTTTGCTGGATCAACAGGATCCTAATTAAATAAAGGGAAACAAAATATTTAACTTTTTTTACTCTTTTGTATCTTGAGAGGAGAATTTTTATTCATGAGCTTTTATTAGCTAGAGTTGTGTTATTAAGAAGTGTTGCTCTCCTCTAGATGAACCTTCAGTTGGAGCAAACCATCCTGTCTGTACTGTCCATACATTTAGACATCCACTTATTTTTAATTCTTAGATGTGAAAATTATTACTCTTTTCTAGGTGATGTTCCATCATGTATCTCCAATATAAAATACTACTATATGTGCACAGTCTTGTCCAAGCACACCAGAAATTCATAGACTTCCTATTGTAACAACAGTGTTGCAAACTCCATCCTCCCTTATGCTCAGAGGTCTGAGGACACAGGTGGGCAATGCAGACTGAGGCAAATGTAGCACATGCACTCTGTTGGAACGAGTTACTTATTTTCATTAACTGCCTTATACTTCATGACCTTGCTCAACTGAGAAAGCAATTTTCAAGAGGCAAGGTCTTGTGCATGCCTAATGAAATACTTACATGAGAGAGGAACATATCAAAATAGGACTAATCCACAAGACAAAACAAAGTGATGTTTGCTTTTAAGAAAGAAAACTGCTTTTAAGTGACCGTCCTCCAATATAGTGATTTTTATAAAAAAAACTAGCATCAAATACTAATAACAGGAATATATAATTCTGCTACAACAATTATCACACATGCAAAATATTTGTGTGATTCTTACAGAAATACATTCACAAGGAACATCATGTTAATACTTCCAACATGCAGTTCATTTGAGAGCATGAACAGAAAAAAAAAAAAAAAAGAAAAAAAAAAAAGTAGCCATGTAACAGCTTTACTGAAAGCAAAAGTAGAGAAAAGTAAACATCTACAAACCAGCATGCAGCTGTAACGCGTTTTCATGTCAAGATGTACATCTGAAAGGACAGACATCATCAAGGCAACATGAAAAAGCCACAGGAATAGGGAGACCACTGAAAGCTGGTCTGAGAGAGAAGTGTTGATGGAGGGAGGGAGAGAGGGAAAAAGGGAGTGAAGGAAAGAAGGAAGGACACCAAGACGACCTTTAACACTTGATGACAGTAAAAAGAATGCCATGGAGCAATAAAACACTTCCCAAGTCAAAATATGATGAGCATTGACATCTTCCTCACCATTTTAACAGTAAATACTTACACTGTCACTTCAGATGGCACTATGTATGACGCATTTTTTGGAAAAAAAAAAAAAAGAAACAAGCCTCTCTAGTCTATGTGACCATCTTCCTTAGGGTTAGAAATAATGTAGACCTTTCTACAGACCTGCTATTGTATAAAACATAAGGAATGTATTAGTATGAACATAATTCTCCTCAAGTTTAGTTCACTGAAAATGAATTGAGAATTTGATGGAAACAGAAAAATAAAAATGTAAATCTCCCTGTAAATTTACTGTTCACAGTCTTAGAAGAAAGCAAAACTTTGGTGACTAAGTGAAATTTTTTACTGCATATCAAAGGAGAGAACATATGACAGTACCCAAATATTACAACATCAAAAAAAAGCTAAGTATTAGAAAGCTGACTAAAGCTAGAAGACTAATTCATATTTGAAAAATACATTAACCAACTTAATGCACTTCCCACAAGCCTTTAGGACTATTATCCATAAACAAAATTCAGTCACTAGCCATATATGCACCCACCACTTGTATTAATCCTCAGAAGAGGCTAAAGCGAAAATATCTTCTTCTGAGTGCTGACATGGACTCAAACACTCAGGTTCATCTGTGATGTCTCACTGCAGAGCATCATGAGCAACACTTTAAAAAGCAGTCAGTGCTCAGCATTCATAAAAGACACTATGCCTTTATCCTTCACATTATTACACTACACTGCTCTTCACCTTATCAGTGTGCAAATGCAAAATCTAAGCCATAGCTTAATTGTAAGGAGTGCACTGGGCCTGTAATTTCCACCTGGAAGTGATCTCCAGATGTAAATGCATTTCTATGGACAAGATCCAGCAGAAACCTGGAAAGAAACCTGACCTCCACAGCACCACAAAACAGCTCAGCAAAAGCCCGCATTGACCTCAGGGAGAAATTACTTCACATTCAATTAAAAATTATCCACTAGAAAACTGGGAACAGGAGGAATATTTGTTCTGGCATCCTTACAAGTGAAGACAAGACAGGCACTGTGCTGTTGATTGGGACACACCAAGAAACATATTTTAGACATCCAGGAATTCTGAAGTCACACAAAATGAATGGGGATGTTTAAGCATGTCCCTGACAGACAGCAGCTAAGCAAGGGATTTCAGAATTACAGCTCTGGATTTTACTAAATCCTGCTTTAAGCATTTAAGTCCTTTATTGGATCTTGCCCTAAACACCTCACTGCAGGTGCAAAATACATGGCTAAATGCCTAAATATGCTGGCTACATAATTCATTGTCCTTGGGTCACTAGAAGACAGCTTTCTGAAAACCCTAGCATATAATGGATTATCTGCTTTTCTGAACCAGTATTACCATCATCATTAGAAACTGTTGTCTTAATACAATGAGAGGAATATGTAATATAATTACTGGAATGACTACGAGTTGTGATTAGTTCTGCTCTACTGCTTGGTTTCAATTAATGTTTATCCTTAAAATGCATAGAACATACTGCAAGATCCAAATAATATGCAGTATTTTGTACTCCATTCAAAGAAGTGCAGAAATTACCTGATAGTCCAATATGCTAAATCCAAGCCCCATAATCCCTTTCTCCAGCTCAATGTGCTGTACTTCTGTTTCCCACATTGCCAGAGATGAGTTTTGCACCTCTTCCACACTCTGACCCTCATCAGCTGTTTCCAAAGTTGTTCCCTCTGTGTCTGAGGAGCCAATGAATCCAAGTTCTATGTGACCCTGAGAAAAACAATAAATGTTCACCAATAAAATGTGGACACTTGAGAATCTTTAGAGACAAAACTCTGCATATGAAAACAAGATGAAACCTAAGTGATATCTCTAAACACAGAAGAAGTGCAAACACTCAGAAGATTTAATGAATACTGATAAACCTAGCACAAAATTCAAATATCCTTCATAGCCAAGCTGCAAGTATATTAAACTACTCACTAGAAAAATATTTACAAAATGGAATTCTGTCAAATTTAAATCTTCAAAAAAACTTTATTAGTATATGCATTCAAATACATGGGAAATATATTTTATTAAATGGTATGTCTAAAATATGCCTTCATTAAATGTAATCATACTGACAGCAGCCAGAATATTCAATAAAAGTAAAAAAACAAACAAATACGTCCATACACAGACTGTTCTCCACTTGGTTTCATAGAGAAGTTAGAAACTATGAGCTGAATTTGGTGTCTTGCTCAGAACTCAGAGTTAACTGTTTCTCTTTTCATACAAATACTATTGCTTTGTATACTACACCCTAGGCCATTCATACATGTTTAGTTCACCAGGCTGCCCAGAGCTGTGCACTAACAAGTGACAGAAGTGTCAGTCAAGGAATGCAAACACAGTTATGTGCAAATCTAGGTAGCAAAGTTCAAAACTACATTAAATACATTCAGATTCTAAAGAACAGTTCAACTTGCTATACTCCTATATCTCACCTACAGAACAAGAAGTACAGTACTTAGAGAGACAGCCCCCACATCCTAGAATATTTATGCCTATGATCAGCCAGGATACATATCTTCTGGGGGCTTAAAAATAGCTGATAAACATTATTTGCTGTTTCCTGTTTGTCTGGCTCCAATTAAAAAAAAATTAAAATATATTTATAATCATGTAGATGAACTTAATATTTTCTTTTTTTTTTTTTTGTTTTCTCAAGGAAACTGTCATTTCCAGTGATTGTTTAAAGACAAAATACCTTTTCCGTGAGCTGAACCTCAGATAGGCTTAGACTCTCCAGTATTTCTGGTTGAGTAACAGGTGGAGCTACTGGACGACAGCACACCATTGTCACCTTAATAGGCAGCTCTTTCAAGATACTGACCACATCCTTGTGGTTTTCTCCAAGCAGAGAGATCTCATTCACCTCAATAAATAAAGAATACACACTAGTTAGAACTACAGTATATTTCTAAGCACAGTAAGAAAAATGAGTAAAAAAAAAACCCAAGCAAACCCCAACTCACTAATCACTTCATTTTAAAAAAGTAAAAAAAAGTAAAATAAAAGCAACAAAAATCCCCATGCTAATAGACACTTTCAACCCTTATTTTCTACTCAATCCAGTGCTCAGCATCAAGGTATGTATTGAACTAAATGTATGGTCTTTTAAAATGCGTGACACCACCCTACAAACACCATATACACCATAGCTTCATGTTTCTTGCATTAATATAAACAAAATTCACATCTTAATTCTAAAAGAATAATTTAGAAAAGTAATTAGATGTTTAGTCCCTTCACTGAGTTGGGATAGTCCTATTAAATCTTAACACTTTTGTTACATATTCTTTTTTGGTGACTGTCTTGATTTCAGCTGGAGTTAATTTATTCTCAGCAGTTGTGCAATGTTGTGTTTTGGATTCAGTTTTGGATTAGATAACCCACCAATGTTTTGGTTGCTGCTAAGTTGAATCAAGGACTTTTTTATGTCTCATGCTCTGCCAGTGAGGAGGTACAAAAAAAGAAAAAAAATATATGAGGGAACACAGCTGGGATAAGTGACCCAAATTGTGGATATTCCACACCCTAGAGCATCACGTTCCCAGTATATAACTGGGGAGTTAGTTGGAAGGTGCACTGATCAGAGCTTGGGCACAGGGTCTGGCACTGGTCAGCAGGTGGTGAACACTTTTACTGTGCATCACTTGAAGGTTTTTCTGCTTTTTACTATGATTATTATTATTATACTTTACTTTGTTTCAGTTATTAAACTGCCATTATCTCAACCTACAAGGCTTTACTTTTGATTTTCCTCCTCATCCCAGCAGACTGGGGGTGAGTGGGGTGGGTAAGCAAGTGGTTGCATGGTGCTTAATGGCCAGCTGAGCTTAGACCGTACGAGAAAACTTGGACTACTGAAAAATCAGCTACCAGTTAAGAAATGTATGTAAGCACATGTACTCACATAAATATACGTAAGTACATATGAAGTGACTACTCAACCACTACCTGGCATGCTGTTAAGCATACATCATTTCCACGGTCATAGCCTTTGAGAAGAAACTTACTGCTCAAAAACCTTACTGAATGCATACTAAGATAAAGCAGTACTTCATCTTACTTCCAGCAGTTCATCTCCACTGAACAGCTTGCCACTTCGTCCAACTGGCCCTTCAGGTAAGATAGATCTGATGAAATGATGACCCACTGTAGCTTCAAGGCTTATCCCTAGCCCACTGCTTTCACTAAATTTGTTAACCACAGCCACCTAAAATAAGATGAAGAAATGGTTACACTGTCTTATTTACAGCAGGACTGTCACTCTCCACTTCAATTTACGTGCAATTAGGTCAAAATTCCAGAAGTGAGAAACCAGAAATACTATCATGTCAAATCAGGAGTCAGGTAAAAACTGACTTGTTGGTCACACACCACTTGCAATACACAAGTGGGAACTGCTTATGACAGCAATGTATCTAATAATACATACTTCTGCAGACACTACATCTGTGACATACAATCTCCTAAACTGAAATATTACTTTTCTTCTGTATCTACAGTATATGTTCTATGCATTATTTACATCATTATGTGAAATCATTTATTCAGTATGCAGAATGAGAATGAAGCTTCAAGTTCTAGCTAATGAAGTGAGCTTTGAAGTTCATATTAATTTCTTTTTTCTCTAAACACATTTATCCTCCTATCCTGAAGCTAGAAAATCGGTGAAACAATAGTCATGAGCACAGTAATCTAACAAGTCTGCTATGGTTTTGATAAAATACAGAAAAATACATATCTGCATTCAAAGTCTATAATTAAAATAATCTTAACATACTAAGGAGCATATGTCTAATTTTCATACATGAAGGAACAAATGCAATACAAACATAATTCCATCCATATGTTGTCAACATAATAGATGCACAGATGAAAGAGATGCATATTTAACAAAATTTACCTACCACTATCTCATAATTGGAACCCATAATCCTCTGCCATTTTATCTTTGCAGCCGCTTCTTCTGTACTAGTTAGCTGGAAATCTAAAATTTATATTTAAGATTATTGTGACAGAGAATTAAAAAACTGAGTCAACTCCTAAACTGATAAAGTATATGGAGCATGCATAATGACACAATCATTCCCATGATGTCAGAACTCTCCTAAATATGACTAAAGACCTGGCATGTTTAGTCTCACCAAGCCTGGGGTTACCAAAGCAAAAACTTACAAAGCAGTATAACGATTATAAACATGAAAAACTAACTGTGTATTTTGAAAGACATGAAGTTCATTCAAACAGTTTGGTGGCTGGGAAAAAAATACCTCAGAGCTGAGTCTATTTTTTGCAATTTTTCAAGATAAAAGGCACAAAGGATAGGAAAAGGTTGTGTTCAAGCCCTGTGTTAAATCAGAATACATGTGGGCTGCTCAGATTGATTCATGGGGATGGCTAGAATACTTAAAAATGCACACTGATCCTTTTGGACAGACCCTGTATTTTACACAGAATGTCCAAAAAACATAATCTGGAGATCTTACTTTTTTTTTTTTTTTTTTTTTTTTTTTTTTTTAAAACGATGAGCACAATTGTGAAAGATTTTTCTGAAACTGTAAGCCCTAAAGGTCAGTAACAGAATGTAAGAAGTCCAAGTTCTCACCTTTTTTTAAAAAAAATATTTTAATAGCTAAAGAACAGTAACAAATTTGGAAAGGAAGGAAGTGGGAGAAGTGATACAGTGACAGGCTAGGTAGCAAACTGTGGCAAATCTTAATTTGACTGAAAGTTTATTTGCAGGTTTGTAAAACAGAAATGCTTTATTCCTGCTCATTTCCCCCTCATTCACATTGTCTAGGCTCTATGGCAGAAACCAATAAAAAGCAGTATTTAGATACAACAGCCAGCAAACACAGCAAGTTTAACAGGAACCTACATAGTCAAGGTCCATGGTCTGCACTGTGTCTACAGTAAGTATCAAAATAAACTCTCCAGATCTGAATGCTCATCACAGGCAAGGACAAGAATCTTCATTACAAAGTTCTCAAATCCCACTGATTTTAGTAAGAATAGAAAATTACTAGGCGCCTCAGACAGTGTTTTAAGTCTAGTCATTGCCCAGAGACATTACTAAGTATAAAGTCAAATGTTGCATGTCATTCAAAGAGGACAATACTTTCCCCAAACCCAAGACACAGCAGTATCTGAAGGGAGGAAGTTAAAAAGAAATTCCTTCAGCTATCCAAGAAAATCAGAAAGCATGAGTTATGAAAAGATACATATTGCAGAACTTTTCAGTTCCTTTTACTCCAGAAGCATAAAAATGTTACACATCAAGTTGACATATCAAGTTCTGTCTAAATCTGAAAAGCATATCATCACACAGGACTTCTGAAAATGCCAAACAGTGCTCTAGGAGACCAAGCAGGAAAAAAAACCACAGTAGAAAATAGGAATTTTCACAAAGAGTATGAGAAAATTTGGAGAATATCAGTAAACCAGAACTGACTGAATTTCAGACATTACCAGAGAATACTAAATTAAATATAAGTTCAAGAATTTGGGAAAGGAAATTCATCAGAAGATGTAGAAGTTCTGGAACTGTAGCTGGGCAGCTGCAGACAACTGGAAAGACAACAGGAAATGGGAAGGAAACTTTTTTCTTTTTTTCCTAGACTAGACTAAGAAGAGTAGATATGCAAAACTAGACTGGGAGAGGGTTGAGCAAGTAGCCAAAGCAGACTGCTTCATGTGAGATCTTCAGCATATAATTATTTTCAGACTCATACAAAACTCACGATTTGTTCCTACAAAACTCATGATTAAGACTGCATGGCTAAATGTATGACTACTTTGACTTTCTAGTTCTACCTCAGCTACAGAGCATGCAGAAGATGGAAAGACACACAAAACAAACACCTGATCTTTGTGTAAGCACACAGAAGGGCATTTTCACAAAATAAAATATTAAACCTTGAGAACCTGTTTCCTGTTGTTTCATGTCATCTCCAATATTTACCACACTGGCACTGCATGGCAGTGATGGGGATCCCTGTTCTGTTTCACTGTTATCTGAAAAAAAGAAGAAATATTTTCAGCTATTTAGGTATTTTATATGTCACAATACTTATCAAGCCCACAGGTATGCTGTGGGGCACCAACTCTCTCCTTCACTGGACTTCAGAGTACCCATATTTGGCAAATGGAATCTGGCATGTGTGGCCCAGAAGAAACATCACATTTCAAAGACATTGTCTTCTGTTAATGCATTGCCTTGTCCAGTGAGTTCAATGAAAGAATCTGACAAAAAACCCAGCACATTATCAGTACCTGCATTTCTACAACTCAATAAAAATACATATTAATATTAACATTCTTTAGCATTCTTGTATTAATTTTTTTTTCCTTTGTGCAATTCAGAAAGCTGACACTGAAAACAAAAATGCTTCAGCCTTGGACACCTGCATACCTGCACACTTTTACGTAGAAAACCTCTCCTACCACCAAGTTCTGTTATGGCTGTTGCAAACTGTCAGATGTGTTGAACACCTGCTGGCTGGAGAAACAGCATTCTGAACACTTGGCCTATCCCTCTCATTAAAGGTGGGAGTGGGAGGATGACATACAGGTAACATGTTACTGGCTCTCTGAAAATCTTGTGTGAGATGAGAATTAGGCCTCTGTTGACTACTTGTGACATACTTTCACTGCAGTTGTTTTGTGCTTCAAGACCCTGTGCAGATACCTTTCATTCAAACACACTGACTTTCAAGATGTGGCACATATACTTAAATATGTGCAGAGTATGTAAGATAAAGCTGCACTAATCTAATGTCATCAGCAGGAAAATTACTACTGGTCTTTGGCATCTGAACATTTTACACATGCATCGTCAATACCCTATCAGCCCCTAAATACAGGCTACTCCTCTCATTCCTGTACCTTGTAACAAGCAAGAGTAAAAGGGAATGAGATTGATCATGCTCATCAAGGAGGACCTTTCTCTGATTGCTTTTGAATGCAGCTTTTCACTTTTTTTCATTCAGAGTATGAATAAAACATTTGCTGCCTTCTTACCATTCAAAGATTTGCAGGATCAAAGGTTTGAAGCAATTCAGCCAGAAGTGCAATGCAGGAAAGAACTTTCAACACTCACTTTGAAAACGTAGCAAATAATATCACTGTGTCTAAAAGATTAATCAAACCATTGTAGACAAAACTCTACCCTCATGTACAGCAGTACATTACCATCTGTAATAGCTACCCAGAATGAATCTGGCCCATTTTATTTACAATTTGCAATTGAAAAGAAAAATGTTTCAAGTTAGCAGCAAAGCCAGTTTTAATTACCTTTGGCTGTGGTACTATCCCTTGTTTGGAATAGTAAATCCTGCTCAACAGGAACACTGAAGTCCTCCTGGGGTGGAATATGATTTTCCTGCTTAAGACCTCTTCTGATCAAAGTGAGGCGAACCGTTTGTCCCGTGTGCCGCAAAACATCAACTGCTTGCTGGTTAGTAAAACCTTGAAGATTTGTTCCATCCACCTGCAGGATCAAGCAGCTTTTCAGTTCACCCACAGAAAAAAAGTTCAGAGCAAAACAATGCCGTGAGCTCTCAGCATTTGTTAGCCTAAGCAAAAAAGCAAGTGGAGGGGCAAGAACAAAACCTGCACAATTTTATGTAATTGGATATGCTAAGCACACCCACTGGAATACCCCAGAGCTAGGTGACAACCAGCACCACAGCAAAGAGGGGAGGAGAGCCCACCATGGTGCAGCCAGGCAGATCTGCTCTGCAAGGTGGGAGAGGATATAACATGTACTGTGCAGGGCATATCGCACAGCCTGTTGCTCAACTTCAGCCATCCCTACCTCTGAGGGACAATACTGGGTGAATAAACCAACACAGCCATGGCTAGGAGTTCTGGAGAAACAAGAGTAAGGAGAGACACATTGATCCACTGGGGCAGAAAGACCTACAGAGTACAGTCATTCTGAGGTCAAGTAAACTTAGATACAGAGAAGTCTACCAATGAACACCATGAATTCCAATTTCCAAACAAAACACTGTTGCAAACAACCAGACATTATCACTGGTTCATCATTTTAAGAGTTCAAAGAATAAAATTTTAGCCTCCGCTATTTGAAATTATTGTAATATCTCATTAACTCAGGCTTTTTTCTGGAATTCAAAACTTTGGCATTTCTCAATTCTATCCCACTATCCCCACCTACCACCCACCACATTTCATTCTTCTTCTCCCTGCAAACTCCATTATATTCTATTATTTCTACATCTACCCCACAGTGCCTTAAATTTCTCAAATACTTACAATACTATGTTCTTTGACTCCTGTACTTGTTTCTACCAATCTACACAAAACACCTGCTTCATTATTTTAAGTCCTCCTAAATTAAGAATTAATCCCCTGGACCCTTAGTCATTTGTTGTCCCTCTCTGAAATTCTTCTAAATCTAAAGTAACTAAAAATCAGGTGGGACTATTTTTTCTCCACACTTAAACTGTATTTAAAAAATGTTTTTTATTCTTCAGTGTCTAAGATCACTCAAATAATTTTCTCCTTCTGCATCTGCAGTAGAAGAAGAAAACAAACTTCGGAATAATCCATTTTAGCCATTTGTACTCAGCATGTAAATCATTACAAAAAAGATATGTACTTCCACAAACATGCAGGCACTTCTGGAGAGAGACCTGTTCTTAGAGCTGTTTTCACTTAAATGCAAGGACAGATATATGAGAGACACAAAAATGCACTCCTTGCATTCAGGACCTGATTTCCACCACAAAACCAACAGTTTATGAATAAAAATATGTTCTTTCTCTGAACATCTAAAGCTTTTGGACACAACTTTTAAAAATCATTTTGAGAACAGTTGCCCAATTTGAATCAAACTTTGAATTTTCACACTTACCTCCTACTGATATGAAGGATATATAATGGTATATTCTCACATACAAGATTTTTTTTATGAACTACATGCCACATGCAAGTAGCATAATCAGAAAACATGTGATGAGATTCTCTGTCAGGAAAGGACTCAGAACTGCGACACTGATCCTTAGTATTTCATGAGTATGAAATTTTCTTTACAACATAAAGAAGCAGAGTCTTGTACAGAAGCGACCTCAGTTCATCCTGTGTTTACTTACAACTATAATTTGATCTCCCACGTGGATTCTGCCATCATGTTCAACAGCACTGCCTTTTGTAATGCTTTTCACAAAGATACCAGAAGGTTCTGGGATGAAAAAAAACAGGGAAAATTAAGTTAATTTATTAAGAAACAATTTAAATAATGCAACTAAAGGCACCAATCAAAAAACAGGAAAAAAAAAGAAAAAAACAATCCCTAAGTAAGATAATAAAAGAATCATATAAAGAAAGCAATGATTTGAGAAAAACAGATATATTATTATCATCTTAAACAATGAGTCAGATTGTCTGTTTGCATTGGATCAGATTTCACTCAAAACTCTTCAATGCCACATACACAATTCCTGACACAAAACAAGAAATATTATAACTTCCTTTAACCTAAATGTTGAAACCAACATAGAAAAAAAACGTATTTCTGACTTTTGCCAGATTTGGACAGAAAATTCAGCTTGAGTATACTAATCTGGTAATTTCTGAATTTTCTAGGTACCTAATAACAGCGTAAGAAAATGCATGCTTGGATTGCCATATTGGGAAAACGAAAAATGAACAGGAATACAACTTTACATTTGAATCAGTTTTTAACTGTTGTTATCAGTACTTGATAAAAAGGTCACAAAGTTTTAAAAATTGCAACAGAACAACAAAATTAAACAAAAAAACACCCATCAAAATAGAAATATTTTAGTTATTAGGTAGTTACTACTTTTGAATCAGAAGGAAAGTAATACACAGAAAACACCTGAGAAGGGACATTTTACTAAAAGAAAACATTTCAAGAAAAACACTTGCTTTGAAACAACTTCAACAGCTCAATAAAATACAAATATAAGGAGTTCCTACATTCACATTTTGCACAGTTTACATTAAATAAGGAAAAATAACAATACAAACTGGCATGAAATCACTCTGACGGTCTTAGGCCTGCAACAGTGATATCAGAAATCGTAACAGCATCTACTTTCTCTCAACAAATGTTCTCACTCTGTTAAATGATTACGTTTCATGTGAACATAATCCACTACAAAATGTATTTTAAAAGCTGCCACACCCTTTTCAGGCCTCAAGCTAACTTTTTACTGGCCCTCAGTAAGACAAAAGTTATAGCGAAGGAGGGTTAATGACTCAGCTTAGAAAAAATATGATTACATATATATTCAAGTCACCTAATTGAAAAGTCTCTCTTTCTCTGTCAGGTTTTGGTATTTTGGGGGGGGCGGGAGGGTGGGATGGGTTTTAAGAAGCTGTTTGCCCAGGCTTTGTGCATAATTACATGGCTGATCCTCCTAACTTCTAAGCATTCTTATATCCTGTAAGAGCTGTAAGATAAAATGACAAGTTATTTGTCATTTACAAAAAATTCAGAAATGTTATTTGTTGTCCAGTAGTTTTATTGCTGATTCTCTGACAGCAAAGTTGTTCCATAACTGTCATGCCACAAAATTTAGTTTCCTAACTAGCTCCTGAGACACGAATATTTCTAACATAGCTACATGCAGCACAGTAACTTCAGACTGAAGACCAATGACACCCAAATACTAAATCAGTCAAAATATGCTCTCAGATCTATGCATGTTCTACATCTTAATTTGTCTTTTGAAATTCAGCTGGAAGCCGCTAAAGAGTAGACTTGCATGAACGCTGACTGTCTGGTCCTGTGTAAGTCCACTTTTCTCTGATCCAAAAAATTATAGCTAGAAACTGCCAAAAATATGGAATGTACCTATCCATACATTTTTCCAACAATATACAAGTGGACACAAGTCAAAGCAACAGCTCTTTGAGAAGCTTTATGACACACTCAAAAGACATCCCTTCCTAGCATTACTGAATTTGCCAAATTTCCCCTAAGGAAGCCTAAGAGTTATGGATTATTTTTGTAAAAAATGTAGTAGAAATTACAAAAATAAGCAGCTTATTTATTTAAAAAAACAAGCAATTTATTTATTTAAATCAACTTTTTTATTGTCTGCCATAGCCCACACAGGTGAAGAAACATTTATTACATCTAGAAGTCAGTAAAGAATTTGTGACTTGTTTAAAAATTAATAACAATCTCTTAAAACTAGTCAGAATGCTACTGTGTTGCTTTGTAAGGAAGCTACTTCTAAGAGAAAGGGCTCAAACGATTTTACCATTGTTTTTCAAAAACACGTAAGTACAAGTCTAGCCAAAAGTGAAGATAAAACCGATTTAAAAATACTGAGGTGGGATTTTTTAATAATATCAATTGATTTTATTCTGAATGAAAACCATTCTTTTTCCTTTTCAAATTTCAAATAGATTTTAGATGGTTAAGGGTTTTTTTAAGAGAAGTTATATGAAAATTAAGTCTTTGATGCACATGTACCATAGTATGCAACAGACTACAATAAAGTGCAAGAATCAACAATTACCTGATGTCTTGTCTCCAATGTAACCAGCAATAGTTATTCCTAAACCCTGGTTGTTTTTAGTGAGTTCAACATTGAATTTCTCCCCCTCTTCACAGCCACCAACAGAAGCACTGTCCTAAAAAGAAAATGGAGATTAGAAAGGAAGCTCTTTTTCTTTAAAGATTCACCACATTCTTTAATGTCAGTAAGACATAAAATTAGAAAAAACACAAAAAAGGAAGTATGAAATTTGCTTCTGTTCTTATTTGCTGTTCATCAGACAAGCAAAAGGTAGGTAACATTTCTCAGGGTAAAGCAATGCAGGGCAGGTCACATCCTCTTTCACCCCACTGCTCTGGGATATTACCTTTAACCTATCAGTCATTATTTAATGAATCAAATGATTGGTAAAATTTGTACAAATTAAACAATTAATTTCTTGCACAGTAGGTTACATATATATGTATATGAGTATGTAGCTTGCTGACTTTCTGGGACCTCCTCAAAACTAGCTTTAGATTGCTGTGTTATTAAAAAGAAGAAGAAAAACCCCAAATTGTATTTTCTATTCTATTTGTCTAAATTTCTGTTCACTAACTCTAGGTGTCTTTTTAAAACTTGCAAATTTAAAATCTGCTAAAAGCTATTACTAGTCAGACAATATTTCTTGCTTTTGAAAGGCTTTAAAATTTCATTTTAGCATATAGCAATTATATTTACAGCTAGCTAAATAATTACAATCTTCATTAGTACCTGCTATAAACTCTCTGAATTTCAATAACAATGGATTTTGGGGCTATTTAATTACTTGTTGTTAATGAAAGTGGAATATGTATTAAAATCCTATTTTAACAATGGGGGTTTGTATTAAAAGTTTTTATTCTGCCCTTTCTGCATGCCAAATAGCAGCTAAATTTTTTTTTAAGTGCCAATATGGCAACAGACAGATATTACCTAAAGCCAGTTTGACTAGGTAAGTATTCACCAAAAAAGATTTCAGGAGAGCTATTATGCTACTTCTCAAGAGAATCTGACTTGAGCACTTTATCCAAGCAACTCCACCAGAAACCAAATGGAACACAAGAAAAATAAATTTCTAATGTATTAATCATTCTTCTCATTGAAAATACAGGATTATTTTGGCCACAGGTAACGCCACTAAAAAAGATACAATTCTTATAGCTTCCTGAATTTACACCAGAGAGACATCTGCAGGTAACATGACAAGAAGTGCCCATTTTGCAAAGCCAGGAAAAAACTAAAAATCAAACATGAATCATCATGTTCACTCCAGACCCAAATCAATGAGTTTTGCATGACTGCTAACAGGGGTGCTCCTTCCAAGAATGTGACTTTGTGTAGGCAGGAGCAGTTTAGAAATAGCCTGCCTCCTGCCAGCAAAGAAGTAGCAGGAAGCGGTTTTGAAAAGTATGGAAACTGGGAAGGTGGCAAAAACCTCAAATTGTGCCCCTTTGCTTCTTTCAGCTATTTTGTCAGTACTAGAAATTGCATATATTCTGCAGCTGCAGATACATCTTCTAACATTACATTATATAACCTCAAAAAGGCAAATACTGCAGAAATAATACACAGATTAATTATCAAATTCAGCTTTTATTTTGAGAGATGCATTTCAGACAAGTAATACTACTGCTAAATTTTAATCTCTTTATCTAAAATGCAGAAAGGTTTTACATCTCTGAGTGATGAAAGACACAAAAGTACCATACTGTCTCTTGTCTTCAATGCTCAGAAATCTCCATGTTAAAATCAACTTTCTTTGTCTTACAGCCACAAAACAGGGGATGAATATATGTTAATTTTTTTAAATTAAAATTAAATTTTAAATTAAAAATTAAATTTTTAAAACTAAAATTAAATTTAATTGTTCACAGATATCACTACAATGGACAGACAAAATGATGGTAACACCATCTAAATTGTTACATAACATCCATGCAAAAATTGCAAGTCACTCTTGAGTGACATTCTCTTGCAAGTCACTCTTGAGTGACTTGACTCAAATCTACATTGGAACTGAAGCAAATGTCTAGAAAAACAACAGGAGAAAGTAAAACAAAAAATTCTGTCTAAGGGTAGGCTCAAAAACAACAAACCTTTTCTTCTCTCATTAATTTACTTATATATTCACATTTAAATGTATCTGGTCATAGCCATATATAGCAAAACAGTCCTGTTTCTGAAACCCATGAAACCAGAAATTACAATCCCATGAACCCATGAAATTACAAACATGCAAATTACCTATTTTGTAGAGATTTTGAGCTGACAAGTCATGATAATATTTACAGCATTTTTAAGCGGCTGACAGTTGTAGAGGAGTAAAGATACAAAGTACAATCATCAGCAGGGGAGTAAGGGTAGCAGCTGGCTTACTTTTTTTAGAAAACATCTACCAAATGAGCAGTGACAGGTAATGTAGGAAAGTATTAGCATCTGTGCGCTGCTTTGGCACAGGGAGAAGGAGAAAAGTTCTGATGAACAGATGAAATTATAGAGAAAAAGGGCAGGCAAACAGAGAAATGCTAAAGACTCAACAAGCTCAGTCCTGAAGAAAAGTCTGTTGCTTCAGTTGTCCCAATGTAATAACATACCCTACAAGCAACTCAGAACAAGTTGTTAATCAGATTATATTGATGGAAGTCCTAAACCTTAATCCTGAAAATCTTCAAGAATACAGTTCCTTGCACTGTGGACTCATTACATTTAAATTCTCCCAGAATTGCACTACTGGGAAAGAAAATCCTAGCTTTTGAGAACATAAACACAAAAGATATTCAAACAGCAGTTAAAAAGAAAGGAAGTTTGCAATGGGTTACATATGTTCACTGTTGCTTACCTGTTTCTCTGGTGTAGAGGTGGGCACTGGTGTACCTGGAGGTACTCCTGGTAGAAGTGGTTCCTCAACAGGACCTCTTGCAATTACCAGTTTCACTCTATTTCCACACTGCCTTAGAACTTGTGCCACCTGCTCACTGCTCATTCCAGCTAGGTCTGTATCACCAATTTTCAAGATGTGATCTCCACTACACAATCTTCCATGCTGATGGAAAAATAATGACGAAAAAATGCCATTTCTCCCAAGTACCATACAATTAGAAAAACAGCACATTGCTTTAGTCACTTCTAAGACATATGAATCAGGTGACTTTTTTTGGATGCCAAGTCAGTATCCTGATAACATGGAGAAGAAGAAGGTTGCCTAATGGCACACAAATTTTATTAGGAATTTTCCCAGAGATATTATCCAGGAGGTCCTTTTTCAAGACGTCACCCAAGCACAGAGAAAAAAATGTGTTTCACTACAGTTACTCCTACTGGTATTTAACAATTGCACGTAGATTGCAGAACTTTGGGTTTCATTTTCAAGCATGTCCAAATAACAACACACAAACACATATTCAGGTTTGCACTGATACTAAAAAACTACTAGTAGTAGTAACAGGATTAATCATGACTTCAAAATAAAATTAATTTCTCTCTTCCTGTGATCCAGCTATCTAAATTGCTTTACACTGGTTTAGTCTCTCACGGATTAACCTTTAATTAATAAAAAATCTTCGTCTGAATTTAGGCCATATGATGAGTGTTACAGAGACAGGTTTGTAAAAGGAACCTATCTACCTGTTTGTGGAGCTTTCCTGTTCTGAGGCTGTAATCTGATATTAAGACTCCTTCCATGGGACACCTGATAAAACCCCGGCCCTGGGCCCCTCTCTCTCTGCTCTCTGGGCTGTGCTCAGGCTCCTGGGCCTCCACCTCCTTCCCCCTCCCCCAGCATGGGGTGTGGGGGGGAAATAAAATGGACTCCCATGCTAAACAACAAAGAGACTTGTGTCATCTGTTTCACTGTGGCCTCCCTGGACAGATCCTCACTGTAGCAACACACTGCTACATCTATTCAGGGGAAAGATGGCAGCAGCAAATGCTGTCCATGCATCTCCAGACCCTGTTATCAGGCCACTACTGCTATTGTTGGAAAACTGACCAGTCTCTGTGCCTACTCAGTCCTTGACCATCATTAATGCAGCCCTACGTACCTGTCCAATGAACAAGCTTGAAATGAGCTGTGATAACCAAATTCAATTCACATGAGCATTGAGGCAAGAGCAGAGTCTGTGTCTTGAAGCAGAGGCATGAAGCTACATACCTGCTCCAAGCTTCAGCAAGCTCAGCAGAGAAAAGCAGATGCTCTTAGCTGTTAGGGCACAGCAAGTCAATCTTTGGAACCCCCACAACCCCTGATTACAACCAGTACGCTCGTGAAAGAATTAAGACTCTAAATGCACACATCATATATAATGTTACTAGATTTGAAAATGTAATTTAGAACCTAATTCATCTTTAACATTCAAATGCAGAGACTCCTCTACTAAAGACAACTTTACAGAGGTTAAATTTCAGTAATTACTGTTTCTTTTTTTACATTTATTTGGATAAAAGCTACCACTATTTGGTCTGATCACAAAAGTAAAGAGTAACTTCACACCTTACTGAACAGTAGGTTGAATTTACCTGATCAGCCACCCCTCCTGGGAGGATGGTTTTAACAATCACACCAGTTGACTTTCCTCCCACTATCCCAAATCCCAGACCTGAACCATCATTGACCAACTCTATGGTCTCCACATGCTGCCAGTGAACCTAAAAGGAATAAATACAAGTTTGCAAATTATTAAAAACATAGCATCATAGAATTGTTCAGCTGTAAAAAGGCCCTTAAGATTAATGAGTTAAACTATTAGTATGCGTACAGGAATTTGCAGGCTATTTTCTCTTATGTCTTGAGTATGTTTTTAATAATTGAAAGCTGGAGGAAGATTTACAATTTTTTACAAGACTGTTGCTTCAGTTGTCCCAGTGTAATACCATACCCTTCAAGCAACTCAGAACAAGTTGTTAATAACAATTTTAACAATTACCATTAGGTGTGATATTACTTAATATTTAATCAGTAAATTACTAATTCTGTAACAGGTGAAATTTCTCTGATACAAACCATAGCTGAATAATGGGTCAGACCTTCCGAGAACTTGTTGAATGAATACAGACAGCAGCCTAGGGCTGCCCACATTCATGCCTCTTTGCAGTGAGTAAATACTGCTTCTAGAAAACCACACAGGACTGGAAACTAAAATCTTCAGGTTTGTTCTTTAGGCATGCTCATAACAGCCATTAAAACAAAGCACAGGAGAAAGCAAAATCTGCTTTCTAAGGCTGAAAGCAGAACCAAATATTGTGAGGCAGGTAGTAACAGAAATACCCCATGCAATGAATTCTTCTGGGTTGTCTGATGGCAACAGCCTGATAATGAAGTCATTCTGATGGCAGACTGTGTTCTGAAAGGAACAAAACTGCTCAGAAAGAAAGACAATCCTAGCTCAGCCACATGGGGCACTCCTTGAAGGGACAGCTGGAAACTCATGCTATTCTTTCTCCTGAACAAGAACTCCCACAGTAAACTCATCTAAAATTTACAACTACAGCTGGTGCTTCACTAGGTATAATCTTAAAATAAGCTTTTCTTTTGAATAGTCAAGGTATTGCAAACTCAAAGCTATGTGGTACCTGTTTGGTACCACATAAAGCCAGTATAATAAAGCAAAGCCTGAAGGAAAAAGAATGACTCCTAATATGTTGCATTTGAAAGCAAAGAGAACATGAAAATTGGGAAAGGCATGCTAAACAGAAGCAGCTATGGAATGTTTGTAAGGAACATCTTTTCATGCAAGGGAAGCTCTTCAGCGAATACAGAGGCAATCACATGGAGAAAAATTTTGTCACAGCAATACTAGAAAAGAGCAGGCTTCCTCCATGTGCTGGCAGGAAAAGTTAGGTGAGTCAGCCGCCCTCCTGCACACAGATACAAAGAATATTTCTGACATTGCTTCACTAAAGGTTTTATACTAACAATTAAAAAAACAGTTCCCTTTCCAGACTATTCTTCTGGTAATTGACTCCCTTAAAAAAGGGCCACAGAAGACTGAGCAGTTAAACCTACAGAAATTGAATATAGGCTATTTCATCCCAGGATAATCCATTACATGAGCAAGGTAAAAGGAAGAGAAAGTATGGCTAATATCACCCTGATATCACCATGTTTCTGAACTGTGTTGTCTACACCTAGATGTGCAATGGCTTTCATAATAAAGGAATTGTAGCAGAGCTGCTTTTTGGGGAGCACTTAAATGCACCTTGTAATTTCATTGGAGCTCCCATGCTTAAAGAAAACAGAAAAACAAACACAAAAGCACCCATCCCAGCTGGTGGTGCAGATCAGATTACAAAGCCTCAAAAAATTGTTTGCTCAAGCAGAATTCAAAGAAAAAAATATCCTATTTAGTGCAACGTCAAAATAAAGCTTCAACAAGTAAGGTAAAAATGCTGTATTTGCAGTGGTGGATACAGATCATTTGGCAGATGGGAGCAAGGAATACATCCAAGATGAAGATTTTTTTTCCCCCAGAAAGCCAGAATATTTTCTAGTCTTTGAAGGGAAAAGGCATAATAAAGATAAATAGAAGAAAAACCTCAAGAACTGTGAAGGAATGTACATACAAGTTACAAAAAATTACTCAAAAGTTTATATGCAGTAAGTACATGCAGATTCAGAACCGAATACACAGATGTTTGGGCTACACTCACCGGGTTGGAATGGGCTGAAACTGTGCTAGCAGCAGATGGAGACCGGGAAACTGCAGGACTGATGAGCTGAGGAAAAGTGCCTCTAGCCACAACTAGCTGGACATTATCTTTTGCTTTCTGCAAAATGCTGATAGCCTGTTGATGTGTAATTGTCTGATCAAGGGCTTGTCCATTAATAGCAAGGATTTGATCTGCTTCCTTCAGCTTTCCATCTCTGTCACATCGGTGTAAACAGACGACAAAAATAAATAAGAAAAATCAAGGAAGCATTGCCACAGAAATTGCAATATTTTGACAGCTTTGCAGGATTTTTAATAACTTGGTCTCTATTCTCCCCATATTTTTAAATCCCCCTGCAGTCTTGCTGAAAGGAGCTGATATGGCACCCTTGTGATGGCTCCCTTTGAAGCTAATCCCACTGCTACTTTCCCCTGGTGACTAGCCCCTAGCCAGCTTTCTTCTCCCTGAACCCCCATGCGAGACTAAACATATTAATCTCAGTTGCTCCCAACCACAGCCTGGGAACTTATGTTTATCCTTGACTTTGAGCCTCTTGCTTTACAGGCCAAGTGCCCCACTTTGTTCAGTGCACCCATTCTGAATATTCATCAAACCATGGAGTGGAACACACTTTCAGCAGTATGTTACAGAAACAAATTTTGTTTTGCTGAAAAACAAGGAGGGGGAAAAAAAAGAAGGACAAAGAAAGAAATCAAACAAAAGCCCTGAACAAATTAAAAAAACCTCTCCACTTTCTGACACAGAAAGCATCACTGTAAAATTACATACTGAGTCCTTCCTCAGCTATACTCCAAAGGAAGTGTATGAAGCTTACACAGTTGAATTACACTCTCTTTCTTCTATCACTTCTCTGCATCCCAAAGTGGCAGTGCTTTGATAACAAAGGTCAGCCAGGAAAACAAGAATCTCTATTACAACAGCCTTTGTGAGCACCCACACTCAAGAAATTCAGGTAGAGCACCGAGGTAGAAAAAAACTATTTAGCTTCAACTCACAAGAGAAAAAAAAAAAAAAAACAAAAAAACACCAAAACAAAAGCAAACAAAAAGAGAAAATGGAAATTGGGGAAATTAAGAAATATTGTAGAGATATAAAGCAAGCCACATTTTGTACCTGATTAACTACAATTAAGTCTGTATACCATGTTCTTGTCTCTCTTGCCCAGGTTCTTATTAGACTTACAGTGAGTATTCAGATCACAAATATATCCAATATCCAAAAATATTTCCCTAAAGCACAGTGAGAAACAGCACCAACATGACTCAGCCTCTCCACACAACATACAGAGTACACAACAAAGCAGCTTGGACCAGTGACACACCTTACTAGTCTGCAGTGAACCAGTGCTGCTGCCATTGACCTTTGAGTTTGCGTGCTCCCCCAGCACTCCGCTCAACATTAGCTGTGGAATCTGAGTTTAAGTCTAAAGCATAATTTCAGCAAGCTATTATCATTGCTGAGCTTCTGTAATATCAGCTGAGTATCTCTGTGAATATCCCTGACTTTAGGTCAAGACTTGCTTGTCATCAAATCTGGGTTTCACACCTGCTCAATGTGACTCTACCTAACAAATAACACTGCCAGATACTTTTTTGCATCAAATTGTTCTTCAGTGCATTCAATGATGGCAAAATGCGTATTTCAACTTCAAAAGGAATGACACAGAACAGTAGCTTCCTCTTTTTCTCTATTTAAAAATCCCAGGGAAATGTAATTAGTAATTTCTATAAATTAGGAACAGTTCATATAATGCCTGTTCCAACATCACATAAATTGTGGCAAGTAATTTTACATCTGCGATGATGCTCAGAATATGAAGAGAGAAACTTGTAAACATGTCCTTGTACCACAAAAATAACAGCAGTAACACAACTGAAGTGTCACATACACACTTGGTGCAGTAAAATATTCAGTAATAATATTACCTATGTGCCACACTTCCCTCCTGGATTTCTTGTACAAATATTCCTAGTTCTCCCCTGTTTTCACTCTTGAGTCCCACAACACTGAAGCCCAAACCACCACTTAGAGGTTTAATAAGGTCAATTGTCTCAACATGACGACCCTGTTCAGCAGAAATTAAAAAAAAAGGGTACAAATGTTAAAAGGTTAAAAATGAACAAAGGTTAAAAATGTTGAAAAGCAGCAATAATAAACATGGCAAATAAACTTGGACATTAATTTTTAAAACAAACAAGTCGTCATTAATTAATGACAACTACAGCTGGGCAAGACTATGGAAGTTAATAACTGAAACATAGTTGTTCATTACAAATTTATTGCTATCATACAGAAAATATTTGAGAAATAAATATTATTACAGCCCAGTAGAAGAAATCAGGGAAAAAAAGATAAATATACAGAGTTTTGGTTTAGTAGTGATTGAATAGTATATATACACATATATATATATATATATATATATTTATATATATATATATATTTTAGAGAGTACAGGACAACTTTCAAGCAAAACCAGAAAAAGAAGATGAATTTCAGAAAGATGAAAAAAACTTGGACTATGCAAAAAGGCTCTCCTGAACATCACTAGACTTCTCCTATCCTGCTCTATTACAGATTAAATAGATAAATCCTAGAATATATGCCTGGGCTTTCCCAGCTCCAGCCACTGAAGGGACTCGTGCACCGCTTCTGCCTACTACAAGTAGTAAGATTAGAAAACAATGCACAGCAAGGTCAAAATTTTCCATTTTATTTTCAAGAAAATCACAGAACTAGATTTTGTTAATTATGCATACAAGAGCATGCTCTGACAAAGTATCTCCCTCATGCATAGAGCAGCAGTTCTACAATGAGCATGAAAAAAATAATGGCATGCTGATCTGTAACACACACACTAGTCAACTAAGGACAGTAGCACATGTGTGACTATGTCAGGGCTAGTTTTATAACTGCTTTCTCATTTACTAATTGTTTCTTAAACTAAAAGGTTACTTTTATTTTATACATAAGTGGTATTGCGCAGTAACTCAATTGCCTTTAAATAAATATACATGTATCTTAATCTTCATATAATCAGTAATCTATATTTTGTGGTTATTATATGATAGGTTTACCTGGGACATGTTTCTGATCAGCTGCTCAAAGTCATCACTAGAGAATTTCCCATTAATCTGAGGAGTAATGGATCTCATTGATGTTTCTAACACACTAGCTGGGTTTCCATTCTGCTGAGCCAACAAATATGACTCATTAAGCGGCAAGGACCCCACGTTCACACCATGATGGAGAAGCTGAGGGAATTCACCACTGGAATGTATGGAAGGTGTAATATTTACCTGTAAAAGATTGAAGACAACACGCATTTATAGACACAGGAGAAATCTTTTCCTTTGGTGAGAACATTATCATAAGCAAACTGATCATTAGAAGTACATGAAATTCCAATTTACAATTTTAAACAGACATTTTAAGGAGAAAAACTACCTTCAATATTTATAACCAATGTAAAGTTGCACACTACAAGCATAATGCACAAAAGAAATTTATTAGAATAACCTAAAATTGCTTTCCATACTCTGTCTGAAATTAATTTGTTCCCATCACCATAGCATCTTGAAGTACTCCATAACTATGCTAGAGGTAAACAAGAATAAATTTTTTCTACAACACCAATATTTAAGAGACAAAAAAAGTGAAAAAAACCCAAAATAAAAAATGTTATCAGTTGTTTTACAATTTAAAAGAAAAATATGCACATAGTGACAAAAAAATAAGTAAATCTCACAGCTACATAGAAAACAAATTTCACCGGTCAGGGTTCTGCATCATTATGTACTACAGTTACTGATACTACTATCTGCACGAGCTAGGATTAAATACAAGATTAGTGAACAAGTTTAAAATCACCAGGCTGATCTGAAAGTCACAATCATATGTTTACACAGGCTTTACAATTCACTTTTCTCAGAACAGAAAAGAAAAAAAAAAAAATCTGTTTTGCACAGCCATAGTAAATCACCTCTTTTCAAGCAGATCAGTGCCAACCTATCAACCTGCTGGTGATATAAAGCTCAGGTGAGGCAGAAACCCTCATTTGTCTTTTGTCCCACTTTCCTGTTGATTGTCAATTGATACTGCTTTACTCCAGATAAATTTGCTTCCTACTTGCCTGGCACACTAACTATTATATTGCAAATTCAAACACTTTTCGCAGTTTTACAATGCATACTTTTCTAGCATTCTGCATGACAATACAAAAACCTAAGGTTCCCCTTCCTTAAAGTCATATTTTATATTTCAAGTATCAATAAAAATTTCAAAATAGTAGACCTATTCTAAAATGTCTACTTGCACCAGTCTCAGTTGTTCAAGCATGATATATCTATTGGGTTTATCATATCAGTCCTCCAAGAGTCCAGTTATTAAAAGGTCAATATTGTTCTCCATAACACAATTCCATCCCATCTGACTGTTTTAGGAAAATGCAATAAAACAAACAATTTGTTGAACAACTTATGTGGCTGGGAAGGCCCTCCAGTTAAAGAAAAAATACCACAAGGCAGCATGAGAAATAAAAGTTCTCAACAGCATTTCTAAGCCTGCTCTGACCTAAAAAACTGTAAAGAAGATGGATATTTGGAACTCAATAATATTTATATCCCAGTGACTATGTTCTTTATCCATACTTGTGAGGAATCATTTGGGTTATTATGTTTCAAACAAATTGGAACACCTAAAATGTGCACATACGCACTTTCTTTAACCACATACATTCATGTTGGCAAGCTTGTAAGGCACAGGTAGACAAGCCTTGTTTCACAGTTCATTACATGTAACAAAACCCAGAGACATAATCAAATTCTACCCTTTTGAGAATATAAGACTTTCTCTCACAATATATGAATGGATTTGAAAACAGTAAAGTCTACGATGTACTTGTGTTTCTTATCGGCATAAGACCATATAATAGTTAATTCACTTCCACTTTCACAATATTGTCCATTTCAATGTATAAAACTGTATAACTAACTTGGTCAATAATGTGCTTTATTTCTTATTCTCCTCCACCTTCAAATCTTTTTATAGAGCATGTTGCTATGCTTCTTCCCGCAAAAAATGGTCATTGGTGAAATCATTAATCTTAGGAGTATTTAACATTATGGCAATTAACCATTCTTAACTGGTTCTACTGAAAATATTTTTACAGTTCTACAGCAATATGAAGCAGACTAAGAGTATATAAGATACACACCTGAACTACCTTTCATGTGTGCTGTATTATATGGGTCTGGTATCACAACTATTAGTAAGTAATAGATTCAAGTTTGCTTTCTAAATTGCAGTGGTCATTGCAGAAAATAGCACTGAGTTACTCTTTCTGCTGATAGTTACCATCCTGAGAGCACTCTTGGTCAAGCAGTCCCTAGCGAACTAATCACCTGCTCTGGCAAAGCCAGCAAAGTTATCCTAAAGAAAGAACAGAATAGTACAAGGAAAAACTAGCAATTTTATCCAAAGTCAGTCAGTGAGAGCTCATTAAACTACTTTGATGCAGCTTTTGGAGTGGTAACTCCAAAAAGGCTCAGCACTGAGCACGGTAATGACTTCAATCAGTACGATTACACCTAGAAAAAAATACATTAAATGTCTGCAATTTCATTTAGCACCATTCTAACTGCATTATTCTCTCCTGGGGGCCTTTTACTGTAGTAGGAGCTTCTGGATGTTTCACATTTCAGGGTGGCAGAAGCGGAAAGTCATTGCTATTACTAATAGTCCTATAAAACCCAACTGTGTGTGAATTCCCCACTTTGAGTAGAGTATGTAGTCATTCTCTAAGACAAAAGAAGGAAAATTCTGTAATAATGCTAAAAGCAAAATTTAAAATGTACAGAAAGCTAGAACACCTTCTACTTTACAAAGAATGAGCCATGCTGGCAAAAAAGGAGAGAAACAGAATTTTATGTCACAGAAACTGACTGTAGCTGAGAGCCCAATGCTTTGAATTTATTCCATGTCACCACAGAGTGTTTCAGATTGCTAATGCAGAGAGAATCCCAGTTTGTGAAACCTCTGTCTGCATAAAAAGCTTATGTTTTTCATGCATCTAGAGCACTTCTTTACACACAAATGTGTAGGGAGCAAGTTGCACTAGAAAAATCATGCACAAAAATCTACATCAAACCACAGTAAACAAAATTATGTCATACAATAGTATGGATGTTATAAATGGTGTTTGCATTATTACTGTTTTTCTCTAGTATACAATAAAAGACTCTGTATCCATAATCACCAAAGAACAAATGGAACATCAAAAATAAAAGGTTTTAGACTATGTCATATTGCCCTTATGAACAGCCTTACATGCCTAATCTGAATACAAAATACTACTTGTACCACTCAAACTTGTACCATGATTTAAGTATGTTATCCTAGTACTATCAGACAGTGGATTGATTGCTTCAGGCAGCCCATTGCACTGTTTGCAATGTTCTAAGAGCAGAGTAATCATGATGGGCACTTCAACTTCCACCTGAACATCTGTACAGTATCACCGTGCTTTTCTCTACTCAAGTTTGAAGGACTTTTTCAAAAAACGTAAGTCAATGTCCTTAGGGAATTCTGGTTTTCTCCCTGGTAAGAGAATTTACCCATTCTCACGCTAAAATAGAAGTAGTTACAGGCAAATTAATTTTTTTAGTTTTCACATTGTATGTTTTCACTGACCAAGTCCTGTTCAAACTGGCAAATACAGTGACTATTTTCTCCATTTGAAATTCCATCTTTTCTCCATACTTTTGTGAGCTGGGGCATCACTGCAGACATGTAGGAATTGACTGACTTTTTCCCACTGCCTTTCAAAGCAAAAGATGGAAGTTATTTTTCTAATACACACAACATAGTAACAGCTCCAGTATTCTGAAAACATTGGATTATATTTATTTGCACACAATGGTTAAAATACCACTGAAAGGAAGACCTGCATACTACATATACTGCAGGAAAAGGAAAAAATAACCTTCCAATTCACACTAGGTTAACTAGAAATTTAAAACTTTCTCCTCAAAATTTCAGTACAACTACAACAGCACAGCTACAACACAGTACTGAAAATTGTCACATCAAGAGCAACAAACAGCAATATCTCATTTTCATGACACCCTTTTTAAACAAACACAACTCATATTAAATGGAGAATGTGCTTAGTGCATGAAGCCAACCTCACATAAAATTTCATGACCGCTGAAACTCCAAGAAAAATTTAAACTCAAAAAAATGTTAAACTGTTAACAGAGTAAAGTTTTCTGTATGTGTGTGTGCAAAAACCTCACATTTCACATCTCCTCTTCTGAAACAGACATGGTTACACCTTAAAAACTATAAAAATATTTAGGATGACATTTACAGTAGTACTTAATGTAGAAGTTCAGAATTCCAAGACAAATTTATAAGCAGAAATGTGATGACCACTCTCTTCCATGTGCCCTCTGAAATCCAGGCTTACAGCACAAAAAAGTAGAGTAACTGCTATACATTCTTGCTCACCACAGAAGTATAGGTCATTCCAGGGGGAGCAATAAACCACAAGTGCAAATCTTAAAATGAAATATTTTTCGTAACTTATAAATTGCACTACTTTGCAGTAGTACAATCACCATAATTCCGTTAAAAAGTAGCTTTATAGCACTGTGATTGTATAATTACATAATGAAACATTACTGCTTAGTTTTATAAGCTTGCTTATGCTGTTTTTCGTTGATTGGCTTTCTCTTTATGGTATAAGCATATCCTATGCAGATATAATTTGCATAAGATAAAAAGAAAATTCATAAATACCACTTAGTATTTATGTTTTATTTATGTAACACAAAATTTATGTTTTAGTTACACAGACATCGAATACAATCAAGCAGTGCTTACATGTAGTAGTGCTTTAACAAAAAAGCAACACAAGCTATGTCTGTACTGTATCAACACTTAAAGTATTGTTCTCAACATTGCTAGGTCTCAACTTACTAAACAACAAGAACTTTTCAGTATTTCTGCACTGCAGTCACTGAGCAGCAGCCCTGGACACCCCAAGAAGCACAGGACTGGTTGCAAGATTCCTGAGCAGCAAAAAGGCCAGCTGCAACTGCAATCACACTGGAAGTGAGGAAGCACAAGCCAGAGAACATGCAAGCACAACAGTAGGGAAAGGCCCTGAGCTCCCAGGAACAGGAACTGGCACCAGTACCACTCTGCAGGCTGCACCTTTATGACTCCATCCTCAGAGCAGACGAAGTAGATCCCAAATTAGCATTTCCTGTTATCACTTCATTTAAAAGCTCAAACAGTATCGTTGCCAAAAGGGGTTCAAAACATGAACTGAAAATCTCTAGTTGTGCAAAATACAGAGTTGAGTTAACACTGTTAAGTGTTCACCGGCAATAGGAAAAGACAGTTTCTCACTTCTTCCCTAAATCCTCTCTTGCATTGACACCCAGCTGCTATCCACCAGTACTGTGAAAGAAAAACTATGGTCAAACTCACAAGTAAAAGCAAAAAAACAAAACCAAAAGGCATAACAGAAAAACAAGCAAACAAACAAACCCAAAAACCAAAACAAACAGAAAACCAACCAAACAAAACAAACTACCAAATAAAAAAAACCAAAACTGAGAAATGCAGCCCTGCTATCTGAGCCAAACACCAGATATTTTGTTCTGGCAGAGCTCTGAGTGGAAAGGAGGCAGGAGGAGGAGTGGAAGAGGAGGTGAACAACTGAGAGACAAAAAGGAATGGAAGAGTAGCAGGACAGGAATGCTAACATGGTCCGATCATTTTCTTTAAAATATTTAATAAAGAAAATAAAATATTATTAAAATATTTAAAACACCACAATCTCTGATTTTCTTCTCTGTCTCTGTCTTATCTTCAAACAAGAAGACTGCTCTTCAACATCAGAAAACAAGCATTAACTGAAAAACTAGTACAGAAAGAGACAAGAAAAAAAATGGTTCCTTCAGCGCTCCCCAGCTCAAGACTTCTGAAGTCAAAACAGTAATCCACAAAAAAAATCCCTTTGTTGTACCTAGACTTTTCCAATTCAGTTAACTTCACAATGACAGTTTTGCAGTACAAACAAATCCTGGTTCCTCATTTAAGAAAAAAAAATACCACACAACTTTAAAGCGTACTAATAAGAACTAAGGCATCAGATTTGCTGACTTTAGCAACATGCCTCAAGATAAAGCAACATACCACTCAGTCTACACATTGCACGAATAGCGGGCAGGACTTTCACTATCATCTCTATGCCTTCCAGACAGTGTCTCAAGCCAGAAATACATCTTTACCTTGAAATGTATTGATGATCCTAGAGGCCCACAATGAAGTCTCACTGATTGACCTGCTTCTTCTGGGATACTTGCAAGGAACCTGTTTGATTTGTGAAGTAAACTGCCATTCTGGCTTCTCTGCTCCCATCCCCTCTTTCAAACTACACTAAAAGATGACCTCCCCAAGAGTTTTGCAGTAGTCTTGTAGCTCTTTAAAAACTTATTAAAAACAGAGGGGCAGTTTAACAGACTGTCACATTTCACCTCAAAAACAATCAAATGCCCATTAAACTGCAGCTCATCATTAAATATAAAAAATTAGCCACCTTAGTCTCCAGGGAGTAGAAGCTGCAACATCTTATCATTGCACAACTCAGCACTGTTTGACATCGTCTCAAACATGACTCTGACTGTACCTGTAGGGGGACACAACTTCTCTCCTTAGTCTGGCACAGCTTGGCCAAAAAACCTGGTCACTACTCACATGCCTCAGAGTTTTCATCAACCTGTTGCTTAAGAGCTTCAAGAGCACACTACCCTGACAGTTGCAAAAAGGGTGCCCTTGAAGGGTGTCCTCCTAAAGTGCACCTATGAAAACACAGGTTTTTTTAACATAACTGCCTATTTTATGCTTTTATTCTTTGTCCTGTTTCAGTATGCTTTGCAAATATTTAAATAGCACAAAATAAAAACAAGTAATTTCATGTCATATTGTAGGGAAGAAATTCTACAGAAAAAGTATAGGAAGAAGAACTGACACAAATCTAAGAATACTGAAAACATATATTAACACATGTAAGTGTTCATATAAGCACACATTAAAAAAAGGGAATTCACACCCAAATAGGTGCCCTGTCAACTAGACAGGGTACATCCCATGAAACATGCACAGATCACTAAAGTTACTTCACAGACAAATCTGCAGAGTTAGGACAGAAAGTGAAGTTATTCTTTTTTGGTTTTGAAAAAATACATGCCTTAAATTATCCATCCTAGTATCTCCTGCTTCATTTTCTAATTTAGGCAAGTGCATTTAAATAGATAGCCACCCTTTAAGTTCATAGCTAATGTCCACAAGTGAAAATTTAATTTGCCATTTTAACAAATTTTTATTAATGTTTCAGGCATACTTTTATTTCTCAATACATGTTCCCAGCATCTTCACCACATAATTCACACAATTTCTGGTCACTGTTAAATTCTCATTTCCAAATGGCAGTGCAAACAAACCCTCAGGACAGTTTTTTTTCCCTGAGATTTTTTTAAATTACTCCAATGTCATCAAGTCTCTAAACAGACAAAAACTGAAAAACATCATGATGAGTACAGCATAGACACCATTCTAATTTATTTCTTTGTGAAAAATAGCACCAAGATGATCCACAAGAAACAATAAAGGGCCACAGTGCATTCTTCTGCCGCACAGCTGAAGTACTGTGAGGATTGTGAGGAATCCTTCTCATCACAGTCTGGTCAGAGACCAGATGAGGCTCCACACTGGTGATAAGGTACATGTGCAGAGTCTGCTCCCTCCCACTTCAGGAATTCTGCATACCAGACCGAGCTGGCCATCTTGGAGGAGTCAACAGGAATGACACTTTGTAAAGCCAGATACATAGTTTAGTCCTAATTCAGTTACTGAACTATTTTCTATATTCTTCAAATTCTTATTCTGCTGACAAGAAAATTACAGCAACACATAAAGTCAATATAGCCAAGTTGCTGACCCGTTTCTCAAGATCATTGAAAACATGTAGAAAATTAATACTTAATATCCTGAGCAAGCAAAAAGAAGGCAAGAGATCTGGTTTCTCTTTGATCTTTTATTCCTATACAAAGTACAAAAGAGATCTTCATTTCCTTCTGAAGTCAACCATTCTACAGATTCCATCTACATCCTTATTTAGCAGGGTAAGACACAAAAGAGCAATAAAAGGGAAAAAGTCCTAGACCTCACAGAAAACATGCTCCTTTTGAAGGGCGGAAAAATAAAGCTTTATGTTAACCCCCAACCCATATCACCATTTCCCTACCCTACACATTTTAAGTTAAAAGCATATACATAAAAATCACATACACAAAATACAGCCTCAACAAAGCCCCAAAAAGTCAATGTGCCATGTCCCCAAACCTTGGATCAGATGTTTAGTTTAAGCTATTTCACTGTTCAACAAGCAGAAACACACACATCTTTGCATTACCTTAGCAAGTTTCTCCTTGTACTTGCAAGACTGCTTTTCCTACCTGATCTCTCAGTTGTTGAACAGAAGTCTGAAGGCTCAGAATTTGATTAAAGAGAGGACTCTGAAGCACTGATTTTAATAGGCTCAGTTTCTCCTCATTTGCAATGTCACCTCGATCCCGAAGTTTTGTCTGTAAGCGCTCCATGGCCTGGAGGGCCCGATGTGTATCTGTAGCAATAATCATTTCTAGTCAGTAGCAGTCTAGAAACATCTACCCAAAGTACAGGTTTAAATATAACCCTCTCTACTGTTTAAACTACAGAGAACTTGAATGGCCCTGTTTTGAACAAAAATCCCAGCCTCTCTAATGAAGCAGGAAGTCAGAGGCAAAGCATAAATCAGAAGCCAATGAAAATTGTATTTTTGTCCATCAGGAAGTGTCCATTTTCCTGATGGACAAAAATAAAATTGAAAAAAAATGAAAGAGTCTTCATTGAAATTCTGTTACAGGAACTGTGGCTACAGTCTACTGTAAATAAATAGGGGTATAAATAGTCATAATAGAAAACATCTTTCTTTTCCGTGCAAAGTTTTAATTCAAGAAAAGATTTAAACAATGAAATCAAGACTACAGGCTCAAATTTAAATACACTAAACATGATTGTACAACTTCTGTTTTCAATACAAAAACCTAAACACAACAGCATTTCTAATCACAGTACATTATTTTCTTTCAAAACCTCTCTCAGAAGTATACACCGATATCCCAAATCCCACACGCCTGATGTGGCCACAAAAATACTGTGATACAAATGAAAAAAAAATTACCAATTGTTTCCAACATGTTTTCTGCTTCTTAGCTTCTATTTCAAAACTGGAAAGAGACTGTAAATATTTCCCTGAAAAGTAACAGAAAGGAAAAAAGGTCACATTTATAGAAATACTAAGTTCTGAAGGGAAAGAAAAAAGCTTGACTTTTGAAAGCAATAAACAGCAAAATAACAATCCACAAAAAAACTATCTCCACAGATAATTAAAATAACCTCAAAGTCAAATTCTGACTCACTTTGGTGTTCAAAATCTTCCTGAAAATTGCTTTAGGAATATACTTTGTAATTTATTTGCATTTCCATATCAAAGTAGCTGTCTGCATGCTGCTGCACAACACATCCTGCACTGCTTTAATCAGACACTATGAATCATAGATGCCACTGAAATTTTACAGTTTCATTGCTTTCCTTTTCAGTGATTCACAAAAGACATTCCCTGAGGGATCAGTTTTCAAGCTCCTTGTTGACAATTTCAGTTGCATGAGCCACAGCACACTTTTTACAGTCACCTTTGAAAGAAAAGACATATAAACCACAAGGCTACAGGCTTCCAGGATTCTCACACTAGAGCCTCTACTATCAATATCTACTGGAATTGAGACTCAGATATGGATGATAGCTGAGTTTTTATCAGTGTAGGTTTCTAGGAAGGAAGTTCTACACTGGGAGGAAGAAATTCTGAAATTGCTTTGGTTATTATTTTTTGTTGCTTTTTGTTTGGGTTTTTTTTTGTTTTTTTTTTTTGTTGTTGTTGTTTGCTTGTTTGTGGCTTTTTAAAAATGTATGTCTGCAATTGCTCAGAAAGTTGGAGTGACAGAACATGTTTGATGGAGATGGATAGCCGAGAAGTGAGGAGCTCAAATATCATTGCAGGTGTATGAACTGTTGATCTTATCTTGCATAATTTTTTTTTCTTTATAGTAGGAAAACACTTCAATACAGCATCCCCTCTTGAATCTGAAGAACCTAAAAACATGCAGAGCTGTGATCTCTAAGCACTCAGGAAAAGTAATTTTTTCTTGAGACATCGGATAAAAAGAGGGAAAGAATGATGTTGACAGATCACTAGATAAGACAGCTTAACAGGATCATTAGTTGTAGAATCTGATCATTTTGTCAAGCCTATACTATTTGCAGTTTGTGCGGAAAAAGCAAACCAAATGGGTTTAAAATGGTTTCAAATTCCATCAGTATGACTTCCTTAGTTTCAATATGCTTGAAGCTTCCTATCAGTTTTATTCACAGAATCACCAAATGGTTTATGTTGGAAGAGAGCCTAAAGATCATCTAGTCCCAACCTTATTGCCATGGGCAGAGAACTTTCCACTAGACCTGGTTATTCAGAGCCCAGTCCAGCCCACTAAAAGAACGGGGAGTCCATGACCTCTCTCAAGATTCAATTTGAATTTGACAATACATTGAAACAGAATCACTGATCATTCTTTTTATTACAATGTACAATATTCAAACTCCTTAAACCTGACTTTGTCAAAGTAATGTTACTCCATGATCCAAAATATGCCTTTAAATAAAAATAAGCCTTCATAATTTATTTTTTTTTCTTACTTGGCAAGGAAAGTCCTAGCATGTGGATCCAGCAGACTGGATCTAAAAAACAACCCAAATATCTTGTATTTTCGCCTTGTCACTCCACAAAACAGGACAAAAATAAAGTCTATTTTACATGGGAAGGGTTGGATGAGATTATTTAAATTTTATGAAAGAAGCTGACTTCCCCAAATCCTTATCACCCATAGCTTTTCTTTCTAGATTAAAAACTACTAACACTTCTATTCAGAGCCACTATTTAAAATCAGAAGTATTTATGTCATGCTTATAGATGTTTTCCTCAGTACCAATGCAAATCAAAGCAGTTCTTTCCTGTTTCACTGTTCCAGTTCTTTCTCAATACCTACCTTTGGTGCTGTATAGTGGATGGAACCAGAAAACTTGCAAAAAATTAGAAATTGAGTATTTTTGAGTAATTTCATTTATCACAGCACTATATGCACAAGCACATAACATCTTATGTCCAACAGATTAAACTACTCAGGAAAAAACAGAGGGTTACTGTTCTGCTACAGCTCTGCAAGAATCTCAAGAAGAGATGCAGCTATGAAATAGCTATCCCTATCTTTTGGAGTAGCTGGATATTGATTTATCTTATGACTCAATTTGACTAAAAATTCATTCTTCTTGTGTTGACGAAGGCAAATTTTACAAGTGACAGCACCCAAGGTCATCAATATGTTCATGCAGTTCTGAAGATATGAACTCTAACAACTTATAGTGAGAGTATTCTACAAGCAGACACAAGTCCTAAACATATCTATAGGTTGAGATTATATCATACAATTTGCAATGAAAAAGAAGCCCTTAGCTCTGCTAAGACACTCATTACCTACTTTCTATTTACCTCATGCTTTAGACAGAGGAGTGAATACTGCTCTAGCACCATGCTACTATCAGCAAATCCATTTTGAACTTTCAGTTTATTCTTTTTATTTGGGTTTATATTAGAAGGGAATACCTCCCTAGCTAGGCAGCTTAATGCTTTTGTCAACATCAGCAATAACCATGAGAAAGACCAAAACCGTCATCAGAATATTTTCCCTCAGTCACCTCCTCTGAGGCAGACACAATGCACTGAGGGACACCAGTTTTTGCCTCTACATGTTGCTGGCCAAGATGACCCCTGTTCACTCTGCCTGCATTCTGAAATGGTAAATAGACACGTGATTGCTCCTTCTGTGCCACATCCACGCTAACAAGTGGGATCTGTCAGCACCAGCTTAGTGGCACATTAACATAGTGGAAGTACTGCAGAAGCAACCACACATCTCTCCAAATAACCTGCAGAGACATATCCATAAACACCACCACACGCTACAGGACACACTGGCCTTTAAACCAGCTTGCTTCTAGGTATTTTAGCAACAACATGCTTATGAGAAGCAGAGTGGAATGAATGATCATTTGTTAAAAGGCCTAATTCTCCTATAGTGAATATTTTTGTAATGGCATTGTAGATTTCTAGAAGCAGAGCAGGAAGTTTAGTTCTGATTTTCTCATTTTGCAATCTCCTGGCAGTCTGTATCACAGGAACCTGAAGCCAAAACCAGCCCTTCTATATACGATACAACAATCTTCACACCTCAAAGAGCTTACTAGCTTAGCTCAAAGTAGATTTAACTATTTTTGTATTTCAGTGCTGAAGTTCATTAACCTCTTCACAGTAACAAGAACACAGGCTGTCGGAGTCAAGACTTTATTGGCAAATTGAAGAAAGACAGTTAAGCAAATAGCAAGTTAAATCTATGTTCAAGTTCTAAAGACACAGGTAGCTGAAAGCTGTGATGTAAACAAAAAACAAACAGCCAAACAAACAAACAAAAAAAGGAAAAAAACAAACCTCATCATCTTCTCATTTTCTTTCTGTTTTAGAACATTAGAATAGAAAACACAAGGAATTTTAGACAGGTATAAGGTGACACACCATATTCACTCCAAGAACAAACCAAAGTTGAAGATGATCCCTTTCAAGCTTGCACTTCCAAAATTTGATTCTTCCAATGCTAACGAACAAAAATGGGGTTTTTTTGCCACTCTTCATGCTACCCTTCTTTGATAACACTGGTTGTCAGAAAACAGCTGGCATGTTGCAACTCTGTTTTCTATCTGTCCACTTCTGAAACACTAAAATGCACTGGCGGCAGAATTTTTTTTAACATCTGATATTTATCTGATCAGCTCCTTTCCACAAAATTGCAGAAGGCATTTAGCTAAACAGACAAAAGATTCTTGAAAATAGTAAGGCAACCCATTTCCATTGATCATTGCTTCATACCTGATCACTTAGTTTCTACATGGAAACCTACTTTGTTTCATTGACAGATAGAGTATCTACTGTTTCACAAAACCATTTTAAATAATACCTTGGAAACTAATGCTTATAGCATGGATTGGAAACATGCAATGCTAAAGATAGAAAACATAGTAATAGGCTTTGCCCCATAGCTCCTGCATTACTTGAAGTGCTCTGAGTATACAGAGGAAATGCCTATCTTAAGAGTGATCTCTAGGCCCAATCTCTGGCTTGGAGTTGCATGAGATTAAAATTAAATCTATTTAAATTAAGCAGCAAGGTAACCACAACATGCATTTTATAGCTGCTAAAAAGAGTATTTCGGAACTTCTAATCTAACACTTTTGCCTGTGTTTGTCTGGGCTAGAGATACCCTTTAATACTTGATTTTTATCCCATGTCATCTTCTCCTCCTTTCTGGCTATCACTCAAACAGGCATATTGTGTTAGCACCGTGTGATGCAGGAACAGAAACCAAACCACACAGGAAGCGGAAGATACTCATCTTACTTAACTTTCTACCTTGCCCGCAGTTTCTAAGAGCTCTTCCATTTTTCCCACTTAACCTCCTGAAAGGAGGAGAACTAAGGTGGATCCCCAGACACCGAGTAGTCTTGTGAAAACTGTTCACAGTAAATTGAAAGATCTCATGCTTTTCTATGTATTTTTTCTAGCTACTTTTCCCCTGTCATAAATTCAATTTTGCTGTTGCATATACCACTTTTTTAAGCACACAGAGGGTGTGATAATAAACGCAAGAGAGCAATGACCAACAGGGAAAAAGAGAACAAAAAGAAAAAGCAAAATTAATGTGCACTGTTCCACAAAGAGCAAAGCAGATTTCCATCAACTACCTGGAATGCAACAAGGAAACAAGACATGCCTGACACCTACATTTGATAGCTATGCTAATGAAAACTGTTCTGAGACATTCAAAGCAGAAATAAAAAGGCAGTATTGCACAGTCTATATTAAGACTTTAAGCACTTTGAAAAAACATTACTAGCTTCTTGAAATTTAGCAAAATGCTGAAGGCATCAAAAGTACATATAGAGGTAGTGGCTCTATATGCTGAAGAAAAGTTCTGTGATAGAGCTGAACAGCACCATGTACTTTGAATCAATTATGAAAACAAAATTTTGAACATTCAACTACTTTTAACCTTCTGTATGTATCACTCTAATGTATTAAGAAAACTTAAAATGCTTTTCCATGAACTGGCAATCTGTTCACTGTGTATAATTAACAATTTTCTGTAACACTGTAAGAAGCCCTACATCAGTATGTGACAAAATATCCATGGTAACTGACATGCTAATAATTGCAACTGGGAAATGGGACTAAACTAGCCATAATGATTGCACCTACTGTTAAAAGCGTGTGATACAGTGTATTCAAAATTGATTTGTAAAGAGCATTCCAAAAAACAACAACATAGCAGATAGGGTAAGTGTTTCTGATGGGGTTTGTTTGGGGTTTTTTTGTTAATGAAACAAACAGATAATCTTTTACAAAAAAGTGGTTTTTTTTTTTTTCAGTAAGTGTCTTAAATGAAGATCAATTGCCGTCCTTCCACATTAGCTTCAGTAGCTGAAAAGCAACTTTTTAGCATATGCAGAATATAGGGGACACTACATATGCTGAATTGATGAAATACAGGCATGGTTAATATTGGCTCTTTATGTTTTCAAGAACAGGCAATTGATAACCATATTCATTAAATTCAATTAAACCTGATGAAGTACAGATTTTACAGTAGTTGCACCTCAACTGTACATTGGATTCTTCACAGAGGTGGCAACAGCATACATAAATGAATAAATACAAAGCCTCTCCAAACAGCTGCCAGTAAGCACCAACAAAGAGCCATCATTTTCCCTACAAACTGAAAATACAAATTTCTCTTTGTGTATTGTGACAATAACAAGTGACTTACACAGAAAATCATAACACTGTGTAACAAGACAACTGTGCAAGGGGTCTCAGATGTAAGCACAGGGTCTGAAAAGCCTACAAAAGAAATATGTTACTATTGCCAAGGCAAAAATAGCACATTTTTGTATTGACTGGAACACCAGTCAATTTTTGTATTTGTCAGGAACACCAGCAGTGAAACAAGACTGTCCTTATATAATATATATATATATTTGTGTGTGTATATATATATATATACACAAATATATATATATTATATACAAATATATATATATTATATACAAATATATATATATTATATACAAATATATATATATTATATACAAATATATATATATTATATAATATCCTACCAGCATGGCATTATATTGGCCAAAACTGCTTCACCAGGATGCTCAAATATGAAGCCAGTTAGAAAATGTACTGGATGCACTTCACAAAATTTTAAATTTTTTTTGTGTGAAACATGGAGTAGAGGTCAAAAAGGTCTTTAAAATGGTTCTCAATATACTGAATAAAGTGCTGCTTGATAAAACCATCTACAGCTATCTGCATAACTGAGAAGATATAAGGCATTTGTGCCTGAAGAATTCACAGACCAGGGCCCCACCAGGGCTGGGTGGAATAAAAAGATCCATTAGTATCTATCTAGTGCAGTTCTCTTTCCCCAGTGCTGATAGTGATCTAACTTTCCTAGCGCACTTCTGTGGGAAGAAGGGAGAATGTATCCAGTTCCCAGTGAAACGTTTCTTCAAAGCCTACGGAAACCATTAGAAACACCGCAGCTAATCAGCAAATGTTACATGCATGTTACTGATAACAATACAAGCGAAAAAAAAATACTGAACTAAAAATTGATAATAATTTTCAAAAAACTATGTTCTCTACATAAAAATGCTGCTTGTTAAGGTAGGTATGTCCTTAGGTATTTTCCACTTGCATTCTTTTCTTTTAGTGTTACAATTACTTTCAAATTCCACAGAAGCATCAAGTAACAATCCCAAAAAGTATTTAACCACTTTCCCCTTTTCCAGTTTAAATTCTTCCCTACTAAGGAGTTGCTGTTTCCTTGGGAAATGCAGGCAGAAGTGATATGGAAACCACAGGGCATCACACAATAGAACTTCCTCACGTGCAGAATTCAGACCCTTCCTCTTTATCTCAGTAAATCTGTGCTCTCCTACTGCGACAGACTCCTGACACCCTTTCAGGGACCAAAACCAGTAAAGACTTTTCCTATCCAACAGTTTATAATTAAAAAAAAAAAAAAAAAAAAAACCTTCTACACGTATTAGGACACAAAAATATTGCTGGACGTTGCAGTGTTTATAAAAGCAAAAGACAAGGAAAAGGAAAAAAAAAATTCAAATCACAACGTTTTTCAGCCAAACGGTAAATCAAAAATCTGTTAAATGCTGTACACGGAGTTCAAAAGGTCGTCTTTGTGAGTTTTTCTTTTTCTTTCTTTCCTCGTAATACTCTTTCCAGTAACATAGGGAGGCGCTGGCAGCAAGGGGGGACACGGGAAAGGAACCATCCCTTTCCTTTCTGCACCCAGACTCGTCAAAGAGCACAATTGCGGGCGGCCCCTCGTCCGCAGTTTCCACCCAGCCAAAGCCGTTATCAGGGAGCTGCTGGAGCGCTACAGCGGGGTCGGAGCTGCGGGCAGCGCCGACACCAGCACAGCAACAGGTACCGCTCCCATGAGCCGCGGCCACCGCCCCGCCTGGAGCCCGAGGACACTTCCAGTGTCGCCGGGGCCTCCGGTCCGGCTCTGGCTTCCAGCGAGAGTCAACGCCGCCGCCCTCAAGTGCCGGCCGAGGGCCGCGGCCGCTGGCAGGGTCGGTGGCAGCGCCGGCAGACGAGGAGACCTCCTCCCGTCATGAAACGTCCGCGGGGGGTAAAAAAGGAATGCGGGAACGCGCAGCAGGGCTCCCCGCAGATGTCAGGGGAGGCTCGGCTTTTGTTTACGTGAGGACGCCGCCCGCCACAGGCCGGAGCCCCGGCCCAGCCCGGCCCCCACAGCCGCTCCCGCCGCCCGCGGTCGGCTGAGGGGAAGAAAGAGGGGATGTGCCGGGACACAGCAACAGGCTCATCCCCCCGGCCCGCGGCTCCACGGCCTCTCCCCCCCGGCAAAATCCTTCGGATCAAATGAACAATAATAAATGAAACTTCGAGGGACAAACGCGTTTTAAAAGGTCGCTCCAACTCGAGCGACGCGGCGGACCCTCCCCGCCCTTGCCGGCCCGCATCCCCCCGCGGCCCGCTCACCCCGCCGCCCGGCCCAGCACCCTGCTTACCCCAGCGGCTCGGCGGGCCCCGCCACCCGGCCCGGCCCTCCGCCCTTCCCGCCCCCGAGTAGCGGCGCCGAGCGAGCCGCGCCGCGGGGGCAGCGCGCTCGGGCACGCCCCGGCGGCCTGAAACCTAATCCTGCACCCCCCGCCCGCGGGTCTCACCGGGGCGGGCTGGGCGGCCGCCCGCAGCGACGGTGGGCGGGGGTATCCAGGGGATAGCGGGGCACGCTCGGGGGTGCCCGGTCCCGTCCCTGCCGGCCTGTAGCGCCGCCGCCCTTCCCGCGACGTTTGTCTCCCCGCGGCCGCCGGAGCGCACGCCTTGCCGGGATGACACGGAGGAGCCGGGCTGGTCTGGTTTAGCTCTCCGGCTCGCCTGCGAAGTGAAGGCGGCGGCAGGCTGGCCCCTGCCTCTCTCCAGTGGTGCGGTGCTGCCTGCGGCCGGGCCTGGCCCCGCTTGCTGCCAGCCGAGCCACCGGCCGTACCACTTCTGGTGCAACGAGATGAGCCTGGCCTAGAACGGAAGAAAATGGGAAATGTTTGCAAATGTTAAAAAAAGAAAATAAATAAAATGCCAAGATCAACAAACAACACATGATGAAGTTAGACAAAATGATTTATAAAGTCGTAGAATTAATGAAGGGATGACTTTTCCTTCGATGCAGCAGCTGATTATTGTGTTAACTAAAAGTAAGGAAGATGCAGTGTGTTTCACATATATATGACTAAGAATTAAGGACATAATGCAGAGATGTTTGCAGTAACCACAAAATACCTGAAAACATAAGTTCAGCTGAAGATGGAATTATTTTGCTATTTGTTAACTTTGCTTCTACTAATATTATCAGGGTCATGGTTTCCCCTATTACTATACATGAGATAATTTTTTTGGTGTCAATGCTCTCAGGCAGCTCAGCTGAGGTAAACCTCCTGCAGATGGACCACAGCTCCTCCACTAGGCATATTGTCTCTGGCTCTGCAGAGGCTCCATGAGCTTTTTATCTGCTTGCCTTCTGGCTTGGTTTGGTTCTTTTTCCAAAAAGAGGTAGGTTAACCTTAAGTACCATCATAAGTTCTAGCAGTTTGTGGTGTTATTTGGGTGTTTGGTCCTCTTTTTTTTTTTTTTTTTTTTTTTTTTTTTTTTTTCGCAGAAAAATTTTAAAGAATCCTGTTATGAAGCTAGAATGGAGTACTATTTTCAATAGTATGAATAAATGCAATCCCAGTACAAACATTTTCTTTTGCAGAACACTACATGTTAACTTTAAGAAAGGTCTTTGTACATTGCATGCTTTGGGTTTGGTTTGTTTTTTTTTTTTTACTTTGGAAAATTAAATTCTGAAAAAAGGTTGAATCACTAAGCAGTATTTCTCTTGCTAGCTCTTATTACAGCTGGTGGATTGAAAAATTTCAAATTATTAGCTGCCTTTTCCTCTGCTGAATACTAAAATAGACACCTTTTTAACAATAGTTCTTCTACTTTTTAACTAAAAAAAGTAATTTTCAAGAATTTGTTTACAGGTTCCATTGTTCAGTTTGGCATGTGCTCATAAACATATTGCTTTTTTAATCAAACACAGAGGCACTGCTGTAGCTATGACATTGAATGGTCTATACCTTTGTCCCACCAACTTTGTGTGTTACATGAGTCTTTATTAAATCCAGAATAAAATGTTAAAAATAAGTTACAGTTTGTTTCCGTGTATCATTGTTCAATGAATAAGCCACAGTTGATTAGATAAGTACAAAATGAGAATGTTATTGTTATTTTTTCCTGTTGCTCAGGCTTTAACTATGGGATATGACTGAAACAAAATGCAGTGATTCTATTAAATTTATTTGGACAAAAAACTGGTCAGAATTAGGTGCAACAGTACTCATGATGTGTTGATGTTCGTTTGGGGGGGGGGGGGGCCGGGGGTGTCCCTGGAGGGCCCCCTAGGCTGTGAGCTGGCTGGCAGCAGCAGGCAGGCAAGGAGAATCCACACGGCTTCTGAGGGTGCTGATTGATGAGGGTTTATTTGGGGTCCCATCCCCGGGACCAGCATGGCTACTGAGGGAGAAGCGGGGAAGGAGGGGGAGCCTAAGGGAGGGAAGGGGCAAGAGTGGGGGAGACGGGCTAAGAGGGGGGAAAGGCTAAGAGAGCAGCTGGACTCCTCGCACTATTTAAGAGGGAGATTGAAGTGGGGGGCGGAATCAGACTTGGGCCAATGGGATGACAGGTACGTGATGGTTCAGAGCAGGACCACAGGCTTGGGATATACCATACATTTCGGAGGGGTGAGACAGAGCATACAATTTAAATAAAATGCAATACTGCACCTCACCCTTTTTTCGTTAGAAAGAAAAGATAAAGAGAAAATTATGTACAACAGCATCACTTGTATAATAATTCTCCCCAGTGCAATTTCTCTTTTATGGGATATACCTTTCAGAGAGTGTTTTTAACATACAGACTGCTGTTCTAAAGTAGAAATACATTTTAAATTCTATTAAGATTTTGTCAAATCTTGGAATCTGTATTAAGTAGATAATAGTTAGTGAAGTTGAGAACATTGTGCTATGTTAGGCCTTGCCTGTATTAAAAATATTTGCATGAGTATATTCATGCCAACATAGCCAACTGAAATTGAGCTCTCTCAGTAAACATAAAACTGTATATACAATAAACATAAAACTGTAATGGAAATTGCCATCACAGTAATCTAATGAGCTCTTGCGCACAGTAGCTGATGACACTGATGAAGAGCCATGCAGGCACAGTTCTAGCAAAGAGCAAAGCCAATTGTAAGGTATCAGAGTACACAACTGGTCTCATGGATATGTTTGGTACTAGCTTTAGAAAGTTAATTCAAAAGACATCAGCCATTCCTATTTACTTATTTCTTTTGTTATAAAATAGGACCTCTCCATCTCCTCCCTAGAAAAAGAGGGTCACAACATATCAAAAATTTTGTTAGTGTGGGTTACATTGTGTACAGTGACACACAATGTTTTAAGTTATGTCAGGGCTTAAGGGTTGTGGCCATTGGTGTGTATAATCTTGAGGGACCCTTCAAATGTGAGACAAGAGAATCTACTTTGTATTTCAAGGCTAAATGTTTTAACAAGTTAAAAATAGTTGATGTGTCTACACATGTTTATTCAAGTGATTGTAAATCAAAATTGCAAGCAGTTTTTTAAATCTTTTTTTAAATCTTTTAAGGCTTCTGCAAAAGACTACTATGACTACAAAATCCATAAAAATATTCTGTCAGAACAGACTCTTAAGGAGAAGATGAAGGGGATCTAAAGAAACCCTCATTTTATGTTCTCTACTATTAACGTCCTGATATGTTTCATTTCTCAGGTCAATTTATAATATAGTAAATTTATAATATAGTTTGACCATATTATAGATGTATAATATGGTCAAAGTATCAATATTGGATGAGATGTCTGCCTTGCTGATCTACTTAAATAAATAAAATATTAATATTAATGATTTACTGCTTAGATTCATTAGAAAACATGGAGTAGAAGTAAACTGAGAAAAAAGTCTTTACAGATATAACATGGGCACCAGAAACAAGGCTATGTGTCCATTAAATCATTCATTAGGCTGCTATTGGAGATGCAGCCTTTTAAAATAGTAATGGGAACAGGATCTAGCCAATGAAGTAAGAGTCTGATTCTACTCTGAGTCACACATACTGACTTCACTTTGAGAAGATGTTGCCTATGAAACACATTTGATGACATTTATGACACAGATCTATTTATTCCCTAAAAAAAAAAAAATTAAAAAAAAAAAGTGTTCATGACAATAATTGTTTAGTTTCATCACTGTGGGTATCATATTTGGTATGGGCATTGTTATTGCATGCTCCAGTGCAGAACGGTAGAATGTATGTTTTAGGGACCTAGAAGTACCCTGTGAGGAAGGACTTAGGAATAGTTACAAATTTTTTATTTATGCTTGAATTATTCCATCCCTGAACTTAGAAAAGAACATGAAAATAGACCAATAAACACTTTTCATAGGTACTACCTTAATTAAAAATTGGATACACTTCTCTTTTATAGCCTTACTCTTCAATATTACAGAATAATTTTGTTAATGTATATTCATATGTATGTATACATACATAGACAAAATATTGTATTTTCATTACAGCATTTGCTCAAATTTCAAGTTAAAAACCCCACTAATTACCATCTTCCTTTTTAGAGAATGGTAATAATTTATTATAGATCAAATTTTATTCCTGGCTGTGTAAAGCAAGAGTAATCCATTGCATTAAATGGAATTAAACTGTAGAGAACCAATCTGAGGTCAAAGGTAACTGTGATTCTAACTGTTGTAGCTGCTAATCTAAATATATTAAGTATGTGGTTATGCATTTTGTCATTATCCAAACAAGGATGGATCACCACCTTTTTTGATGGAGCTCTTAAGAGTAGAATAAGTTATACTAGCAGAAGCATTCAGTACTAAATATAGCACTCTTCTTCATTTCAGCATAAAAGTTACACTTCAAAAGTCACATGGTGTAACTACACAGTTACTTCTGTTACTGGAGGTAACACCATGTATGTTGTTATACAGACCTAAAATTGGGAACTTTCTCTAAACTTTCATGTTTGAAATTTACAGGTTTTGGATTATTATGCTGGCAAGTAGTGAGTATTAGTTTCACTTACTGAAGCATGCATGTTGGCAAGAATGGTGCATAGATTTACATTTTAAAGATTCTTTGGGAAATTCTTCCCTGCGGCCATACTTTGCAACTGTTATTATTGCTATTGGAGGTTGCACATACACGTAGAAGGGGAAGTATGCCCTGTAAGGTAAAACAGAGTAAAAAAAAATAAAAGGTATGTTAATTATTTATAACTATAAAACAAAATACTTGCAATTGTGACAAATTAAAAGGGTATTTATTTACACACAAACAGGATTGTTTAAAGCCACAGGCCTTGCCCACAGCAGAGAAATGAAGCCAAATAAGTGACAAAGCATATTAACCTTATCATAAATTCTTCAGACACATAATGCCTACAAGGAGTGTCTGGTTTTGTCAGATTACAACACCTTTTTTTCCCCAAAATGTTGTATTTTGCCAGATATTGCCACATATTTGACAGACCCCACTCTCAGAGAATCTAATTTTAAAAGCTTTTCTCAGAAGTTCTTCAAGAGACATTGTCCAGAGCAACATGTGATCTGGTATACTTGTCAATGCAACAGTTGTTTCAATATTTGTAAAGGTAGGGCAATATCTTATTAGCAGTATTTGTTTTAGAAATATTGGGAAGTCCTGCATGACATATTCTTTAGAGCTAAAAAATTCAGAATGGAAGGAACTTGACCTGACTGGTTCAGAAGTTTATGTACAGATGAATTGGTGAAACTAAAGTAAAGCACAGAAATATGTACAGAATGATTTGTTGTATGGGTCTGCAATTTATCACTGTCTAAATAGTATTTACCTCTGTATGCACTATTTAACCAAT